TCACTCACTCACTCACTGTACATGAACATTCACTCTTATACTTCCTCTTCCCTTCTTGCTTTTCTATGCTCAGTCTAAGTCTAAAGAAGTTGGTAACATGTGGGGTTATCCGGTCCTTTAATTTTTGTGTGTTATCAGTGTTTTGGTCATATATGCTCATAGCGGCCGGCCATCATCACATGCTGCTAGATTTTGGATAGGTCATTGCATAACCCGCATCCCCCCACACAATTTCATGTACACAATTGTCGGGGTTCTTGCCAAAATCTTACCTGGCGCTCGATTCTCCCAAGCAGGTCCATGGATGCAAACCGCTGAGGCGCCAAAGGAAACCAAGGACTGGTCTCTCATGGGATGAATTGGCAAGAGATGGCAAGAGATGGCAAGAGATGGCAAGAGATGGCAAGAGATGCCAAGAGATGCCAAGAGATGCCAAGAGAGTATAAGTACAGTATAAGTACAGTATAAGTACAGTTTTTCAGAGAGTCCTCAAATCTTCACGGTGTCAAATTGTGACCTCAGGAAGCCCCGGCAGCCTCTGTGGAAGGTGGGGTGGCAGATGCAGCCACACACACCCTCTCCAAGACTAATAAGACTATAAGAAGCCTCCTCGAGTTCGCGTTAAAAATTTGTGTCATGCGACATGTCACCAGGTTCGAAGCACAAAGTGCCGCATGCAAAGGCAAGATGGGGAAGAGAAAATAGATCGCGTCTTCTCAGGTGATGTGGCTAAACGATACAATTTTATGCTTTCTTCTGTGACGCGCTCCCTTGCTGGATATTGGGCCATGGCGAATCCGACCCAAAGGAGCAAATGAAATGTACACATTCCCATGTCTAATTATGAAATCCATGACTGTGAAAGGTAGAAGGTCGTGCTTGTCATGTTTGAGCCATTGCAGGCGGCTCAGAGGCTTCAGTCGCCTCCAGCAACAAGTTCAAGAAGGCTTGAGACTTTGAGTCTTTCAACGTGGTGGGATAGGGTGAGATGGATCTTTCCACTTTAGTTGCACTTTACATACTTTACTCATCTCAGCAATTTCACCTAGCTTTGCAGTCCATGTGCTAGGCGTGAAGCAGCTGTCAAGTCGTCAGAGGCTGCCACCTGCTTAGCCTACTGATGCAGCTATGCACCATGCTTGATGAGAAGAGTTCAAGTCATTTCAAGTCCAGGTGTCCAGGTGTATGATTCTTCACCAAGGCTTTGGATGCATTTGTGCGGCACCATCGCCGTGCCTCGTTCAGAAATGTTCAGCCATGACTTGTTCCATCATGTTCCACTGGCATGCTTCAAGTTGAAGGCAAAGACCAGAGGAGACGGAAGGAATCCATGCCACATGCTGTCGTTTCCCAGGTCGAATGCTGGTTTCAAGCTGCATGGCCGCTTGGGCCGCGCAGTGGAGAGCATCAGCTCGAGCCGGCAGCTGAGTCTGACTGACCATTTTGTACTGGTTGTAGAATGCAGTATGTCGTTTCCCAATATGAAGGCGACAGGAGCACTATACCCTTGAGTCGGGTAGCTGCCAAAAGCGGCGGATAGTTGACAACAGATGTTTGGAGAATCCAAGTTCATGCTCAAGTCCAAAGCTCCAAGCTTCAACGGCTGAGGCAAAGATGACGGCCTCAATCGAGCAGTGCCGCAGATTACAGGAAGAGGTAGGGGGTACGGTGCAAGCAATTTCAGACCAGGCTTTTGCCAGCCAAACCTCAAAGGCAGAACAAGAGATACAGACTTGAACGAAAGTAGCTTGAAGTGACCCTGAAGGGAGTGACCCTGAAGTCAGCTAAGTTACAGTCATTAAATGTCACAAGTCATACGTCAGAAGTCATAACCTACGCTACTCTAGTGCTACTGCGCCTGCGCTTTACTAGGTTTTATTACGTTTGCCACGTTTGACTCACCCAGCAACATGGTAAACAAAGTAACAACATCCTGGCGGAAGGTGAAGCAAAAAGCCGCCGCCGCAAAGCAGGCTGAGGTGGAGCTCATGAGGCAGCGAATGCCATGGACGATGCGGGAAGATGGGTATATAATGGTATATATATATGTATACACAGGTATATACATATATATATATATATACATATACATATATACATATATACATATGTATATATATATATATGGACACTATACATATATATGATATTATAGTGGAATGGGATATTAGCGGAAATACGGGATACCCAATTTTCGAACAAACCGCAAGTGATTTTCCAGAATGATTTCGGAGTGAAGTCTGAGAATGTCTGATGTCTGGAAATGTTTGGAAGAAAGGATTGAGAGAGCCTTCTGAGACCTGACAAGCTATCCGTAGAGTCTGAATTTGGACAGTCATCGCCGATCCCTTGGTACAGCGACCGGACTCATTGCCACCACACCCCAGGCGCACGGAGGACGAGTTCAAACGCTTGCGCGAAGTGCAAACAGAGTGGGGACACCAAGCATGGCAGTTCTGGCGTCCTGAAACGAAGTGTGATAAGAAGTGGGGTGTGAGGCTTGCTGTTATGTTGGCTCACGAGGTTGCACAGCAGGCAACCCACACACACACACACAGTGTGCTCGGGAAATTTCAGAATGTTGTATAGTTTAGAGTCTCTAGAGTCGTATGTCAGTTTCAGAATAGTTTTGGCTCTGAATGAGAGTATAGATGCCAGCAGTACAAAAATACACAAAAACCATCAAAAACCACTAAATCTTAAAGGTAAAGTCCTTTCTGTGATTCTTGAGGCTCCTGCATCTCCAGCAGGAGGCTGGCTGGTTTCCTTGGGGCATCGTGCCAGTCAGCTTCAGAGGCACAGACTTTCCAAGTGAACACTCGCCAGGCTCCTGCCCTGCAAGCCGTGAACCAGGTACACCAGCACCTGGACCTACTGAAGCTTACCTTTTCAATGCTGTTGGCATTTTTGGACAATTGGAGGGCAAATCGGGTCTCTTGGGATATTACCCTCTCATGAGACACCAAATTTGTACTACAGATAGATCATGCTACAATGCTTGTGTCAGCAATATCAGCACTCCACTGGGCTTCTTTCCATGTGGCAAACAAAGAAACACTCCTCACAGTGTGACGATATGGCGTTTATCCCTGAATCGACCTTCGTGTTGCGTTGGCTTAGGTATCAATGCAGTTGTTTTTCTCGCAGCATTTTCTTGCAGCTTTACTGATACTGCCAGAGAGAAGGAAAAGACCTGTTGCACAAGGACTTAGATTTAGGAAGTCAGATCTCCAACCGGAGTCCAGCTCCAGACTCTTCAAAACCAAACGTGCGATACATCACTACTGGATCCTTGCCCCCATCACGTACCTCTGACGCAATGCCGGACCCATGGGACAGCAAGACTGCGTGGCACTCAAAAGGAGTTGAGCAGAAATGATTTGTTTGGCTCATAGGCATGTGTGCCAATGTTTTGTTTGTTTAGGTCATCGGCCTCTTCTGTGACCCTTATGTGGCGAACACAAATTTGGAAGGTGGCCACTCAGAGCCTTGGCCTGCACTTGGTGTCTTAGCGATGCAGTTCTACAAGACACGCCTATGTTGCAAACGCTGGTTTGGCTCGAAAAGGAGATGATGCTAGAACTAACGCTAGACAGTGCAGCAAATATCCATTAGCCTTTAGACCATGAGATCATCTGGTTTCACTTCAGTTGGACTTTCAGAAGCTCGCTGAACTACAGCAAGACGCAGAGAGAAAAAACAATTTAATAGGTTTTAATAGTAGATATGTATAGCATGTGGTTTGATTTGACTTGAGATGACTTGAGATCACCCCTTGAAATTTGATCGCTTGGTCGGAGCCGGTCGGAGACTTCAAAGGGATACTCCACGGCGTCCCTCCTGAGAAATGGGTTGTGGTGCCTCCTCCGATGGGACGGAAGGTGCCGCAAGTGCCGCAAGTGCTGCAGGTGCCGGGGCCTCTGGGGCGTCTGGGGCGCCGGTCGACAAAGCAGAAATGGATGACTTTGGGAAGCCTACCGCGATTCCAATGTCGGCTGTTTCAGCCTTGGAAAAACCAGCTGATGATGATTCCAGTGGACAAATGGAGACGGTCATTGAGAGCAAACTGAAGAATCCACCGAAAGAAAAAGATGACTATGACAAACACGTTGATTTGAGTGAGGAGGAGGCAGAGCAGCTGAAAGAATGGATGGAGCTTGCGAAGGGGTTTGACTCTGTGGCTGACTTTGATGCTGATTTTGATGCTGCCATGAACGCAGCGGAAGAAGTCTATCGTGCTTTCAAAGCTTTGCCACCAAGGGTCAGAGTCATGAACAAAGTCGTCGATCAAACCTGGAATATTGCATTTCCTTTGGGAGCCGCTGTTATTGCCCGCATGGATATCACAGTCAACACCCCTCAAGTGGAGATAGATCGGAAGTACATGGAGATCTTCAACCAGTACCCATGGTATGGTCCAGCAAGTGGAGAGCTGCGGCGTGTCAAACTACGTGAGCGGGTTCGGGGCAAGGCCTACGAGCCATATAACCGCCTGTGTCTGGATGAATGGGATGGTGCCATTGACTATGACCAAACGGAGATTCAGACCTACATCGACGAACAGGAACATGCCCAAGGCGTGAAGAACTGTATGTTGACGACACGAACATAGTTGTGATGTCATGTTTAGGCACCTAGAAATCTCTGCAGAACTGAACAATAGACTACAAAGGTCCAAGGCGCAACCTTGTGACAAATGTGCAACATGATCTTCCAATGTTTTTGTTTGCACCAAATATGTTGAAAACACAATACTTTTCGACTTCGTTTCGCTTGTCACAAAATCCAAGGCGTGAAGAAGTTTCTCTTTGACCGAAGAGCAGATTGGCAGCATCCAGATGATGTGTACTTCACTGATGGTCCAGCGATTGTCGACTACATCAATGAGACGCTGGGAGAGATCCGCTATGTGGATCGCGTCACACAGAAATCTGGTTTCCTTCATGAAAACAACACTTGGGGTACTCCGCAAAACTATGTGGATATGAAAGTGTTTAGTGAAGGAGTTGACCCAAACGACATCATGCAGGGATACATTGGCAACTGTTGGATGGTGTCAACCATTGCAACCGTAGCCAAGTGGCCGCAGCTGATTGAACAAGCCATCTATCCAAACACATTTTCGCCCTCAGGATGTTATGCGGTTCGTGTCTGCTGGCAATGTTCAGAATCCAAGCCAAAAGATGTTCGTTGGGCGTGGATCATCGTTGATTCAATCTTTCCTCGAGATGAACGCGGCAAAACGGCCTGTGCCAACTCCAGGGACCATTTAGAGCTGTGGCCGATGCTCTTGGAGAAAGCCTTGGCAAAGTTTCATGGCTCCTATTCCTTGATGGTTGGTGGTGGAGAAGGTAAACCTGTTGGCTATGGAGGCCTTTTGATGGCCCTCACAGGTGGCCCATGGTACTGGATGACCATCGGGAAGGAGCTCAAAACAGACACAAAAGTCTCCGACTATCTTCGGTGGATGAGACACAAGGCTCAACGAATGATGGTTGTCTCTTGCACAGCACCAAGAGAGGAAAAGGAGACACTGGGACTTGTGGGTCATCATGCATACTCTATCCTTGGAATCCACTCCATTTTTGAGGATGACAATGAGATCCACTTGGTCGAACTCCGAAACCCTTGGGGCTGGTTTGAATGGAAGGGCAAGTGGTCAAACCACGACTGGCAGAACTGGATGACAAATCAAAGGCACAACCAGGTGGCTCGCTTTCGTGAGCTCTTTGACTGGGACAAGATCAAGGAAACCGACGGCAAAGAAGGGATGCCCAAAGATGGCCAGTTCTACATGGAATGCAAAGACTTCATGAAATACTTTTCAACCATTACGGTGGTGAAGGTTCCTTTCAAATTTGATGTTGGATGCGGATTCAGAGAGTAGCTCCAGGAGGCGAACAGCCGTACACCATGGACCACCTGTAAATATTTGTCTGCTTCCTGTTTCACCATGATTTCCTAAAGGGAAATTCGGAAAAAGGTTCACTTGTGACTTGCTCAGTTTGCTCCGACTTCATTGACATGGCACGTGGGCCACATAGGCATAGAACAGAATCGGTCACTGAGGAAGAGACATTAAGAGATGTCGCTGGTTGGTTGGGTGAGTTGAAGAAGCTGGACAAGTTCTCCTCCAAGGCACTCCTCAATGTCAGCATATTTCAGTATTTTTTACAGTGGCCGTCACAAAGGAGAACTGCTACATTGCATGAAGCTACATGAAGCTTTCAAATATTTCAACATATTTTGACATACTTCAAGGATCTTCAAGGTATTTCAAGATCTTCTTTTGCCCCATGAATAGCCTAAGCATCTTCACTTTGCGTGGATTGTGTGGCACCGTGTGCCTTTGACATTTTTGATTTGTGAAGTCTGTGAAGTCTGTGAAGGTGAAAACTGTCTTGGACGAAGCTACGGAACTCTTTGCCGAGGGTGCCAGGCGTCATGATCCTCGTGGAGGATTTTTGCTTGTTTTTTGATGTTTTCTTTCGGCCTCAAAGCGCTGGAAATCCGGGATCGCAAATGATCTATTTCAGATAAATATGATTTCTTTGAGATCACAAACGGATACTTTTATTTATTGACATGTTCAGTGAATTCAACAAATTTGGTGCTAGCAGCACTTTCCAATCAATTTGAAGCGACTGCAAGCTTGTTGCTGGGTCAGGTTGGGCAGCACAGGCAAGGAGCAAGGGCAGCTCCATGTTTGAAGTGTCAAATTTTACAAATCGGTGCACAGAGGTTCAAAGTCAAAGTCGATACAAGTCGTTACGTTGCCTCCAGAATTTTATGAATTCAATAACACCAACAGTTTTATAATCATAATATGAATAATATGATCAATGATCATTATACAGTATTATACAGTACAGTATTATACAATAAATTTAGACCAAAGATGCTGCGGCCTCGATGGAATCGGCGTGAGGCCATGGAGGTTTCGGAGCGGCTTGGTGTGAAGATCTGAAACGTCGCCTCCAGAAACTGAAGCCTGGAGAACTCTTCTTGGCACCTGGAGGATGGAGACACAACAAAGGTGCCGGATGCCGGAAATGGGGTGATGATCATCACGTCACAACACATTTTGGAAAAGGAAATCTCGCAAGATCTTGAAATTGCAGGTTCATGAGTGGCTGTAGCTGTAGACATGGCAACAAACGGCTTGATACAAGTGTCCGAGTGACTTGTACAGTGCGGGTCAAGAAGCATGCAGCAAGTGTGCACTTGACGACACCCTCGTCAAGCTTAGAGCCAGTGGGACCGTTCCACCAATGACCCCTGAAGTTCCTGAAGCTCCCTGAAGGTGGCCATGCGATCATCTACCTGTTTCAGCGCATCAGCGATTCAGAGCCACTTGACGACATTTAATCAGCTTGCAAAATATGCAGTGAAGGTTTCCTGGAGAGGTCTTAGAGCCGGGCTGGATTTCTTGGTTTCACTTTTTTTGAGTCTTTGCTCGTTTACTTTCATATTTATGTTCTTGCCCTCTGAGCTGTAGTAGCTCAATGTAGCTCAGACATCATTGCACTACGGCAAAGCTGGAGGTTTGTATTGTTCGGACTGAATGCTGAACCAAGTATATAATGCTGGCCTTTGGACACTGTTTGAGACCTGCTGCAGGTATAAGTTTGCAGTGTGCAACACTGGCGAGGGAGTGAATGACCATCCTGAGGACTCAGTGGTGGCGTATCTGTTTGTGCCGGAGACAAGATGTATACCTAAGCATTTGATGGTGCAGTCCGCTTTTCATTTGATATCTAAACAGTGCGGCCTGTCACCGCTGGTACAGGATGCAGGGGCTGGCGTGTTTCCAAAGGAGAAGCGCGTTACATCTTGGCTTTTGAAGGGCATTCCTCCTGAAAAGATTCTGGACGAGCTGTGGCTCTATTCTCTGTTCAAGACGCTGGGCTGCCGTTTTTTGAGCCTGACCCACATGCAGGGATTTGTTGGACTCAAGTCGGATCAAGTCGGGGCTAACAGCTGAGGATCTACTACACGAAGGCTGACCATCACAAGCCAGTGATGCTCTATGAATGTCTATTACCACTGATTCTCCCCAGTGGCGATGTTCGAGAGCAAACAGACACGTCTCTTGCTTAAATCGGAGGGCGCGTGAAAGAGTGAGTTGCACACCTTTCTCTACACAGTCACCAAAAAGCAGATCAGGATGCATAGTGACAATGTTGCTTTGTTGTTCCAACTTGCCACCGCAACGACTCCATTGACTAATGCGCGAACGCAAGCAACTCTGACATAATTTGTCATACCGTGACACTGAAAGCTGTCTGAAGACGGCAAAGAACGTGACTCTCACAGCAGCAATATATAAAGGGAAGAACAAAGTAGAAATCCCATCACAGAAGTTTTAGGAGTCTCAAAAGCACGAATTGATTTTCCATGATTTTCTCAGCTTGACACTCCCTAGACTGAAATATTCAGCACTTGCTGAAACAGGCAAAAAAATGTTGAACGAAACAATTGTGTACAGGGCACAATCATTGAGTACAGACTTTGCCCCACCAGGCCAGCTCAGATAAAGTCCTTCAAAGCATCTCAATCTTGAGAGCAATATCTTTGGATTTTCAACAAAAACATGATTCCAACATGGTCTAGCAGGTTCTAGTCTTGTGTAGGATTGTTCAAGGCCTGTACTCACTCTTATCCAAGTGTAATATAAATCGCAACTATGTCATCTATGAATACTGATGAATACTGCCCCCCTTCTGGGCACCTTGGGCAAATCTATAGGTCCTGGTCGACTCCAGCTACATGTCAGCGGGCTGGTTCCTGCGTGGCTCTCAGGTGGATCATTGAATATATTAATTTACATATGGTCTCTTTATTATATGTTTTTATGAATGTTTTTATGAATGTTTTTCTCCCCACTAGTGGGCATCAACCCAAACAACCTGACATTCCATGTACTTTTAAGCTGGTACGCTTTTGCTGGGACAGACAACCTTTTCCACTGGCAGTCTTTATATTTCGGGTTGTGAACGGTTGCCGCTAAGGCTACTACAAATGCATCCCTGCAGCTTTGCGACTGATCCTGGGCATCAGAGGTGTTGAGGAGTCGGACAGGCCCAGGATTTGATCGTCTGATTGAACAGGGCTCTGTCAAGTGTCATTGGATGCCAAACAGCAGAAATCCATGACACGAACACTAACAAGAACAAGAACAAGAAGAATAAGAAGGAGAAGGAGGAGAAGGAGAAGAAGAAGGAGGAGGAGGAGAAGAAAGAGAAGAGGGAGGAGAAGAAAGAGAAGAAGGAGAAACATAATAATAAGAAAAAAACAACAATACGAGAAGCAAAGTAGATTGCAGCAACAATGAAGTAGTGCGGATGGGCTCAAAACTTTACGAAACAAAAACCTAATGAGACAAGAAAGGTATCAGTAAACGCTGGGCGCCTGCGTTGGAACGCAGAAACTTGGGGTAACACCATGCACCTCTAAAGTTTTAGATTTCACGCTGGTCCCCTAAGTGGAAAGGAAACTGAGCTGAAATTTTGCCTGAAGCTGTCTCCAACGATGGCTGAGTGCACATCAACTCTGGACGCAGGAAGCTGCTGATGTACTTCTTACGTTTGGGGCAGGTGTCCCGCATCCATAAAGCGCTAAAGGATACGCAGTTGGAGGTGCGCCTGGCATGTGGCCGTGCTCATGTCGGAACTTCCGTCCTGGTGGTAGATGGACAATGAAACATCCCAAAAAGGATCGAAAAGGGCCAAGGCAACATGATTTGAAGGATGATTTTGAACCATTTTGAACCTGTATTTTTAGTGCGTCGGATTGCAACGGTGCAATAGAGGCACTGACCGAATCGGACTTCATGGTGGTTGAGTGTGCCTGTCGCCAAATGGCACAAAAGGCAGGGAACTTTTCATGTCACAAGCGTTATTTGAATTTTGGTACGTCAACCTTCAACTTGAAAACACAACAACTCTATACTTCGCCGAATCAGATCGATATTGGCTTTGTTGTGACACTTGAGCTGAAGGTTCTCTGCCAGAAAAGCATCTCCAGTGATGAGAAGGAGTCAGCACGCCGTTTGATTGCTGAGGTGGATGGCAAGGCTGGATCTCGCTGTCAAAACATCTTACACAACCCCTCAACATGGTGTGCACATAAGCCATTCTTCTCTTGTTTCGGTCTACCATGCCATAGATATTTCATCATATTTCCAATATGTGGCCTGTTGCAGACAATATTTCTTTAAGGGGCAAGTTGCAATCTGCGGCACCAGGTGGCTGAAGCTCGTGAAGTCCAGCGGCAGGCCTTAGCTGCAAAGGCAGTGGGCATCAGCCGCGGCGTCCCTGAGGCGCCAACGCACCTGAGATCGGATTCGATGGGCTGTGTTCTTACTTTCTGCGTAGGACATGATGACTTTAGATGATTTTTATATGATTTTTGACTTCATATTTCAGCTTCTGTCCATACAGGTAGGGATATGCAGGAATTGATTGGGTTCAGACGAATCAACTTTAGCAAAATCTGACGTAGAGCCAAGGTAAGTTTATATGTAATACTTTATATTTATATAGTAATACATATATATATATTATACATACACAATGAAATACATATTTATCATATTTCATTTTCTTAGTGCCTGATGTAATTGGCCAGGACTTCGTGGGATATTCAGGCTTCCCAGGCTGGGAGCTTCTCTCAGTACCCTGGTTTGGCCGCTCGGATTAGTTGTGGAGTGCCAGCAGCTGTCAAACCTAGATGAAGCAGGCAGATTTACTCAGGACTTTTTAGGTTCGTTGCGTTGAAGTTTGAAAAACTAAGACAGATTCCACTTGTCCATTTTCCCCCATATCTCTTATAGATCTTTCACAAAGTCTTGAATCTAGTACGTGGCCACTGCGCACATTATTTTGACATTTGAGGACATGGAAACAAGGATGCATACACCCATTTGATGGGGAGCAAAGACTCTCTCTCGCCTGGCCAACATGCAACTTGAAAGCAGCCAATTGTACCAGTAGTTTGAGCGCAAGAATGTCAAGCAATATGACTCCACATTTCGAACATTTTCGAACAGTCTGCTCTTTTGCGAACCTAGGTAGACATTGCGGCACTTCGCGAGTGTCTTGCAAAGAATGGTACAAGTTTGTAGACAGATCTCCTCCAAGTTACTTCTCTTGTGCTCCCAGCCTGCCTTATTATGCAAAGAGTGACAGCAGTCCAGCTAGGCTGAGCGGCTACGATCTCATTTTCGAGACTACCAAAGTTTGTGCGGAGCTCAGTAGATGGCTTTTCTATGCTTTTCTGAATCGTTGTGGTCACAACAAAGACATCGTGAGGCGACAAGTTGGAGAACAATGGCTTGGAAGAGATCAGCAAATTGAGGACTCGCCAAAGAAATCACCTCGCGGAGGCAAAGTGTGTTGGATGTTGGCACTAGCAACTGTTTACCATGGCAGGATTGGCGCGTTGATTGAAGATGTCATGATCCGCCAATTTCCACCCGGTCATGAAGATTGGAAGAAAGACTTTGAACCTTGCCATGTCCAAAGGTTAAGGGTCAAACCAGAGAACCATCAAACCCATTTCCAGAGCATGCCTACGATATTCTACAATATACGTATAGACACCTACAGACAGAAAACTGGGGCGTTCCTATCATGTTTTCACAGATCATACAAGACCTCCTCGAAATCACTTTGACGTCATGCCTAAGCAGCATTGTCCTGCAAGCATCCATGCAAACAAGATCACTTCTGACAAATCAAGGATTTTCATTCCACCAGTTGATTTTTTGAGATTTTTTGAGCTGCTTTTTGTCAATTGTCCAAGGACTTGGAGACGCAGAAACATGTTTTGAAGGATCTCTGGCGTCTTACCCAACACTACGTAGCAGCAGTCGCATCTTCCACCACAGCGCGAACGCAAGTGGGAGCACAGATACTGACCATCAGGCCGGGTTTGGCCGGGTTTGCAGCAAAGTCAGCGTAGTCACTCTATGATTACTTTGACATGCTTTGACACTTCTGCCTGATAGAATGATAGGTCTTTGCATGCGGCCTTCGAGACATGTCTCAGGACTCTTACCGCCTGAGAGTGGACAATTGAATCAGCATCACAACATGGCTAGTTTTCTTTCAGAATTTCGAGGTTTCAAGAGTGACCACATGTGATCATTGTTGCAGGATGCTGCAGTGCCATTCATTCCATGGTGGCCATAATGGCTATGTCTCAAAATTATCACCCCCCCCAAAAAGGATGGCCTAGTATATACTAAGATTTTGTGGGTCCATTGCCGTCCCAATTTTGAGACATGACGGGCCATGCCCAAATGACTCCTTTGTTTCCAGGAGAGCCGCAGAAGACGGCAGCATGCTCCCTACGACGCAAGCCATCATTTGCCCTGTTGGCGGCGATGATCCTGACACCTACAGGCCGTTTGCATTCATAATCATTCATAGATTGAAGCTGTCCTTAGCTGTCCTTCAAGCTTCTTTACAGCTTCTTTCAGTTTTTGTGATTAGAAATCTAGGATTTTCTAGCCCGCATGTCGTTGCGGAGTTTTTCACATGGAAACAAGACGCACATTTCATTTCAGCATGTTCAAAGGATGATGGGCGTTTAGATACATTCACTGAGTGTCCACATTAGCTTGAGTTTTCGCAGGTTGTCATGGAGCTTTACTGGCGTTGCTGATTTCCAGGTGCGCTCAGAAGTGTTGATTCCTTTGAAGGAATGGCTTCAAAGTTTTCGCTTTGTCTCATCGATGACCGCCTTTTGTTATGACCCCCCAAGGACATAGAACACTTCTGTCGCTTCAAGCTCTCATTGCTTCAGAAAGGGGTGTTTGGTTTTACCACGCAGTTTTTGTGGAGCAGTTTCAGTGCGAGTTGTTCTTTTTCCCTACTGCTGCAGCGGACTTAGTAGTTCTTTTAGTTTTGCAAACAGTTTCAAGGGCTGCAGTGTGCTGCTACTCTCAGAGCTATCGTTGCCACTGATCCACTGTCAATGAATCATCACTCAAACTGAAGGGGCTGTGGACCTCTCTATAGGACTGCGCAAACCGCAGATGCAAGCTTTTCCCTGGGGCACAGCCAACAAAGCGTTTGAATTGAAGCGTGTTCTGTAGAATCTACAAAATGTGCATGTTTGTGCAACATTCTATGTAGACTCATTACATGCGACACGATGTGCATTCTATTCGTTTGTACATTCCAGGAATCAAACCAAGCTTCTTTGATCCGATAGTCTGTAAAGGCTTGTGCGGCCGCATCGTTTGTACTTTTTCTCCGCACACCAACTGCACTTAGTTTCCTGTCACACGGTCTGTCCAAACCCCGTGCATTACAAGCACCCTTTGCTTCGCAAACCACATCAGGCCTTGTCAGGGTCACGTTCAGGACAGTCCGATTTTCATCATTCGAGTTCGAATATCGGCTTCGAGTGTGGCATTTGAAAATTGCACCGGTACTCGTAGCCTAGCTGTCAGTAAAGCATATATAGCTGTGAATGAACCAACTTCACCTTGACACATACATGCATACAGTACAGGTGCCGTGGACTTGCGGCTCTAGGCCCACGGATTTCAGCTTGTTGGAAAAGCACATGGCGATTGGAGGCGGCGGTGTCGCATTTGCATTCGTTTGATCTTTGGTTGCACCATCCACTACCAGTTCACATTGGTAGCGGAGCCACCCGGGGGGCTCGATAATACCCCGGGACGGTCCAGAAGAAGGACATTGGCAAGTGGTGGAAAGTGGTGGTGCATCCTTAGCAGTTGCTCTTGATGCCTGCCCCAACGCCTTTAGGCCCAGGTGTGGAGGAGCATAGCGGCGACGGGGGCCCTAGTAGTGCGTCTAGTGATGGGGATGCTACTCATGAGGGGCAAAGGGAAGTCACCCATAGTTCCTTGGGGCCTTGGACTGATGTTGAATGGGAAGAGTGGAGGGCTAGGAGAAGATCACGGTACTCTTGGTCCCCAACAACTACTACCCCTTCCGGTGGAAACGGATCAGTCAGCGCAAACTGTGAAGATGATCGGATTGGGGGTAGTGACAAAATCAGCGCACCTGAATTCTCAGGTGAAGATGACGGAGACGGCATGGCGACGCGCGGCTATCTTCGCAAGGTGGCAGCATGGAGAAGGATGACAAGGTTGAGGCCAAACAAGCAAGCATTGGCCTTGTATAACAACCTGACTGGTAGGGCATGGAGGGATGCGGAAGAACTCGACTTAGCCTTGTTGGATAGTGAGCATGGGGTGGATGTTTTCACTCAGTGGGTCTCCGAGAAGTATCTAGACAAGGAGGTTGTCAAGGTTGGCAAGTGTATGTTGGAATTCTTCAAGTATCTCAAGAAGGGGCACGGCCAAGAGATTCGTGACTTTAACCAGGAATATGACAGACAGGTCTCACGTCTCAAAGAAGTTGGTTGTAATCTCCCTGACCTATGCCTGGCTTGGTTCTATGTGGATAAGCTCCGTCTTGAGAATGACGCTGAACTCAACCTTCTATCCTCTACTGGCAATAGATATGAACTCTCCAAACTTCAAGATGCTGCTGTGGTTCAAGATCGTATGAACCGACGTCTATGGGAACCTCGTAAACACGGGGAAAAGGACAGGAAGAAGCCACAGAACAAAGCTCCTGTCCAATCTGCCCAGGTTCTACATGTTTGCGAAGCTTTTCACGTTGGAAGCCTCGAGACTTCAGAGATCGTGGCAATCACCGATTGCGCCTGCAGCCGATCTGTTGCTGGAAGTGAGTGGATCAAGCGCCTGCGTCAGAATGCATTGGCCAAAGGCCATCAATTTGAAGTAGTTCAACAACATGAGCATTTCAAGTTTGGTGGAGACAAGTTGTTCCTCTCCAAGAGAGCATGGTGTTTTTGGCTGAACGTACATGGCAAGTGGTTTATTTTGAAGGTGTCTGAACTGGACACAGATGTGCCCCTTTTGCTGAGCCGTCCAGTGTTGGCCCAATTGGGCATGCGATATGATTTGCCCGCCAATACGGCATCCTTCGAAGCACTTAGTTTGTTTGATGTTCCTTTGCAAACCACTTTGACTGGCCTCCCTGCGGTGCCGGTCGCTTGTGGTTCTGGCCCTGCCCCACGATGGCCAAAGAGCATTCAGTGGGATCTGGTTGAGATCTACGTACCTTCCGAGAGTGTGGCATACATGGTGCGTCATGAGGGTGATGTTGTAGAGGTCCCCAAGAAGTTGTTCTACCCCAAGAAGTTGGATCCCCTGGTTCTCAACAAACTATCTGCTGAACATCTTTGCCCAGAATGGTTTCGGGGTTGGTGGCGTGACAACGAGGTTTTGGGGGATTTTTGGATTGAAGGTGATCTCTACATGGACCGTATTCATGTCACTCCTAGAAGAGACCTATTTGATCCTCGAGATTGGCAAACAAGTGACGATGATCTGAAAGAATGTCTTCTCCTTTCCCTTGGCGACACACGTACCAGCACATGCATACTCTGTACACACACTGGAAAGCCGTTCGTGATGTCTCATGCTTGGAGGTTTGAGGCCAAGGTCAAAGGACAAAGTCTGTGGATTGGGCGAAGCCGTTTCCAAAGGCCTCAAGTAGCCGAAGTGCTTCAATCAGTTTCACCTGGGGCGCCAAACCCAGGTGATGTCCCACCAAGTCTCGGTATGGAAGATGCGGCGTGCCGAGCTTCTGGGTGCCTTGACCGACATGAAGGTGAAGTACGAGCCGAGCATGTCAGTGCCGGAGTTGAGGTCACTGTTGATGGAGACCCGGGGGCCTCAAAGGAAGACCAGTTTGGGTCTGACCAAATGCACCCTGGAACAACTGAAGGAGAAGTGCTTGGAGGAGGGGCTGGAGATACCACCAAAGGCAACGCAGGGTCTTCTGATGAGGATGCTGCGGGCTCGTATGGAAACTACGGCGGGACCCTCGCAAAGCTCTGGCGTCAAGTCTTCGGTGAAAGGCCCCATGTCAGAGAAGGAGGGGATCCACAAGCTGCAGGAACGCACAAAGATCCTGCACACAATCAAGATGGCAGAGGAGGCAACAAAGACCGCCGTGCCAAGGGACGGAAGTTTAGAGAATCAGTGAAAGTCGCTATTGCGGCAAAGAGAGAGAAGCGAGACAAGAGAGATCAAGGTGATGCAAGCCCGGTGTCCAGTGACTATGAGACTGAGAATGAGAAGGTTTCAAAGTATGAGGCGGGCGGGGTTCCGCACAATGAGGATGTGTATAACACAGCCACTGATGAGACCTATGAGGATGTGTATAACGTAGTCACTGATGAGACCTACGGCCATGACAAGAACTTGGAGCCGAAGGTAAAGTTTGTCTACGGTGACGACTATGAGGCGGTACGGAATCTGCCGAAGCGTCGTGTGCGACGCAACACCAAGAAGAAGGTAAAGTCCTGGGCAGCCAAAGCAGTGACAGCCTTGGCAACCTTGGTCGCTGTGTGTGCAACTCCATTGCAAACTTTTGCATCCAATTTGGTCACTGCTGCTGAGGATAGGGTAGACTTTTTGGAGTTGTTTGCAGGATCGGCACACCTGACCGAGACTTTTGCACAGCAAGGCTTCAATGTATTGGAACCACGTGACATCAAACTCGGCCATGATCTTTCGAAGTCTGAGGTACAAGAAGAGGTGATCAACGACATCATGCACCATCGTCCAAAGCTTCTCTGGATCGCTTTGCCTTGTACAAAATGGAGCCCTTGGCAGCGCTTGAACTATCATGGGAGAAAACAAGCTCTTAGGCGTGAAAGGGCCGCACAAAGGAAACTGATTCGTTTTTCAAAGAGGGTAGCACAAATTCAAATGGCACATGGTGGTGAAGTTGTTTTTGAACATCCCTTCATGAGCGACATGTGGGACGACGGCTCCTTTGCCGAGATCTTCCATGACCCACGTATGTTTAGAGTGAACCTGGACATGTGTAGGTACAACTTGCGTGCCGTCACCGATGATGGCCTCTTACGCAAACCCACTACGTTGATTTGTTCTCATGGAGTATTTCATCGCGATCTAGGTCGTAGGTGCCAAGGTGATCATGTGCATACCCCAACCGCCGGCCGTAACACCCGTGCTGCAGGCGTCTACACCTACGAGTTCTGCAGAGCTGTGGTTGAATGCTACAAGTCCGAGATCGTGCCCAGATGTTGGACGTCTTTTCCTGTTATTGGGGATGGGGAGCTTAGCGATGGCTATGAACCTGGTACACCTTTGCAGGGATCAGATATCTACATGGATGGTAGTGATGTCGACATGGAACAACATACTCTACATGACACAGTACATGAGGGTGATCCACATGCTCCACATGGTGAATCAGTAGGTGATGAAAACACACCAGTCGAGTCCGCAACTAGAGCAAGTTTGACTGGGATCACTTTTCCTCCGCACGTTGGGAAGCATACAGCCCAGATCTTGCGCAGGTTGCACCAGAACCTTGGACACCCTCGACACGAAGACCTTGCACGACATCTTCGTCTTGCAGGTGCGGGGGATGATGTGGTGAAAGCCGCGCATCAGTTGAAATGCGCAACTTGTCAGCGACATGCGAATCCTGGGACCCGACGCCCAGCCAGAACTATTGTTGCCAGGGACTTCAATCAGGAGGTCGGTGTGGACACTTTTGTTTTGTATACCCCTTCCAAACGAAAGCTCAACGTCCTCTCAATCCTTGATATAGCTTCGGGGTACCATGTGGTAAAGTTGCTCAAGGGCCGAACATCCAACAACATCTCTGAAGCATTTCTAGACGCATGGGTCTCCTGGGCTGGTTCTCCTCATCGTGTGGTTGCTGATCAAGAAAGGGGTTTGATGAAGGAATTTACAGATTGTATGGAACAACATGGCATCAAGGTTGAGTACGTTGCTGGTCAGGCTCATTGGAAAAATGGTCCAGTAGAACGTCAAAACTCTTGGTATCGTATGATCTGGCAGAAAACAATTGACCACATGGCAATCACGGATGATGAAGCTGAATGGACCCTTGCTCAGGTCTGTCAAGCCAAGAACTCGCTCCGTAGAAAGCATGGCTATTCACCTGCACAATGGGTCTTCGGTGCTCAGCCTCGCTCCGGCAATGGAATGATTGACGAAGATCCTGAATTGATGATCAAGGATGAGCTCTTGACTCCTGGACAAGAACGACATAGACATGAAGAAATTCGGCAAGCGGCCCGAGAAGCTTTTATCAAATCTCAGGCCGACAGCGCTGTTCGCCGAGCTCTTCAAGGGAGACCCAGGACTGTCAAGAACAACTTTGAACCAGGTGACTGGGTCTATCTCTACCGGAAGTCCAAGAATGCGGGTGGAGCTGCACGCCTCAAACCTGAGGCAGGTGAATGGATTGGACCTGGAACGATTGTGGGTGTAGAAGGTGACTCTTTCTGGGTTTCTAGAGGCGGCAGGTGTTTGCTTTGCGCGCGTGAGCATCTGCGTCATGCAGAATCCGAAGAGCTTGGCATGCTGATGCAAGCCAAGGTCATGCAGGAAGATCTCCTCCAACTAGTACACCATCTTGATGAAGATGATGAGAACGAAGATCTTTTTGCTGATGCTCAAGATGATATCCGGGTCGACGACTTGGATACACTAGTGCCTCAGAAACGCGCCCGTGGCAAACAATATGTTCCCATGGTGAAGTCTCAAGCTCCTCATGCTTCCCACGTGACCTATGCAATTGAAGAAAATGACGAGGCCGATTTTCAGCTTCCAAAGGCCTATCAAAAGCAGTTGGACAAAGAGGTGAAATGGAGCGACATCCCCGAGCCTGAGAAGCCGCTTTACACTGCAGCAGAAGAGAAACAATGGAAAGAGCACTTGCAGTACGGAGCTGTAAGGGTCTTGAACATGGAAGAAAGCAATGCAGTGCGATCCACAATTTCCAAAGATCGCATTCTTCCCTCTCGCTTTGCCTACCGTGACAAAAACGTGGCGAAGCGTCGAGAGGATCCCAGCATTGCACCAAAGGCAAAGGCTAGATTGTGCATTGGAGGACATCGCGACCCAGACCTCAAAGATGGATCCCTCCAAACAGAAGCCCCAACGGCGACAAAGCTTTCTTTTATGACATTGCTTTTTCTTGCGGGACAGTTTGGGTGGAGACTTTCGGCTGGTGATGTGCAAGCAGCTTTTCTCAATGGACATGAAGCTCGGAGGAACCTTTATTTCTCCCAACCACCACGCAGCTTGCCTGGCGTGGAACCTGGTGCCTTGATTGAGGTCATCAAGGGCGTCTTCGGCTTAGCAACTAGCCCTAGGTTATGGTGGGAGAAATTATCAACTGATCTCAAAAAGCTTGACCTTTGCATAGATGGAAAACACCTTCATTTGGTTTCACATGAACTTGATGCTTGCTACTTTTTGCTGCGCGATCAACAGGGCGATCTTCACGGAGCACTTATTACTCACGTAGATGATTTGCTCATTGCGGCCGCCCCTCAGGTTTTAGATTCGCTGAAGCAACAGCTCTCTGGCATCTTTCCTATTGCCGATTGGGAAGAGAACGACTTTGAGTATGTGGGTAGCAACATCAAGCAGGATGACAATGGCATCCAACTGAGCCAAAAGTCCTACGTGAACTCCAGGCTGGAGACCGTCGAGATCCCAAAGCACATCATTTTGGATGATTCTGCTGATATGGTGGCGAAGATTGACAACCAGTCTACGATTGGAGCTCTATCTTGGCTTGCTAGCCAATCTCGACCTGACCTTCAAGCAGGTGTGTCACTTGCCCAAAGAAAACAGAAACAGCCTTGCTATGGGGATGTCAGAGAAACCAATAAGGTAGTTAAAATGGCCCAGAACGGTAAGGGAGAACCACTCACTTTTTCCAAATTGGGTTCAACTCTGGACGACCTTGTGATCCTCGTCTACCATGATGCTGCCTGGGCCAATGCTGTTGCGAGCGCTGATGACCAAGAATTTGTTCCTGGTGGTCATGGCATTTACTCGCAATTGGGACATTTGGTTCTGATGTGCGGCCGCCGCGCTCTGAAAGGAGATGAAGTTAACCCTGCTGTCATTGCATGGAAATCTCATGCATGTCCTAGAGTTTGCCGGAGCACATTTGCAGCTGAGACGATGGCATCATTGGAGGGCTGGGAAGACGCCATCGCATTTCGTGCAATGTTGGCAGGTTCCTTGAGAGGCGAACCTCTGAGTGAAGATGCAGTGAGAGGCGTAGTTCCAATAATCTCTTTGACCGATTGCAAGTCTCTTTTTGACTCGGTTCATAGAATCGGTGGGCCAAAGGCCCCATCTGAAAAGAGGTTAATGATTGATTTGGCAGCCCTCAGGCAACTCATCAATGCCGAGGCAGCCTGTTGGGGACATGCATTTGAAGATCCCAGGATGATGCGCTGGGTCCCAACTCAATTTCAAGTAGCTGACATACTCACCAAAGTAAAGACTGATGTACAAACCTGGTGGGATATGCTGCGTAACCTCAAATTACCATTTTCTGTGTCAAGGTGAACTTTAAACGTTGGGTGTGTGAATGAACCAACTTCACCTTGACACATACATGCATACAGTACAGGTGCCGTGGACTTGCGGCTCTAGGCCCACGGATTTCAGCTTGTTGGAAAAGCACATGGCGATTGGAGGCGGCGGTGTCGCATTTGCATTCGTTTGATCTTTGGTTGCACCATCCACTACCAGTTCACAATAGCATATTAAATTATGATTATGAGGCAATCAATCACGACGACACTGCTGAGCTTAACCCCAACTTGATCGTCCTTGCTATTGCACCTGTACTCCCATCCCAATCCCTATCCCTATCCTTGTCTCCATCACCATCACCATCAGCATCGCCACCATCAGCATCACCCTTAACATCAGCATCAGCATCAGCATTGTCACTGTCATTGTCATCCCTAGTTCATGATCATCGTCATTGTCATCGTCGTCGTCGTCGTCGTCATGATGATGATGATGATGACGATGATGATCATGATCATGATCATGATCATCGTCATCGTCTTCCTAATCACCACTATATTTCACAAGCGCTATCATTGTGGCCGGTATCAATTAATCATCACCTCGAACCATCCTGAAGATATTGAATGCGCTTCTCTACCTCCTCAAGAGTTGAGATGTTGCAGAACCCCGATGAACCCAATCGATGTTCACCCCTTGTCCAGGGCAAGAGCGCTGACAATGCTACAGATGGGCTGCCACTGTCAACACCTGAGCTTGCAAAGGCGACCCCGTACAAACCAGGGGAGATCGGACTGGTCGGGACTGGTCGGGACTGGCTTCGGGCACAGTAGAACCTTTGTTGATTCAGTGAATCGCATGGTGAATTGAATGACTTTTATTTACTTTTGATGATGCTTGAATGAAGAGGTTTGATTCGATGATTGCATGCAATGACATGAACATATATCGGAACCTGGCAATTGGGAGACATTGTGAGAGGAGCTTTACACGTTCACTTTGCCGATTGTCATCCCTTATAGACTGCGATGACCACGGGTATGCTTGTTTTGTTTCTTACAGAAGCTCAAACTCTTTGACACAGTTTGGCATTGGGTCCCGGAGGCCCGAAACGCGCTGGCACGACATGAAGCTGGCCAAGCAGCCAAGGGAGATGGTGCCTGGGATTCGTCTTTGACGCTTGGCATTGGGTCCCGGGCCCTTGCTCGTTTCGAGTCCACTTCACGTCAGATGTTGCTGCAACATGCTGCAACCAGCATCAGACTGACTTTACATCGATGCACAAGTGCTTTGAGTTGATTCGGATGATTTCCCTACTGTTGCTTGTTGAGTTGAATGCGCCATCAAGCAACGTGTTGTCGCTGAACCAGGAATGGTATGAAGTATGATGCCACTGCCCTCAAACCAACGCAGCCAAGCAGCAATGGCAGGAGCAGTGTAGGCCAGATAGTTTGATGCAGATCATCACCGTGATGCCGATGCTTCCCCATGAAGGGTGGTTGACATTGGTCGACCATGGTTGCCGGTCGGTCGGCCAAGGCAAAGCGTGGTCACAGATCTCACAAAGAAAGTGCTGAAGATCATGAGCAACGTCCTGCCACCAAACCACAGCGATGCACCTGGGAAGCAGTTCTTTACTGCACGGTCATCATTCTCGTTTTCAATTCTGGTGAGTGATGGGGTTGCTGATTTGCACAAACAATATATAAATATATATAAAACCATATAAAACCCAAGTGAATTGATGTGACTTGAAAAGACTTGATGTGAATTGATGTGAATTGTGGGATGTGGTCAACGATGCAGCGATGGCACCGAGGAATGGCCCAAATGGACAATTCCATTTGGCTGGGCCTTGAACTCATCGGGTGAAATCAAAACCAAAGCCCCCGAGTTCTACTGGTGGCGAGACATTTGTGCTGGCAACTCAGAGATGGGCAACTGTTGGTTTGCAGTGGATTCCCTTTTGATCATTTCTGATCATTCACGATCATTTCTGATCAGTCATGATCATTCTTACCGGCTATTCACATGTAGAGTTTCGAAGCTTTTCACACGCTTCAGAAATTTGTCGAGGTATGGTCCAAATACCTTTGCTTAGATCCTCAATGCAGGCCAGCCTTTGATATCTTTGATCTGCATTTTGCTGGCAAAAAACTCTTGAAATCTCCCAGCATGGCCTCGCTCGATCTCGCTCGTAGGCGATTCAAAGGTGTCTTCACGGCCAACTCAGTGACCATCAACTGGAGGGTGGGCTACTGTAAACCCTGTGAGATCCTGAAGGCGAAGACATGGAAACATTGGAGTGAAACACAGGAGCTTTGCATGTATGGAACTTAGAGATGCTTTAAGGATCTTTAAGGATCTTTGATGTGACCTAACCCATTTGATAAGGTGAGACTGATACAAGCAACCATGGGACAACGCTTAAAGGCTTAGAGGCTTAGAGATGGATAATCCCTCACATCGATTGAATGTGCAAGATAAGCGGAAAAAACATATTGCATTCCACGTGCCTATATCGTAAACTTGACCGCCTACATCCTTGTAGAATGGACATATATTTTTCTTTCTCACTTTTTTCCCTTTTGTTTGAACGCATATTTTTTGTTTGTCCCGTTTTTGCTCCTTTATTATCTCTGCGTCATGGAGTCTTCTTTTCATCGTAGCATGTGGCTGCAAACCTGTGCCATGCAAAACCTTGCAGGCGCAACCATCAGCACTGAACGGCACTATCAAGTTCGATCAGCTAAGCAAAGGCCAGGATGCTGCGAGAACTTAAGTCTGGCAAAATTCAGCACACATGACATGTTGTTTTTTGTTTTTTGTTTTTTGGAATTGATTATTTCAATGACTGCATTTCAACTGTGGCAGGATTCACAACCATCAGTGGCGCCAGCCTTCAAGCTGCTGGTCGGGGACGACAGTTGGAAATGTGCATATTATATCATAACATCATATCATATCATAACATATCATATCATATCATATCATCACTCTGCACTGTTCAATTTTGCAAGAGGAAGCAGCGGAGGGAGCATGCCATACCGGGTTCACCCGGTAGCATGTCTTATTTTGCTCCAAGATGTGAGGGATGAAAGTTGCAGGCCTGGAAAAGGCGATCTCCGAAGACGATGTGATACATGCACCCACTTTGCCAACCTTTGGTCAGGCTGTCGCCCCCGGGTGTCAAGAACAGACTAAAACAGGTGAAACATATAAGCCTGGGAAAATTGAAAGGGATCCTTGGAGGTATCCGATTGAATAAGGGCACAATGTGTGAAATGGAACGAGATAGTTTGCTTCTAATCCAATTTTATTATCCAAAAATCCGTTGACAATTTTCACACTAGTCCAATTGCTCCAGTGCTTCAGGCCCTCGCCCAAGAAGAAGCCGAGCATGTACCAAGCTCAACCTTTGGTTACCGTGGTCAGTGAAACATTTCAAGTGATCCAGTGGTATTTGGTCCTGCACTGCACAGATGAAACATCTGTTGGGGCGTGGCTGCCATGGCCAGATAGAAAGATTCCCCGAATGCGTTTGACATGGGTTGGCATCCCAAACACTGATTTTGTATGTCTCATATGCCATGCCATGTGCAGCGCACGAGGTGCTCAGCGCTCTTACAACGCCCTACCTGCGAATTCCGTTGCTTCTGCACTTCCTTGCAGCGGACCGCTTGCACGCATTGAAACAGACGTGGCTGAGATGCACTAGAGTCACTAGAGCTTGAGATTTGACCTCACAGAATTGATTTTAATGTTGGATGCTGATTAGTGTAGGCCCCCCCTAAACAATTCTGAGACTCTCTTTAACGTGGGCCGCCTACTGAATAAAATTGGATCAATTGATTTCAATTGGTTTCACTTTACTTTCAATTGATTTCAATTGATTTCAATTTACTTTCAATTAATTTCAATTTACTTTCAATTGATTTCAACTGATTTAAATTTTCTTTCAATTGATTTCAATTTACTTTCAGCTGATTTCAACTGATTTCAACAGATTTAAATTTTATTTCAATTGATTTCAATTGATTTTCAATTGATTTCACTTGATTTCAATTCATTTCAATTGATTTTCAATTGATGTCAATTGATTTTCAATTGATTTCAAATGTTTCTCAGCTGATTTCAATTGATGTTCAATTTATTTCAACTGATTGCAGTTTACTTTCAATTGGTTTCAATTTACTTTCAATTGATTTCAATTTACTTACAATTGATATTCAATTGTTTTCAATTGATTTGCAATTGATTTCAAATGTTTCTCAACTGATTTCAATTGATGTTCAATTTATTTCAATTGATTGCAGTTACTTTCAATAGATTTCAATTTACTTTCAATTGACCCCAATTGATGTTCAATTGGTTTCAATTGATTTTCAACTGATTTCAATTAATTTTCAATTGAGTTTCAGGTGTCCCATCACAGCAAGCTGCTTGATGAGGAGAAGGATTCTTTGAAACCCTCCCATCAAGCCAGCCATGGAGCACTGCAATGCTTTCAATTGATTTTCAACTGATTTCAACTTACTTTCGATTTACTTTCAGTTGATTTCAATTTACTCTTAAATGATGCTCAATTTCATTTCAATTGATGTTCAGTTGATTTTTCATTTTTTATCTCACGTGGGGGATATATTTATTTCTTAGCTTGTGAAGGCTCAGGCCATTCTATCCAGCTGCTTAGCACACCTCAGCCATGGAGCAGTTCAACATTGAGATCGGCAACCTCAGGTGTAAGCTGAGGTATCATCAGGTGGAATGGGTTTCCCACCTCAGCAAGCTCCTGTCTGTGGAGAAAATCTCTTTGGAGCCTAGGGCTTGGATTTTTTTTTCGTTCCCACTGGGAAAATCAACTAATTAAGTAAGTAGCCGAAGGAAGTTTAGAAATCAAACTTCCGACAATATGGAAAGATGAAAAGCACAGGTGGAGCAGAAGAATAGAGAAGAGAAGAGAAGAAGAGAGAAGATCAGAGAAGAGAAAGTCTCATAAGAAAGAAGATCCAGGTGCGCGAAAAGGTAGGAAAGTCACGAAACACTGTGTTTTTCCAATGATTTGTGGCTCCGGAGGGTCGACAAGTAGGCTCGCTAAAGCGGCGGGTGCGGAGCCAGCTGGCCAGATGAGAGATGAATAATTGCGCGCCATTGTGGCACGAAGCACATTTCCAAGTCAAAATGTACAAAACACACCAGTGTCGGACCACTTTTGGAAGTTGAGATGTCGAAAAAGTGCACGCCGTTGTGGCGCGAAGCACATTTCGAAGTCAAAAGGTTAAAAACACCAGGGGTCCGGACCACTTTTGGAGGTTCAGATGTTGTTTCGCGTGGCAGGCGCAAGGGATTGCGCACCTTGTCAAAAGTGAGCAAAACGTGAGAGTTTTGTGACATTTCCAAACACCATGGCAGGCGTGGGACATTCGAAGAGGATCTGCAAAGATGCATTTTGCGTGGCAGGCGCAGTACAAGAGACATGTTCATCAGAGGTGTTAGGAGGTCCGGGCGCTGATTTCCTGAGAGGGTTTGCATTTTGGAGCATCAGATCTTCAGGTTTGCTGAGATGGTTGCAGCACTTCGCGTGACCTGGCATCACTTTTTCGTGGCAGGCGCAGTAGTTTAGACAGGTGGAGTCGAAAAATCGCAAAACGCATTGGTACGAGGCCCGGGCCAAAATTTTAAAGCCAAAATTTCAAACGAGGGCCCGCCGGAAGCAGCACCGCAGCCGCGGACCCACAGTGCTCCTGGCCACACATGTCAGGCAAAGGCGGTACCGCCCCGCCGGATTAGCTGGCTGCCGCTGCACGCAAAGTTGGTTTGCCGGATCCTCAGGGAGACTGAGACCGAGGAAACATGAGAGTATTCAAAATACGTCCTGTTTGGACATCGCCTCCCTGTTCATTCGCCAGGGCTTTGGAACTTGGAACAGCTTGTTCCATCGACGCCAAACCCTCTGCTACCAGAGAACGGTGCAGCTCTGGTAGCACAACTGGCGCGGGCCTCAGCCCGCTAACCGCAAAATCAGAGAGCGGCAAGGGCGACGCGCACCGACTTGCGCCAACCGAGGCGCAAGCCCTGGGTGTCTCCAAGGATGCAGTCCAAGCATGGCTCCCCGAGCTGCACGCTTGGCTGCTCCTGAAGCCGGTGCATCCGGCCCTGGATGCGCCAACGGCCGAGGCCGATGAAACTAGGAACACGGTCTTTATCTGGCCGTGGTGTTTTTGTGATCAACGGGGTGTCATGGATGATGTTTGATGTGGTCGTGCCAATAGGATTTTGGTTGATGTGATTTCAAAGGCAAAAAACCCGTGATTCTGGTGCATAAAATCAAAATCTAGCGTTTCGCCTAGGCGAAACTATCATTTTTGATGTTTCTCAGAACTCCCCAACTAATTCGACCTGTATTGTTTTGATGTGAGTTCAAAGACAAGAAACCCCCTTATTCTGGTGCAGGAAATGAAAAAACAAGTGTTTCGCCTAGGCGAAAACGCATTTTTTTGTAATTCCACATGTTATGTATTGATGAAGTTGGCACAGCCTGCCAGACGACCTTGCAACCGACCTGGATTTCAACATGTTATGTATTGATGAATGTGGCACAACCTGCCAGACGACCTTGCAACGGACCTTCACTTGCATCGAACAGCTAACTATAACCAAAGACAGGCATTCATACAAGTAAATGATGTTGAAACCAAAGAAACTGATCGCACTTCCAGCGGACATTTTCTGATTGTTTTTTTTCTCACAGCAACTGTTCGAGTTCTTCCAGGAACCTTTGGGGATCTGGATTGTCCAGGGTGGAGCGCCAGCACCACATGAACACATATTGCGTTACTGACGGGTGCATCGTTGAATGCCCACGGTCTTTGTGTTTCAAGACCATGTGAGCAGGAAGGAATTTCTTTCAAAGTCCTCCAAGACCGGTCCAACGTCTGAGTGCCGGCTATATTGGAGACACCGCGAAACATCTTTGGTGCTGGCGCAGTGAAATTCTTGACCTGGTGAACCACAGCCTGTACAGGAATACCACGTTTCAGTTACAAGTACCCGAACACTTACAAGAGCGTCGCATGACGTATCAGTTACAAGTACCCGAACACTTACAAGAGCGCAGCATGACGTATCAGTTACAAGTACCCGAACACTTACAAGAGACGAGTCCACTTACCTAGCAAGTTCACATGAACGTTACCACATGCCCCACCCCACCCCACCCCACCCCACCCATGTCTACACGCACATAACGGCACACACAGAGACGAGTCCACTTACCTAGCAAGTTCACATGAACGTTAACACATGCCCCACCCCACCCCACCCCACCCATGTCTACACGCACATAACGGCACACACAGAGACGAGTCCACTTACCTAGCAAGTTCACATGAACGTTAACACATGCCCCACCCCACCCCACCCCACCCCACCCCCCCAATGTGCACGAAAACGCACGGCCAGATAAAGACCGTGCTCCAACTAGATGAAACACACAAAAAGAAAAAACAACAGACAGTCAACGCTCCGCCGTGCAGGCAACACGGGTGGCACGGCAGGCAGAAAAACGGGCTGAGAAAAAACGGTTGGAGGAGGAGAAACAAGCAGAGGCTCGGCCGGCGGAAGAAGCTGTCCTGTCGCGAATGCAGCCAGCCAGCGGACGCGGCGCCGCGGCAGGCGAAACGAAAGAGCCAAGCTGAGAAGAACAAAGCCCGCAACAAGAGGCGCAGAGAGTTGCGCCAAGAAGCACGCCAAAGCCAGGACCCTGAGGCGCGCGGGAAAATCGGGAGAGCCCGAGACGCCCGACACGTCGCCGACGCAAACGCCAGGTCCGGCTCGCACGCGTGGCCGCCCTGGAGAAAGACAGGAAAAGGAAAGCCCAGAGCTCAGCTGTGCCCCCAAGAGAAAAAGAAAGAAAGCAAGGAAAGAAAGAAAGAAAAAGAAAGAAGAAAGGAAAGAAAGAAAGAGAAAGAAAGAGAAAGAAAGAAAGAAAGAAAAAAAGAAAGAAAGAAAGAACGAAAGAAAGAACGAAAGAAAGAACGAAAGAAAGAAAGAAAGAAAGAAAAAAGGAAAAGAAAGAAAAGAAAGGAAGAAAAAAGAAAGAACGCAAGGAAGCACGAAAAAAGAAGAATTTGGCGAGAGCTTGACGCATCACTAAGGCGGACAAGGGTAAAAAAGCTGGAGAAGACCAACAGGCTTTCCCAGAGGCAGAGGTCCCCAGTCACTCCTTGCCTCCGGGCTGATTGGTCTTGTTCTGGCAGGTGCCAGCCCCACCGCCGCGGAGGCTACCCACGGTCTTCTCCTCAGTCAGACCGACTTCAACCAGACCGACGGAGAAAAAGGAAAGCACCTAAAAACAAAAAAACGTGGACAGATTGCTGACACGGAAGCATCACGTGATGCATAGAAATAGCAACGCCTCGTACATCCCGAGGACGAGGAAGTAGACGCCGAACTGGCTGTGCCGGGCTTAGCAATAGAGCGCTGGAAAGAGAGAGACAAGTAAGGAGAGAGAGAGAGAGAGAGAGAGAGAGAAAAAGAGAGAGAGAGAGACGAAAACAGACCTCGACACAGACACACAAACAGCCGCCAAACGATCTGCGTATACGCAGCCAACCAACAATGCCAGGCCGAGTACGAGCGTCTACAGCAAAAGGAAGAGGCTTGCACAACATACCCTGATTACCTACGAAGCATTTTGACACATTAAGTCTTAAGTTAATGCCAAAGCAGACAGTACGGAGCAGCCGAATTCAGCACAAATCACGCGTCATATCTCGAATCTGACCACGCCACTGCAGGCAGAAGTCCGCGAAGCGAAGCGGCGGAGTCTCCACGACGACGACCCACCTCTCGGCGATGGTTCGTCGCGTGGCAGCCAGAGCCTCAGAATGGTAAAAAGAGAGCCGCTGCAGCACATGTGTTTGCAATTTATCTCAACCTCCCACAGCGGATAATGTTACGGACTGCTCGGAGAGGATGCGCTCGTAAATATACACCTTATAAAACAGCCATGTGTGCGCAGAATTGCTTCATTTTTGATGTTGTCAACTTCAAAAAATGAGGAAGTCTCGCAGACTTGTTTCGTTTTTGATGTTGTCAAGTGCAAGAATGGAGGAAGTCTCGCTGAATGGCAGCGTTTTTGATGATGTCAAGTTCAAAAACAGAGGAAGTCTCGCAGAATAGCTTCGTTTTCAAGCTTGCAGAAAGATAGATAGACAGACAGGCAGACAGGGAGAGAGAGAGAGAGAGATGGATGGATGGATGGATGCATGGATGGATGGATGGATGGATGGATCGATCGATCGATAGATAGATTAGATAGATTAGACAGATTAGATAGATTAGATAGATTAGATAGAGTAGATTAGATTAGATAGATTAAATGGATAGATGGATAGATGGATAGATGGATAGATGGATGGATGGATGGATGGATGGATGGAAAGATGGAACGATGGAAAGATGGAAAGATGGATAGATGGATAGATGGATAGATGGAAAGATGGAAAGTTGGAAAGATGGAAAGATGGATAGATGGATTAGATAAGATTAGATTAGCTTAGCTTAGATTTGGTTAGATAGATTAGATAGATTAGATAGATGATGGATGGATAGATGGAAAGATGGAAAGATGGAAAGATGGATGGATGGATGGATAGACAGGTAGATAGATAGACAGATAGATAGATAGATAGGTAGGTAGGTAGGTAGGTAGATAGAGAGATAGAGAGAGAGAGATAGATAGATAGATAGATAGATAGATAGATAGATAGATAGATAGATAGATAGATAGATAGATAATGAAAAATAGATAGAGAGAGAGATAGCTAGATAGATAGATAGGTAGATAAGACAAGATAAGATTGGATTAGATTAGACCAGACTAGATTAGATTAGATTAGATATAGAATTGTTTAGATTAGATTAAATTCAGATTAGATTATATTAGATAAGATAGATAGATCGATAGATAGATAGATAGATAGAGAGATAGAGAGATAGAGAGAGAGAGAGAGATAGATCGATAGATAGACCGCTAGATCGATGGATCGATAGATCGATAGATCGATAGATGGATAGATCGATAGATCGATCGATAGATCGGTCGATCGATAGATTGGTAGATCGATAGATCGCTAGATCGATAGATCGGTAGATCGATGGATCGATAGATCGATAGATCGATAGATCGATTCATCGATAGATAGATAGATAGATCGATAGATACATAGGTATGTACGTATGTATGTAGGTAGGTAGGTAGGTAGGTAGGTAGATAGTCAGAGAAAGAGAGAGAAAGAGAGAGAGAGAGAGAGCGAGAGAGAGAGAGGGAGAGAGAGAGAGGGATAGATAGATAGATCGATAGATAGATCGATAGATCGATGGATCGATAGATCGATAGATCGGTAGATGGATAGATCGATAGATCGATCGATAGATCGGTAGATCGATAGATCGCTAGATCGATAGATGGGTAGATCGATGGATCGATAGATCGATAGATCGATAGATCGATCGATAGATAGATAGATCGATAGATACATAGGTATGTATGTATGTATGTAGGTAGGTAGGTAGGTGGGTAGTCAGAGAAAGAGAGAGAAAGAGAGAGAAAGAGAGAGAGAGAGAGAGAAAAAGATAGATAGATAGATAGATAGATAGATAGATAGATAGATAGATAGATGAGAGAGGAGGGGAGAGAGAGAGAGAGAGAGAGAGAGTTCGCTCTCTCTTTCTCTCTCTCCTCTCTCGCTCTCTCCCCCCCGCCTGCGCTCTCTCTCCTCTCTTCTCTCTCTCTCCTCTTCCCCTCTCGTCTCCCTCTCTCTCTCTCTCTCTCGCTGCTCTCGTTCTCTCTCTCCCTCTCTCCCGCTCTCTCCCCTCTTCTCCGTCTCCTCTTCGCTCCTCTCTCTCGCCCCGTCTCTCCCTCTCGCGCCCTCTCTTCCCCTCCTCTCTCTCGCTCGCGCGTCACTCCTCGCTCTCCCTCTCGCTCCTCTCGCTCCCTCTCTCTCCCTGCTCTCTCCCTCTCCTCTCCCCTCGTCCCTCCTCTCTACCTCCCATCTCTCTCGCCGCTCTCTCCCTCTCTCCTCCCCTCTCCTCCCTCTCTCTCCCTCCTCTCTAAAGATCTGCTCGAGGAGACCTCAACCACCTTTCGGTCCATCAGTGGATTCGCCCTGCCATCTGTGATTCACAACAGCCAAGCTGTCCTATAGGTTTCCTATTGTTGGAACTTCCGTGCGGTACTACTGGTAACCAATTATATATTTGATTACTGGGGGAAGTCTCTTTGCAATGTGATTTATTTTTGGATGGTTCTTTAAGCAACTCCATGAAGGTGGTGATTCTCAGGGATGACCTGGCTGAGCCCAAGATGAAACTCAATTGCTCTCAGGAGCAGTTTGTGGACCTGCTGCAGGAGTACCACACTCAGCAGTTGATTCAGCCTGATCTGCAGCCTAAGCTTGATCAGCCTGCTGGGGAGCCTCCTCAAGATCAGGATGCCCTGCCCCCTTGGGTCATGCTCAGGGTCAGGAATGAGCTTGCTGAGATCCACAAAAACTTGAGCTACCACCCAGGGATCAGTCAGGAGCAATGGGTTAGGGCTCTGAGGACAGCTCTTGATGATGCTGGAGGCATTTGATGCTACCCTCAGCAAGTTTCAGGAGATGGACAAGAAGCTCAATGCCTGAGGGGATGGAGGTGGCTGAGGACTCTCAAGTCTCAGCCTATGAGTGGTGATGATGAAGCAGCATCAGATCCACCCTCAGATGCTGAGCCGAGAAGGCCAACTCTGAGGAGCTCTAGAGGACTGAAAGGTGTTTTCGGTGGTGTGGGATTGGTGCTAGCTTGACAATAATCTTAGACTTGTGGTAATCTTGCTCAGTCATGTTGACATCAAATAATTCAGTAACTAGTTAATTGACCAATGAAGTTGTAGCATGTTCATATGTGCATGTCTATGTGATCCTCAGCTGTTTAAGGCTCAACTTCAAGTGCAAGGACCCAGCAAACCTTAGCACCATATCACCCTAGCCATGTGGAACTATCAGGGGAGGGGCTCAGGCAGAGCTCATCCTGCTTTTGAAGAGAAGCCTGCTGAGGTGCCAGATGGAGTCTGGTGGATTCAGGTGGGCAGCCGAAGGCGCTACCAGCTTGAGCCTAATGCTCCACCTCAGGAACCCTCAGGGCTAGCACTCTTCAACAACTCAAATGATACCGACATCGTGGAGTATCCTCGATACCTCAGGGAACCTATGGTAGACTGTGGCAATGGCCACAAAGTCTATCTTAGCAGAACTCCCTGGCAATCAGGATGTCGAGAATGCACTGTGCCTGGGTGGAACCACTGGATGCAAGTTTTATTTGTGTGTGTGTGTACCGTCTGAATAGACGTTAAACTTTAAACTTCGTCCTTATATTATATGATATTATATTTTTATTTATGGCAGGGGGCAGAGGGATCTCCAGTTGTGGCCTCTGCCAACGAAGCTCCACACTGGAGATCAGGTAAACGTACCTGCCTTGTCCCGCCCTGGGCGCATTTAAGACGCAGCTGGGGGGGACATATAATATATTATATCGCTGTTGTTTTATACTGTCATTGTCTACTGTGATCTTACATATATATATAAACTTCATCGTATATTAATTCGATTCCTGTCTAATCTGCATGTTACAGGATTCAGTTCCTGCCGGATCACTATAATGATCCATTCTTGTCTAGTGTGATTCCTATGGTGACTCCGACATGGTGCCATAGGGCCAATTGAGGCAACCCCAGTTGGGGTCAATGTCGACTGAATTGACTTCCGAATTTACACTTTTGAATTAGTAATTCGTTTAAGTAATGTGCAACAGATGGCCTTACCGTTTTGTGCCTTTGACAATGTCCCGCGGCTCCTGTGGTCCCAGGGATTCCTCGCCGACGCATTTCTTCATCTTTGATGCTGTTCTGAACATTCAGAAACCTCCTTTTTTCGCAGCAACCTTTGCAGTTACATTACACGAGACAGAACGCAGGCAGGTACACGATCTTTAGGTGTGGTCTTCTTTCTTTTGATGGTTCTCTGGTGAGGTCAAACATATTGTGCACCTAATTCGCTGGAACTTGAAAGCCGTTTATGCCTATTGTGGCTGACCTGAACACGGGCCTGGAGTGGCACAACGCACGACTTCTAGGTTTTAGGAGCTGAATCCTGGTTTTGTTTTTGTTTTTCACTAACTAGTTCCCCATTGGTCCCCTATCTCATGCTCTCTTCCCTCCCCAGGTAGGTTGGCTCCGTCGCGTGCTGAGGTTTTTTGTAGGTTTTCGCTGTGGCAGGTTGGTTCAGGCGCTTCCGTCTTCCCCCCCATCCGCTGGTCTTGGTCCGTGTCCGTCGACCCTCCGCTTTTTTCTTTTCCCTTGCCTTTTCAGGGTTCGCCCGCTCCGGGCTAGGTGTGTTGGTGTGTGTTTGCTCCTTCCCTCTTCTTTTGCGTTCCCCTCTTCGCGTCCTGGTTAAGTAACGTTCATCTCATTTTCACTCTCATCGCATTTTTCATCCCCCGTTCATCCTCATTTTCATCTCATTTTTACGCGCACCACCCTGCCGGAGGCAGGGGGTGTGTGTGTGTGTACCGTCTGAATAGACGTTAAACTTTAAACTTCGTCCTTATATTATATGATATTATATTTTTATTTATGGCAGGGGGCAGAGGGATCTCCAGTTGTGGCCTCTGCCAACGAAGCTCCACACTGGAGATCAGGTAAACGTACCTGCCTTGTCCCGCCCTGGGCGCATTTAAGACGCAGCTGGGGGGACATATAATATATTATATCGCTGTTGTTTTATACTATCATTGTCTACTGTGATCTTACATATATATATATAAAATCTTCATCGTATATTAATTCGATTCCTGTCTAATCTGCATGTTACAGGATTCAGTTCCTGCCGGATCACTATAATGATCCATTCTTGTCTAGTGTGTGTGTGTGTGTCGTATGTGTCGTGTGTGTCGTGTGTGTCGTGTGTGTGTGTGTCCTATCATAGGGCAATGAGCATAATTAATTCATTTGTTAGTTAGTAGCTGGCATTTTTTTACTTAGCTAATCAACGGATGTAGTTGGCATTTTTGCATGGACACCATTTGCAACCCTGCAGGATCACAATGGCTGGTCTCAGGAAGTGCTTCGCAAATATTACACTGAGGTGCTCAGAATGGACCCATTGCCTTGGGGTGCATTTGTAGCTCCTCAGTTCAGAAGAGGTCAGTTCTATCAGGGCATGAAGCCTCCTGAGCCTGATGCGCACCCAGCTGGATTCTCAGGAGAAGCTGCTTCTTCATCAGCACCAACCAAGACACCAATTTGGAAGCCTCAGCCTATCAGGATAGCCAATGATGCTCAGGGCTATAGTAAGTCTCAGCTCCACAAGCTGGACATGAGCCAAGAGATTGAGAGGCTCCTCAGCATGTCAGCATCAGATGAGAGGCTCAGTGAAATGCACAGCGTACCTGAGCTGATTGAGGACATGAGGTCTAAGCTGCAGCTACTTGAGGAGGCAGCTAAGACTCAGGAACTCACAATCTCCAGGCTCAGGGAAGATGCTCGGAAAATGGAAGAGGAGCAACATGTGCTCAGCGCTTTGCAATCTGGGCTGGCCATGGGTGTGGACAGAGCTGAGTTCTACCTGCAGGCGCTTGGAGAATGGCTTCAGTAAAGCAGAGCAAGAAGCCCAAGGTCAAGGAGGAAGATGAGATGGAGACTGATAAGGTGCATGAATGCTGAGCAGAAGCTAAAAGCATTAGCAATTCCTAAGTCTCAGCAGCATTTTGTAACAGCGGGCAGAAAAAATGAATGCAGCTCTGAAGGGATGTGGGTGGTTTTGCCACTGCTGCTGGTTGTTGTTGCTGCTTGGAATTAATTACTTTAGCATAAGTAATGGGTCATGTTTGTCATTAACATACATCGAGTTTACTAATTAGTTATATGTTATGCTCCCAGCTTTTTGTCCCTGACAGGACCTCAGCATCCTGAGCAACTGGACTACCTGGTGGCTACCTCAAGCTCAGCATGAAGTCTTCTTTCCTCATCGACTCCTGAGCAAGCTTGAGTGCTTTTTTACATTGAGCTGGAGCAAGGCTTCGTGATTTTTAAAATGTCCCAGCATGTGGCTATCAGCAAAAGACACTGCCAAAAAATGGTTGGGAAAGTGGTGGGGTTGGGTCGGGTTGCAAGCACTAAGATTTAACTTAGCAGAATGAATCTAAATTTCCTGTAAGCAGTGCGCTGTGAGCCAATAAATACTCAACTTAGATTTGATGTCCTTTGCAATTGCTTAGATGGATGTTTGAAAGCTTTTACGTCAGACAACAGCTGGGCGCAATAGAGGACCACCACAACAAACATACTATTGAAGATCAGGGTTGCTCATGGGCTACCCCCTTGAAAATTGTTTGGCTGCTGTTTGTAAATTGGGTTTTAATAAGGCATCCTATATTTTGGGAAATTGGACATTTCTGAGGATTCCAGAAGAATGAAGCTAAGAAAGTAAAAGAAGAAACTTTAGCAAAGGAAAAGGTAAAAGGAATGTAAAAAAATTCACCCCAGACAACAGCTGGGCACAATAGAGGACCACCACAACAAACATACTATTGAAGATCAGGGTTGCTCATGGGCTACCCCCTTGAAAATTGTTTGGCTGCTGTTTTTTTTTAAAATTGGGTTTTAATAAGGCATCCTATATTTTGGAAATTAGACATTTTGAGAATTCTAAAAGAATGGGGCTAAGAAAGTAAAAAGAGAACTATTAATTAGCAAAGGAAAGGAAAAGGACAAAATAAAATGATTTTGGAAAACTTTGTCTTAAAAGAAAAACTTGACACAATAGAGGACCACCACAATAAACATACTATTGAAAATCAATGCTGCCCATGGGCTGCCCGATTGAAAAATTGTTTGGGTGCTGTTTATTTTTTTTTATTGGGTTTAATAAGGCATCCTATATTTTGGAAACTAGACATTTTGAGAACCCTAAAAGAATGGAAGTAAGAACGTAAAAAGAGAACTATTAATTAGCAAAGGAAAGGAAAAGGAAAGGAGAGAAGGATTTTGGACAATTTTTGCTTCAAAAAAAACTTTACACACTAGAGGACCACCACAACAACATACTATTGAAGACCAATGCTGCTCTTGGGCTACCGGCTTGAAAAAATGTTTGGTGCTATATTTCATAAGTTTTTAATAAAAAATTGATACGTTGTGAAAATGGTGCATTCTGACTATCCTAGATAAAAACTAAGTAATTAATTTACAATAGCTACTCCAGAGAAGGGGATAAATGTAATGACGAACATTTTCATCTCAAAAAAAATCTGGACAAAATAGAGGATCACCACAACAAACACATTAATTAACTATTGAATCTTGCTGATGGGTCACAACCTTGAAAAATTGTTTCTTCAGGCAACGACTGGACACAATAAAGGACCACCACAACAAACAAATATTCATCAGTTAATTAGCTAATTAAATATTTTCAAAAATGCCGAAAAATGAGACGCAATTAAAAATGCCGAAAAAAACGGGGAACATGCTGAAAAAATTGGAAGATGCTGAAAAAAACTCGAAACATGCTGAAAAAAACGGAAAAATGCTGAAACACAACTTGACACAATAGTGGATCCCCCAAGAATTCCACTGAACCAGATTTTTTTTTGGGGAAATCCTCATCCTAATCGACGTCCAACATTATTGTCATTTCTTGTTGGTAATTATTATTGCGTGCCTGTGCATACCTGTTCCACACAGCTTTCGAAATCCTTGTGTATGATCAGGATTTCAACCCATGCACTTTTTTTCCGTACTCTAAGTGTTGCACCCGGGGTGTTCCAAAAACTGTTTGGGGCTTGGCATTCCGAGAGTTTAGTGATGACTGCAGGTCGATGCAGGAAATGCTCTGGGCGGCACTGATGGAACCTGCAATTTGGGCAGATGATGAGAAACCAAAACCAGTGGAGCATGCCCCGGACTGGCCATGGCTGGGGCTTTGGTTCGCCAATCGTGGCAGGGATTCCGAACTATACTCGAAAATTATCGTGCTATCATGTCTATCTTGTGCACAAGTTAGCTTGTGATATTTTTGGATTTTGGAATGCTCAGGGTTGAGTTCATTTTGCCGCTTGTTCTGAGTTTTAGAAGCAGATTTTGGGAGCCGAGCATTCCAGGAGGCAAGAGGGAAGCTGGGTACCTCCTTCGGTCTGCTGCACAACGAGGCACATGGTTTCCACATCCATTGTACCGAAGCACCCGAAGCACATTCGATCCATGCGCCTTCATGGCTCACTCTGCTTGCGAGTTTTCTTCACTTACCAAGTTGGGCTGTGGTTCAAACATGTTCAAACGATGCCATGGCAGCAACTGAGGTGATCAATGGCTTGAGCACTATTGCGGCACCATTCTGCGCTCTTTGTGCGCAGGCACTGTGCTGACCTTCTTGATCATTGATGATGTGGTTGATATAAGCATCCCAGCCAGCTTACAACAAACTGACAAGCAGCCGTTTCTTCCAACCAGGCAAGATCATTGGAAGTGACAATACTGTCCCTTAGTGTCTGCTTCCAAAATACAGCATTCTAAAACATGTACTGTAGACATACACGATAGGATTCAGAAATGTAGTGTATGTCGAGTTTCCTTTACTGTTGAATCCTTGATGATCACAACGTTTGGTGCAATGCCGCAATGCCAGGCAGATGAACTCGCCGGGCTCGCACCACCTGAGGTCTTCGTTTTCCATTCGTGCTATGTGTTGAACTTTTGCTGGAACTTTTTCTTTTTGTTTGCAGGAGTTTGATGGGCCACCAGCGGAAATCCTGCAATTCTTCGTGAGGCGGTTGAGTGTTGAGGAGTGTTGAGATGTGTTGAGGGTTGGGAGCTCCCAAGGACCATCACCAGTGCCAGGCTTTGTAGCCGCTTTTTGGATCAGCTCTACAACCAGGGTATGGACGCGCGCGAGCCTGACCTCACAAGGTGGCTGCTGGTTTTCGCGGTGCAGCCTGGGTTTCAGATGTGAGTAGAATATTGCAGAGCTATGCGCAGCTGTGAATGCATAGCTTGGTCCTTGGATAGAATCATGATAGAATCGAGTTTCTCAGAATAAAGCACTTCAGTTTCACACACTCCATGGCTGGTCAGGACTCTCAAAACTTTCTTGGAGGAGAAAGCTGTGACACATTTGCGGAGATGGATCACAGCGTCAACTCAGGCCTGGTCTTGAGATGTCTTCAGTGTCTTAAGGGTCTAGGGGAAAGAAAAACAGGATCAACAAGTTTTTTGGGAAGAATCCTGCTTCGGTCACTCAGATCTTTTGTTTGCAGAATTGTACATTGTAGATAATTGTAGAACAGTTTCACAATCTGGGTCTTTGTTGACTTTGTGAGAAACATCCAGCGACCTGAACAGGAAATGGATGTCCGCTGCCGGCTTCACGCTCACATGGCACTTACTTGCTTGCAGAGAGATGTGCCGCTGCCTCATTTTTTGCTTCACTGGATTGATCAAACGATCGTTTTCTTTCAGAAGAAGAGGCACACAGCATAATCCAGAACATACCAATGCATTCCAATGCCTCACATGCAAGCAAGTTTCCCGCGGGGTAGACTATCCAGAAGAATCGAGAATATAGAGGATATCAGTACACCTGTGCATACCTGTGCTCACAATCTTATATGTCGTTTTTTTTTTCGCTGCAGTTGACATTCTGCTAAAACACTGTCATGAATTCAGCAGCCGCCAGCACATGCTAACACTGCCTGATTTTCAGTTTTGTTTCATCCGGTGAGCATGTAAGGTCCGACGCCGACAACCTCATTCTTCTTTTGAGCAGTCACGAAGATTGCACACAGTCCGCTCAACTCTTTCGACAGCTGGATGGAAAACAACCTTGATGGCAAGCGCGGCATCTTTCCTGAGATTTCCTGAGCATTTTAGTCAGATGCAATCTGTTTGATCTTTAGGTTGCTCATACGTCATGGCTTGGTACGAGCGCGACTTTTCCGACACATTTGGCACAGAATTGCAGCCCCTTGGCAGTGGGGTCGTTTGGTACAACCCTGGCTGCTACAGCCCAAATTAGCAATCTACAGTTATCAGTTATCATCATTGTCCCCATAAAAATGGCCATTTGGATCCATTTGGGGGGTATGCACCATTTCCCAACAAACCCATATCTCATCATATCTCGCTTTCAACCCCAGGATGGTCTTTGAAGTGGTTCAAAGAAGGAGAGTGGAGGCCTTTGTCTCAGTTTCTACATGAGTCATATCATTTTTTCTCTACAGTGTATCATGTTGGCTTCACAACAGGATCATCTCAGTCTTTGGCTTGGGTTGGTTTGGTGTGGGCAAGGTCATCGCTGCCGTGAACGATTCCCCCAAACGGAAGTACATCTTGGACCAGGCACCATCACATTTGATATATTTGATCAATCAGCCCGAATCGGAACTGAATGAGCCTGCCCAGCTTGCCCATCCTGCCCGCATCCACTGTATGTCTTGTGCGAGAGCTGAACCAATGTGAACCAGGCAGCCAAGATCACTTCGAACTTTTTCACATCTGGCGTCCTGGTCGCAGGATTCGTCCTGAAGAATGTATCATACGCTTAATGAGGTAAGCAATTCAATCAACGAAGGCAAATCGCGTTTTTTTTTAAACATGTTTTTGCGGCCTAATTGTACGAACCTGTTCCTTGTCCCTTCCCAAGTTTCGAACGTACCGCGTCAATCCGCGTCAGCGATCCAAGATGCGGACGAATGGCATGCCGAGAAGGGTTCTGGAACCTGGAAGTGCGACAAGAAGGGTGGAGCAGCTGAAGCTTGGCATCGAAGTGGTTGAGCTCTTTCATGGCCAGCAGCTTTTTAAGGAGTTTCCGACAAACATGTCCATGATGTTAATCGTTTTTGATCTATGGTACTAGTATGTATTAGCAGTAATTGTCATATTATATAATTATATAGTATATGCCATGTAAGTATATTAGATGTAAGTCATGTAGTCATTCTATTGGTCAACATACTTTGTCCTGTTGTATGGCAGGCATACCGTACCAAGGGATGCTCGTGGCATCCCTTGGGATGCAGAGCAGACAGCAGTTGAACCATGGTCTGAGGTCTTCAATCTTCAAACATGTACTTTGTGGCTGGAATCAGGCCGGGATGAAAATGACCTTCTCTCTCTCTCTCTATATGTGCATGTCCATTTGAATTATGTGTATACACACACACACACATCCCCTTCTGTTCTATTAAAAAACAAGCATGAAATACTGCTAAGTCACTTCGTTGGATCACTTCCACTGAAGCTCAACGGAATTTGGTGCGACCCAGTCTGTGGGCACATCACCAGGCTTGCTGCGCCCCATTCCGCCCAAGCTCCAGCGGACTCCACAGTTTGTTTGGGTCTCAGGTCGTAGTGGTCATGCTAGGAGTTACAAAAAGTTACAAGTCGACGGTTGGTGCAAAGAAGCCGCACTCGTGTGTGGTTACTCCCACTGGTCAGATTGATGCTGACTTGTGCTGGCGCAGGCAGAGTTCTTTCGGATGCATCCTGTAAAACTGCAGCCAACCTGCCGTCCTTTGAGGCAAGGGCTGGCATGGGCTGGCATTGAAACTCCACGTTCTCATCTCCCGACCGCCACGGGATGGGAATATCTGGTCCAGGCTGGCGCGGAACTGCCACATGCTCTCTGCAGTCGATGACGACAGCAAAGCATTTGAGCTGCAGCAGGGAGTCTCAGACGGTCTCAGATGTCTCAGTTTCACTGAACTTGCGCCGTCATAGCTTGCGGAGAAGCCACGAGGGAAGTGCAAAGACACAGCTGGTGCAAAGCTTTCAACCCACACATATCCGGGCATCAAGGTGGTGGTCATCAGTTCAACAGCAAAACGAATACGTATCTGCAGAGGACAGACCATTGTCTGATATTACTGCAGCTAGGCAGCTTTCTTCTCGCAGTGTTTTCTGGGATCGTGCGACAATTGACAGGATGATCAGGGCTTGAAGTGGAAAGCGCAAGGATCGTGCACTGGAGCCGCTCAGATGGATTTGGCCGAGTCTCAAGAAAGGGTAATACTCTGCAACAGTGCTCCACGAAAAAAAACACTTTTGGTTCTTTTTGAAAAAACACAATTTCCACCCAGACTGGTGGATGGTAGACCATGTCAGCCGTGGACCATGTCATGCTATATTGGTGCGAGAACCATTGCCGCTAGCATCGCCAGCATCGTGGATTTTGAATGATTTTGAGGTAGCAATGCCATGGAAGCAGGATGACCAATGGAGATTGCCTGGAGGTATCGTGTGTGAATTGCAAGATGTGCAATCCTGGCTTGGGCCTCAGCTTCGGATTGGATACACATCGTATTCCATTGGCTTTCCATATCAGTGCCATGTGAGAAGCCATGCAATCCAAAACGCGAGGCTCAAAGGGCAGGGCAAAGACGAATTGGCCGAAGTCTGGGAGAGGCTTCTTACTTTTGCACAAGATCCTGGCAATGATGATGAAGGCGTGCTGGCATGGGCCAAGGGAGTGAGACTTGAGTCATCTTGAGTCATCTTGAGTCATCTTGAGTCATACTGAGTCTCAGGATGTCTCAGGTTGTCTCGTGTCCACAACGTGTATCCACGTGAAGCTAACCAGGAGAAGCACTGGGGCCATTGATGAACTCTTGGTACTGCCAGACGAACCAACTTAATGTCGCTTATCTGCCTTGTGAACATCGGGTCGGCATGGTAAGTTGCGTTGCTATCGTTTCTGAAACATTCTTTAACATTTCACTTAACTTTGCGCACAATCTGAAACACCAAGAGGCATCAGAGAAGGTCACTTGAATGAAAGAAGAACTTTCGGTGAACATACATAGTTTTGTGGTACTTGATGGAAACAACATGTAACGACTCAACCAAGTGATAGCAGACTCAAGACTCTCGACGTTATCTTGAATAAGCAGTAGATTCGCTTGCCCATCACTTGGCACCTGAGACCAAAGAGTTGGTGGCTGTGCAGCATATGGACAGGCCAGGGACATATTGATTGTGGTGAAAGCATTCTTTGTTGCTGGAGAGGCGGTTGACCAATTGGATAGATGCAAAAACATGCAACAACAACCATGTGACATCATTTATAGGAGTCTGGGGTTTCTTGGTTCTAGACTTGCGTCATCTTGTGTCAAGTCAAGCCAGATGCGAAGACTGACTTGACTTGGTGTGAAGCACGCTACACTTTTCCGAAACAACTCCCCAAATTCATCCAGGCAAGGAATCCTTGAAGCTCGATTCGCTTGTGAAGGGCATGCTGTGATTCGTGTCTTCACTCACAGTGTGCCTTGGAAAATCAGTATGCAATTGGGTTGTTCGATGATATTCGCAGGGTCTTTCCGTGTCTTTCCGCTCCGGTTCAGCCATGAAGTCATGGAAGTGCTCTTATGGGTTCAGCCATGAAGTCATGGAAGTGCTCTGATGGTCACTTGCCAAGGACTTCGGACGCCATTCCTTCCGGTCCCAAGTCTTTTGCTCCGATGCGGCCTTCTCATATGCATCCTTGGTACCGAATGACCTGGACAGAGAAGAACGACCACTATGCAATCCGCAATTTGCTGGAAAGATAGGTGCGAGTGTCAAAAAACATCGTAGTAGATTTGCAGCATTTTGCAGCATCCTGCAGAAGGCATATCAGATCATGTCAAATCGTGTCAGGTCATATTATGATCATGTCAGTCATGTCAGGGTGTAGTTTTCTGGTGATAGACTTTCTTCTTGAGACATCTTGAGACATGAGACCCATTGAGACCCTGTGCCTGCAGGCTTCTTAGTGAAAGATGAGACCCTGGCGATCTTGGACGATAGCAAGCGGCTCTGGGTCCCCCCTGTGGCATTGCAGGGGCTGCTTCCTGCTGTTCTTTTGGAGGTTTGTTTGGGGAACGGATGTCTTTTAAGCAATGTCTCACTTGGTGGGCCATTGTAGTCTTGTGTTGTAGAAGTTTTTGGGATTGTAGCGCTGACACTGACACGTGGAAAACAGGAATTGAACAGAGCTGTAGGTGGCCAGCGCAGCCTCTTTAAGTCTTCCGAAGACGGAGTCAACCCGCAATACAGACAAGATGCCCTTGATATCCTTTGATAGACGATTCTCTACGATAAGGAGACACTGGCTTCTCTGGCACTGGCTTCGTATACCAATATGTACCAATATATACCACACATCCCGGAAGCAACTGAAGCGTGCCGCAGGGCTGCCGCTTCTGGGCAGAAGAGAAGCATGGTGTCGTGAGCTTCACAGGCACTAATTCGAGTTTTGGACATTCTGGAGATTTTGGAGAGTTTGGACATCGGATGATATCGATAATATCGTTATCATTTCTCCAAGTTTCTCGAGCCTTTCTTTCGCGGCCATTCTTTGCCATTCTGTCAGCAATGTCTTATCAGAATTCTGACTTCGCAGGTAAACCATACAATCCACCTGTCTACAACACCCTCAACTACACATTGCAAGTGACGTGCGAGAATGGACTAGCAAAGGCAAGCGGAGTATTTCAAAGTCTTTGAGAGAGGGAAGACTACAAGAACCAGAACACTCTTTCATTTCGCGGCATTCCTTTGTGTGCGGTTGTTTGACCAGTCATAAAAGCATTCAGCACGAAAGGCGCCTTCAAGTTGATAGATCGGCAGACACGGTGTACGCTAGTATGTGAGTGTATACATGAAACTAGATTTAATAAAAGGCAATATGCTACTGACAGTGAGTTCAATTTCTCAACCTGTGTGATTTTTTGCTGTTGTCAGGTCACTCGTCAAGTTGGCGACAAGACCTGGGTTTTGGCAAGCCCAATCCATGCACCAAGTGGCTCTCAGATTGAGCGCTTCGCTGCGATTTTGGGACCACTGGAAGCGATGAGCCACACCCTCTTCTGGACCGATGAGGTCACTGGATTCCAAGAGGGGCAGTCGGCAGTGATGTCTTGTGCAATGCTGTAGATGAACCAGTTTTCAACAGCAACGGATGCTCATAGAACCTGCATGGAACAAAACGGACCAGCTGGGAACACGAGATACATGACCACAACTACAAATCACATAAACACCATATCTTCTCGCGTTGCGTCGAAGGATCATATCTTGAACTCTGACATCATAGATCTTAGGATTCTTACTGCTAGGATTCCTACGATTAGGCGGCGCCCATGTTTCATCATGTTTCATCCTCATTCCATTCGACTTTGATTTTCCATTCGCCGAGGAGGGCAGTGCTGTGTGTTTGGTGGAGCTTCCGCGTGTGCAGCTGCGCTTCGTGCCTGGACCCGATCCCAACAACCGTGGACTTCGGCTCTTCTCCAAGGAGTTCGGAGGCGAGGGAAAATTCCACGGAAAGCGATATGAGAAAACTGAGAAATTATGAGGCCACGGTTTTTGTCAAGATACTTTTGCTGAATATATAGTATATTAGTGTATATTATATAATATAGATGTATATATAGATTCGATATTTGATACTAAATTAGACTGATTATTGATATATAATGATATTGTTGAAGTTCATTCTTGATTCATTTGAACTTGATCAGAGGGTTTGATATTGATATTGACTGTTAGAGATGCCTCCACGAGGATGACGTGCCTGTTGAAACATGTGTCCAAGTTGTAGGGACTGCCATCTTCGTGACGATTTTGGCGTGTGAGGTTTCTACCTTTTGAACCGGAGAGGGGTTTTTGATCCTGAGGCGCCGGGAATGATGCCAAAGGTTGTCGAAATAATCAGACTCTTCTGATAGCAGCGCTAGCAGCTTCTCACCTCTTCGTTCAAGAATATATAGAATCTGTCACTCATTGACTCATTGAGTGGAGAGTAGTGGGTGTGGACTTTCTAGACGAATTGTGTTGTCTTTTCTTGGTTGAATCTGAATGTTTGTTATACGCTAAACTTTGACTTTCTTAATTTTTCTAACTCGCAAAGCACTGAAAGGCATGGCAAGAAGCTACGGGCGATCCACGTGCGACCGATCTTGCCGCCAAGCTGAAAGTTTCCAACATGTTCCAAGCAACTGGTTGCGATATGATGCAATAGGCACTCAGGGTTTGATGATGTTTGTCAAGTGGCCGCCACCAAGGCCGCGTTTTTGGCCAAGATGCCCCATGCAGTGGTCTTGAGAAGTGCTGCTGGTGCTATCCGAATCCTTGTGACCAGTGCTGACGTCACAAGGCCTGGAGCAAAGTATCACCGTTTGACTGCAATAGATTTCATTTTACAGACATTTACAGACTGTACATGATTGTACTGTTCTACAATGATCTATAATGTCTTATAATGTAATTATGATGTACGATATAGGTTTCTAGATGAAGTGCTTGGAACTGTGATTGCATTCTGCACTGTTCAGCTGTAGGCCGAACATCAAATGCAAGCCCTTCTCAACAGAAGCTCAGCATCCCAAAGTGACAAGTGACATGCGGAAAGATTATACTTCGCACAAGGGGCAGCCCTCCAAGGAACAACTACGCGTTGTAACATGATTCTTCATGATCTCTATTACTTAATATCACGTAGCTTGCTTATGTAAATTGCAATCGTTGCATGCAGATGTGCTTCTTGAGCGGTTGCATTGCCGCAGCTGGTGATATCTGGTGATATCTGGTGATATCTGGTGATATCTGGTGATCCGAGGATTTGGTGGTGAACCGAAAGATCTTAGTTGCGCTGAGTGGCAAGACTTTCCTTTGGGACTTCCATGAATCTGGATCTCTATTGCTGACGTCCTCGCTGAGTGGCACACTCTACTTGAGCCTGTTGCACCTTGCTTGCACATATCTCACAATGGTTCAAAAGGGTTCAACGCATTTGACACAAGAGAGTCTTTGGGCAATCTTTCATCCTTGTCCAACTTGATGACAGACCAGGATATTGAATTTCTGATAATCTTGACTGAGCAGTGTCAGAACCCTTGAAGGCTCTTGTAAGGCTTGCCGTGTGGCTTCTCTCTGTAGGACCCTGCTGCACCGTGACTACACCGCTTGCGCAAGACTGATTGGCTCGGTGGGCTTTGATGAAGGTGGGGAATGGCCAGTGCTACGCCGAGATGCACTCCTGGAAGGAAATTTGAATGAATCCCGTATAAGATGCAATTCCGGGTCAAGGCAGAATAATCACGGACTGACATGAGAGGTTGAGATACTCAAGGGATTTCCAACAGGCAATGGTTTGGCTACTTGGACCGGACCCATAGAATTGCACTGCATGATGCGATATGATGCCAGGTGACCAATTACGATAGTTGGCTACAGTAGCTTCATCATGAGTCATCTTGACTGAGCCGGAGGTATTTCAGCCGAAGAGTTCCGCCTTTTGAAGATGACCCTTTTTTCAACCATGAAAGCTGCTTGATCGCAACTTGATGAGAACCGCTGCATATTTGTGCCTTGTCTTAGTGGGGTTGATAGGATAGTCTAGGAATGTAGGAATGTCTAGGAGGTGTCTCTTGATTCAGTGCTAAGTTCTGAGGACCGACATCCTGATGCTTCAGCTTTGCGCTTGAAGCTGGTGTTGGCTCTTATTGCGCACAATCCAAAGCACCCTCTCCTGGACCCAGTGACATGGCTATGGACATTCTCTGGGGTCCGTGCTCTTGTTGAGCGAGCCTGATGATTTTTGCTGCAGGTTTTTTCTCCTGTTTCCACTTCCACTTGGCTGCTTCAAACATCTTCAAACTGTTCAGGTCTGAATCTAGATTCTGTTTTGTTGGATCTATTGATGGGGTTCGATGTGTGAGTTGACGAGGACAACAAGCTCATCCAGTCGGACTATAGCGACTACTTGTTGAAGCTGACCCACATATCACAGAGCTGCCAGCTGCAGTTGCGTGAAGAAGGCAGAAGATCTCAGAACCGGGAGATCAATCGAGATAACCAGAGAACCTTTACCCGCAAATCAATATGTGAAACCCGTGTTGGGCGTACTGCAGAATCAGCTCGCGTCTCCGACGCATGCTTTCTGCTTATTATTATTTAAACATGTTCTTCGTTCAACTTCTATGCTATCATGACCCATCCAACTGCGCAAGGCGTCTTGCTGCGAAATATGCAGGAGATGGGCTGCGAGACGCCTGTCTCAACGACGATATCTAAGTTCAGGTCTTGTTGGATTTCTGCTGACCTTCAAGACCTAATTTGGAACACCAAGCATAGTGAATAGATAACCCAAGTAGGAAAGCAGTTTACTTGAATGACCGTGTGTTCCCTTGTACCATCTTGTACCCCCCAGGTATCCAAATGCCATCAAATGCCCAGAAGATCAGAATCTGCTTTGATCATTTTTCAAGATTTCTCAATAATGAAATAAGAAAATTGGAGATGTTTTAGTCAGATTTAGTCAGAGCTCAGTGAGCTCAGGTCCTGGCAACAAGCCGACAACCGCTTCAAGTTTGTCGAGGCGGTTCAAAATGGAAGCCCAGCATGTGTTCTTCGGCACCTAGGCCTAGACTCGGCCTAGACTCGGCCTGGACTCGGCCTAGACCTAGCTAGACCTTGGCATACCGAGGTCAAGACGAGTGTGGAGTCATGGCAGTCATGGGAGTTGCAAGCGGACCTTCTTTCTGTTCACAGATGTAATGTCAATTAATGTCATACTATTTCAATATATATATATATATATTGAAATGTATATATATAGATATTATATGTCATACAGATGTAGTGGACATTGTTTCCGAGGTGCCAGTAGAGCTGAACGGCTAAGAAAATTTAAATCTTTTGGAAAGCCCTTGATTTTGATGTTTTTGATGGACTGGTTTGTTGCTTTTTGTTTCATTCAGGTATGGTTCGCGCCATCCAGCTGCACGTCGAGAAGGCCCAAAAGGGTGTATTCGACATGCTTGAAGTGTAGCGAGCCATGATGTGGATATATGTGGCGGCGGCGGGGTTTTTCAAATCCATTTTTTCGGCAATTCTAAATCATTTTCAATATGGAAAAGATGATCAACCATCAAATTTGAGGGTAGCCCATCGTCCAACAAAAATCCCATGCCGGACGGGAGCCAAGGTCTCCTGGGCTATCAAAACCTGCAAAGAAACATGGAGGTCTTCACAAAAAATCGATGGCCACTGGACGGAGAGGGTTTGTTTGAAAATGGATGAACATGACCCCAAACAACATCCAAACAACCACATTACTAGGGAAAAGGATGATAAACCACTGAAAAATATGGGGGACCAATGGGGACCATATTTTAAGACAAACCCATATTAATACGTGTTTCATATTCTGTCATCATGTTTCCCGTTCCCTTGGAAGTGTTTGGAGTTCCGTGCAGCTGTTCCTACTCCTACATGAAGTAACATTGCAGGGAATAGACATGACACAACTTTGTAATACCTTTCAATGGTGAATCTCAGATTTTGACGACGTCTTCTGTCAGTTGGAGAGTTGTCAGCTGACTCAGTTGCAAGGTATGAAAACTTCACGGTTGACATGAAGGATGAGGGCAACAATCGGACGGACTTGGAGTCCCTTGTTCAGCTCTTGGACCGTTGTGACCGGGCTTGGGCCCTAGCAGCCCGAGCAAAGTACTGCAGCCATCAAGGGACAGCTATGGACAGCTAGCATCAGAATCTATATACTCACACTGAAGGATTTTCCCTTCCCTGAGGAAGATTGGACCTGCTCCGGAACGCTCTTCTTCACTCTGTATGCAATCCTCACAGGCATCCGACATGCTCTGCTGATAAGAAGGCTGATACTTTTCTCTGGCTAATTATGGCCTAGGAGCATGATCGATTCTGTAGCATATGTAGCATATGTAGTACTGCCGCTGTACCCTGACACTGAAAAAGTACGATAACATTCAGGGTCGAACTGGAACTGCGGATCGGATGGAACTGTGTGGAACTCGTTCGCTGTGCCAGGAACCAGCAAAGCCACGCTGAATGGAAAAGACGTGACGAAACGTCTTGTCCGATTGGTCATTGAAAAGCCACATGGCCAACAATTTCTTGTGATTTCTTGTGTATCAGGCAGAAAATCGATTACGTAAGCGAATCAGTAGTCAAAATGCACTGCTGCGACTCAAATATTTGCTGGCACTAGCAACATTTTTGATCAACCGACGGATCTTTGTACTATTGTGACATGATCCTGTATGCAACCTTTGCTACTCCAGGTTCTGGTTGAGAGTCATTCGACTTGCTAAGAATCCTTCAGGAGACTGGGTTTTCGCCAAGAGTGCTATATAAAGGTTATAAAGGGTCATAGTGTTTTGGCAGACAGATGATGTGGCATTGGGGCAAAGTATGCAACGCTGCAGATTCGCAAGAAAGCATGATATCGAATTGCCAGGGTCTCAACCGCAGTCTCGGTCAGGAGACGACATGCGAATCATTTGCACCTTGGCGGAAAGACAGACTTCATGGACGGTTTCTTTGGATTTAGACTTCTTGGAAAGCCAGCACCCCGTGGGCCCCACACACTTTTGATTGTGCCTTGCTGCTTAATTTAAGCAGCGAAAGAGCATGCAAGAGCACTTTGACCAGACTCAGCTTGAGAATTTGAAAGGACATGAAAGGAACTTTCCAGCTGGTCAGGTACCCTTTGGTCTGTGCTTGGTATGAACGCGATGGGCACGACTGGCAGCCTTCCCCCCTGGCATGATGCAGTCGCTTGGACATCGAGTGTCCAAAGCACCATGGAAATCGCATTGAGTCGGTCATATCACTGAGATTCACTGAGCAAGGATTGACATTGTGAGCATCGCCGGTTTCCCAACCTGGCTAGGCCAAATTATACAAGGAGTCCAAATATGGATGTCTGACTCTTGGAATGAAGAGTCAACCGCAACCAGCCACTAGAATTCCACACAGCACTGCTGCTTGGTGCATGTCAAGTGCTGCGCAAAGCCACAAGCCTCAGGGTGTTGCATAGTTTCTCCATGACTTGATATGTTGATGTAATAATATAATATAGTATATATATAATATAGATAAATAAATGAATACATGAATAAATGAATAAATAATTTAACAACAATATTTGTTGAACGAGGATTGGACATGATGAGAGCTGTGGCCTGACCTTTCTCAATGACTTGCACAAAGCCTTGGAGTCTGGCTTCAGCTGTGCAGAGACCCTGGTGCCACAGGCCAGCTACTTGAGTAGACTCGAGTTGGAAAGCTGGAAGGCTAGAAGGAAGCGCTTTCTCCATTCATGATTATTGAGATGTTTAGCAGGTGACTTGCCGCAACGACTCCCACCAGGACAAGCTCACGATCAGCGATGCCCTCAGGTATAAGAGGTAAAAGTTGTACACGATGGTACACTCAATAATATCTTATCAATCATTGTCGTTCAACTGTTCAGTCTGGTTCGGTCAGCATCTCACATGGCTCACCATATCCCTTTTTTGTTTAGAGAGAAAAAAACCATAAACACTATAAAACAGTAGTCGATCAGTAGTCCTCAATACTTCACATCTTTCACCGTAGTCTCGAGGTGAAGAAGCCATGCCCAGATTTTCTCCACCCTGTGCTCCACGTTTGACGGACTTCGCGAAGGGCAGCTGCGGCTTAGAAGGGGAGGCAGCAGAGGCGCTGCACACTGACAGAGTACAGCTGCAACAGTTGTGATGTGATGAGGTACAGCACATTACATTATATAATATATGTACAATGTACACATGATAATACATGATTATACATATGACATCATATGACATAATATAATATATGTACATATGATACTGCATAATTATATATATGCACGCATATTATATGTATTGTATATAATATAAATACATCTACCTAGTTATGATTAGCATCAATTACTGTAGCTATGTCTGTAGACGTAGATCTACATCTTTGGAATCGAATCTTGAGATCTACACGTAGTAACTCTATGTAAGCAGAACCATCGCTATGTATCGCTATTGGGGAGGCGCAACAAACTACTTTCCATGAAATCGAACTCGTTTTCTGCCGGTCATTTTTTCGCATCATAGTTAGCTTCAATGCTAAGTCATGTCTCATCAGCTTCACGGCATTGTGAAGTCTGCCTACATTGAAGGGAGATTTCATGTGATTTCCAATGCCAATAAGTTTGAACTGCTGAGTGAAAATCGCGATTGTACTCCAGCTGGCCTGCCGAAAGGTGCTGTCAATGCTGAGCCAACCTTTGAAATTCATCTCTGACAAGTTCATGAGTGAATTCGAGGACACTGAGAATTTAAAGATTCCTGAAGGCTATACTGTAGGTTTGTACATGTGCAGTTGGGTGAAGCATGCTGAAGCCACCTCTTGATGACCTTTGACTCCTTGCTTTTCCGGTCTTTGCCATGGCTATGTTACGATTGTTACGCAATGTTCAGCGCAATGTTCAGCGCAATGTTCAGCGCAATGTTCAGGAGTCTCTCAACATTCCCGATTGTCCCTTCAGTGAAAAGCGGCTGAGTGGACTGCCTGGCGGCATGACTCGCATGGGAGCTGGAATCATCAAGGGGAAGTTGGATGGACACGCCACATCCTCAGACAGTGCTCTAGGATGTTCTCCAGCATGTAGGTCCTAGTTTCTTGGATTTTCTAAGATAACTTTTCAAGCATTTTGAAGTCCTTCTTTTCCAATTTTTCCAGTTCATCATCTTTAGGCTTGAAGCAATGTCGTCTTGTTCGTAAACCGCATGCCATTTGGCATCCTTTCGCAAGTGATTGTTTACGAACCTGAATTTGAACGGAAAAGACTTAAATGCAGCTAGGTAAATAAGACATCAGACTTCCTTTTCTTTGGAATTTCTTCATGTGTGACCTGCCTTAAAAACGCACACAGACTGAGGCTGTCTTTTTGGACAGATCCAAGAAAAAGAAAGGCAGTGATCCGCCGCTGAACAGTCAACATGTCACAAGCAAGAGTATTTTCAAACAATCTATGCGCCAGCTGTGACAAGCAGAACGCTGCAATACTCGTACCATGCGGCAATCCTACTCGACCCCAAAGTCTGCCACTTGTTTTGGACATGTGATCCGCAGCAAGTGTGAAGCAGCTAAGAAATGCAAAAAAAACATGTAGAAGATCCTGTCGCAATTCAGTGTGCCAATGTCTCGGAATTCCAGTTGTTTCATGCTGGTTCAATTTTCAAGCAGTTTGTTGTTGCCTTTGGTGCAGGTTTTGGGTTAAAATGCCTCCCGCAAGTGCCAGATGAAGCTGCACTAGAGAGCAGTTTGGAGACGCTGAATGAGCAGCTTGTATAGAAAGAGGGGCCCAAAGTTCATAGCAGCAAACATTTTTGATGTGAGCAAGATGAGTCAAGATGTGTTCTCGCGATATGGCTGGGATGCTAGTGAGTCCGAGGTTGGAGGCCGAACTCAAACGTTGCTGGTCGCACGATTTGGAGTGCTTGAGCGGCAAGGTCGAAACTGCATTCTCAGAACGTTGGAAAGGGAGTGATCAGATATGGAAAGGAGAGACGATCAGATGGTAGAGTGACATGAGGACACCAACAGCCTCCCTTCGACACTTAAAAGTCAAAGCTATTTGAAGATTTTGAAGAAAGGGAATGCTTTCCAAGTGAATGCACCTGACAACCAAGGACAGTCGCTTCTTTGCGCAAGGAGCTCTTGAAGAAAGCAGACTTTGCTCCAGAAGACAAGGGTGAAGGTACACTATTTTGGCTTGGACGAGACTTGGCTTTGCAGAGAGATTTCGGAAGGCCAAAATGCCAATGCCAAGCCAATGGTAAGTTTACTTAAGCTACTATATAGTATTGTATGATTTGCACCCCATGACAGGAATCCCTGATCCGACAGATGCCAAATTTCCAGAATTTCAGTTGCGCTGCTTGAGGAAGAGGTGGAATTGAAGGCCACCTTTGGCTCGAGTGGTGCATTGGTTCGGATGCTTGTCAATAGATTGTCATAGTCCAAGGGTTCAACAATGGCTTGTCAGATCTTGTCACTCTGTCCGTTCCCAATATGATTTTCAAAACTGGACTTGTCTCAAAGTCTCAACATGTCTCAACTACTTTGAATCAAGAAAGTACCATCAGACTCTTCACCTTGTCTCTTGAAAACAATTGCTCGAGGAACTGGACAGCGTGCGCGAATTCGTCGGCTGCATAGCAGCAGTCAACAAGGCGCAGTGCTTCTGTGAAGCCTCACTTGATGGAGAATGTCCTCCTCCTTTCAGATCTTCATAAATCTTTATAGATCTTTCAGATTCTTTCAGTCATTTTGGCTTCACAAGGGTTGGACCTTGAAACTGTTGGACGCCTTTTGCACCTGCTCCAGAGCCTCCAGGTGGTCAACAAGGGAACGGCAGCCGCAGTGGGCCGTGGCGTCCTAGGGTTGATGCTTCATGTGAATCGTAACTTGATGCAAGATGATGCACGTGTCATATGGTGTCATGTCAAACTTCACCCACTTCATCCCTGATCCAGACATAAATATGCATAATTCATATTAATTCATATGCTGAGTATGCAGATGGTAAATGGCAACAGAAACGTACTATGAAAGCTTAACACGATAACACGGGTGCACGTGTGAATCTTCTTGCTCATGATGCTCATGGTCAGATGGTCTTGATTTGTGTTTTGATGTCAACCAGACTTAGCAACCTCATGCAACCTCCATTCAGCAAGGTGTAGCGCAAGCACAGCTGGTCTTGGGTTGTGTACAAGACTTGCGTGGTGCGCTGAAGCGAACCAAAAGCAAGGGCATTGACGAAGTGGCCTGCAAGGACTGTTGAGACAACATATTGAGGCTGAATTAGTGAAAGCATGGCTCTAGAGATGTTGTGAACATTTGTGAACGAACATTTTCATCTCATTTGTGAACATTTGGTGAAAGCATGGCTCAAAGTTTCAGGGAGCACACAATTGATGGTCAAAAGATTGCCGTCTTTGGCATTGAGATGGCTTGGCTTGGCGCTGAAGTTCCAGTGATTACGTCACGTTCCTGTGGACATTGTATGACGTTGTGGATCCACCAGGAGCTGCAGACTCTTGCGGGTCGAGTCGCTATGTTCCTGGGATGTTTGAGAAACTACACCACCAGCAGTCCTGAGATATCTCCAGCGTTCCTTCTGCTGCTTGGCCTTGGTCAGTGCGTGTGATGCCTGTGCACACAACTGGCACGCTTGATGTTGAAAGTAACAGCTCATGCAAATCACAATTTTAAAGGATGACAGACATTTCAATATGACGGGGATTTCGATGATGATGATGATGATGACGACGACGACGACGACGACGAGTATTATTAGTATTATCCTTATCATGATCATTATCCATGTACCCCCACGGTGAGGTTTGAGTATGTGACCGGCTTCATGGTTCGAAAGCAGCAGGCAAGGCATTGGCTAAGTTTACTTGAGACTGGAGTTCCGCGCCAAAACATTTGGCAAAGAGCATCTTGATAGCCATGGCAACCTCATAACGGTATCACATGTTGACAGCATTTGACAGCTGACACATTATGCCAGAACCGTTGATCTCCCATTTCTCCACTAAACAGGCCGCAACGTCGGCTCCATTCCAGTGCCACAGGTGGATCTGATCCGGCGCTTTGCCGAGGAGGCCTTCGCTGGTAGATCCCTTGTGGCGCAGATGATTATGGGTGGCTTGGTGAATGCCAGTTTTTCCTCAGGAATCCTTGGTGTTTTTGCTGGAGTTCTACCTCATTCTACCTCAAGAGTTCGGAATCCTTATGGGATACCAAGACAAACCAAGACCCTTCCATTTTGATCCAAGCTTCCGTCAATTTGCAGCGTTTGCAGCAACCTGCTCCTGCGGCTACCCCGTAGCATGCTGGGAGAGCCCTGCGTAGCACAGGTGCGGGCAAAACCACTTGCATCGCTCCTATGCTGACCTTGCTGCAGCTTGGCATATCTTGGCATAACTGCTTTCAGATCTTCAGGAGGCTTTTGGCATCTGTTGGCTCTGTCATATTCTGTGCCACCTAGCCAAGATGTAACCCTGTTCAAACAGTATGTCCCTGATATGACTGAGAGTCATGTATGTCGTACTTGTAGCAGGAGTGATGAATTCGTCGCACAGGTTGGGTAACAATGGGCGTTTGGTCTTGAACATCGTGCCGCGAGCCTTGTTGGCCCAGACAAGGAATGTCATGAGGAAACTTGGACTCAGAACTGATTCATTGTGATCAGTGTCTCCCTGTTGGGGAAGTTGAGACTTTTCACTGTCACGTTTTGGGTTCTTTCTAGTGACAGTGCATGCGCGTGAATTGGCCTTCTGTTTGAAAGCCTGAGCTTTCACGTTCAACGCGCAGAATACGACCCTGAATCACTGTCCTCACGCTCAAGACTAATTATTGTGACCGACGTGGATCCAATATCGCCAATATATCGCCAATGCGATGAAACCTGAGGACCATGTTCGGCCAGATTCTTGCCAAGCGCGTAGTGACCTTGGAGTTCAGCAGAATGATGGGTCAGGCTCGACAAGATTCGACAAGCAACAGATCAAGAGAGGATGTTTTGAAGCACACAGTCATCAGAAATGATCAAACTATATCAAACCCATCAATCAGTTCTGATGAGCAAACACCCAAAGTATCATAAAGTCTCTATAGGTTCTACGTGAAATTGTGGCTGTTGCAGTGGAGAAGGGGCTGATTATGGTCTTTAGATGTTTTTAGATAATCACGGCCACAAGAGACCACTGAAGACTCGTGCCGGATTGCTCAACCAGGACGATCCCTTTGATGTGAAGTTGGTCAAGATGCAACTCTTTGATGCGCAGCGCGATGCTGCAGTGGTTTGCACTACCCCAGCGGCTCCTTGACGAAAATAGGACGGATGAGAGAGTGTGACGCGGTGACAATCAGGCACACTATTGACATCTATTGACAATAGAGATCAATAGAAATTAAATGAACATAACATATATGAAAACAACGCCCAGAAGAGTTAAGAAGCTATGAATCTATGATCATTATGCGAGTTTGCATGAGGTATAGTAACTATGTATACATGTCATGAATCTCTATCTGAAAGGGAACAGTAACATGAACCTGCACCCTGTAAATAAAGTATCCAAATGCATTCAGCGCACACGCACACACACTATGACTACAAATGACTACAATCTATTCTATTTCCTTTTTGAAATTGGTATGAAGCTAGACGGGCCAGATTTCCCAAACAGACACCTTAGTTGGACGCCTCGAACATTTTGATGACTAGCTTGAGCGCGAGGCCATCAAGTCTATGTTTCTTCGACATTTGGAGTTGCTGCAGTTGAACCACATTTTGTCAACCACCATGGAGGGTTACAAGACCCAGATGAAAAAGGCCAGGCCATGTCGTTTCTGCGGAACACTGTGCAAATGGTTGCAATATATGCAAACTCTCCATCTCGGTTTGCCCAATGGAACCGCCACAGGCAACCGACTCGGTGTCACAAACGCGCATCAAGAAGCGCATGGATGATGTCAACAAGGAGATGACTCCAGTGCTCCTGGCAAATCAATGGAACTCACTCAGAGTCTGACTTGGTATGATTTGGTACCAGATCATGAAGTTTGCCCTCCAACGCGCATGTGCAATTTTGGGCATGGCAGGACGTGACCGGCAACCGCGTGATGGCAGGCTTCATTGGAGAAGTCCTTGCAGCTTGTCTCAGATTTCGATTTGACTTGCTATGCTTCCAAGAAATTCTGATATGATTTGATCTTATATGAATCAATGCATCCGTGGCATACTTGGCATGTTTCCCTTACCAACCTTACGGGCCAGCTGTCCCTACAGGCTTGAGTTCTTGAAACATGTCAAGTATATGTCAAGTGCAAGACACTGCACAGCATCGTGCCGAGGGAATGTTGCGGAACAATAGCTGCGCGCTCATTGACGAGGTGACCTGAACTCGTGCCGTTGACGACACCGATGCCCCAAGATGTTTGGCCGACGATTTGTTTCATGAATGATCCGTACCCTCTGGTAATCAAATATGGCAATGATGCGCAGGTTGATTTGGTTTTGCACCCCTTGAAGTCGGAGCTCAACTTCCCCATCGGCAGCTTTGAAATGCCACCCGGTTCCAGATGCTTTTGAAAACTGGCAATGTGCATGCATGATGAATGGATGGACACACCCCTGAAATCCCCTGAAAGTACGATGCGAAACAGCTTTGCCAATCGGTACCTGGATCAAACCTGGCCCAGGGTCTTTGTGTCAAGGTATGATTTGGGTTGCGAGCGCTGGCACCTGGCTGTGCACCTCTTGGATGCCCTGTTCTTGAATGATGAGGGCCATGCTGCAGCAGGTCAGGGAATGACAAGTGATTGAGCGCACGCTCTTGCTTCACTGAACTGTTGAGTCATTGGCCAGGAATCTTCTACCCAGATATCCGCAACTGCACCGGAAAGGCAAGCCGGCATGCCGCTTTCAAATCTTGGTCAGATTATGTCCGATCATCATAGCACTCCCACTCTAGCAGCAACATCTCATTGCAGGTTGGCACAGCAGCTGCTGAGCGCATCTCACAACTTGAAATAGAGATCCCGGATATCGTGAAGAAAGGCGCAGACCTAACAGTGCAAGGGAAGCAGAATGGTACGGTCATGTACAATCAGAATGATCAGAATGATCAGAATGCCCCATGGTGCCCCATGGTGCCCCATGGAGCTGGGCAGGATACGACCTCCTGACGCTCCAGAAGCAGCCGCATTTGGTGCTGCTCAGCCGCGCCTGGTACGACAAGAACCTTCTGAGGCGATGAAGCTTCCAATGTTACCAGCCGCTGCCATCAGGGTGAGCTGGGTAGATTAGATATGAAATGATATGAATATAATTGAATAAACACACACACATAATATATATATATATTTATACGTAATGATAGATATGAATAGCTGCCAGAATAGATATGAATAGATTGCAACTTACACATTTCTAGCAAACGTCCACCTTTCTTAATGACATGAGCTGACTTGACTTCTCCTACAGGCCGTTGGCAGACTGGCTGGCTTGCTGGATCGTCACCCGTACAGAGGCCTTGCTAGTTAGGAACATTTGCGAGGGACACGTTAGTTTTTTTTTTTCAAAGCTGAGAGACCAACGCCACACGTTTCTGTTCATGAAGATGGCTACAGAATGCTACAGAGTGCTCTGCACAGGCTAAGAAGTTCCGAGAGGGTGTCGAGTACTCTGACGTCTGCGAGTTCCTCTCCATGGACTTGTCAGATTTGTTGAAGTCCGACGTGAAATCCAAGGTCGAGTCCAAGGTGCACAGATTCTTGCATGACTAATATGACTATATACATATATTATACATATATCTATACATCATACTACATGCCTAAGTTTCCTTTCAACATCTTCCATGTTCCTTCTGCTGTTTTGCTCTTTGATGATGTTCCAAGTAGATTATTTAGCTGTGAGATGTTGTGAGGATGCAAGGACTCTGCATATGGTGTGCCGTTTTAAGCTCTTTGATTCAATTGATGGCAGGCCGATAATACCATTGGAAAGCTCTTATGCTTGGGCCGCGAGTGGCTATTCCAACTGGTCCCTCATGTGATCTCCAAGGTGAATCGAGTCCAGTTCCTCGGACTTGACAAAGAGATACAAAGAGGATCTAGCATTTGGATGCATTTGGATAGAAGGATTTCTTCCTACTTTCTGGCAAAACACATTACTGTACTCCAATCCAAGATACATGGATACGCCCTTTGCAGAATCAAAGCAAACCAAGGTATGGCCTGTTGACCCAGCAAGAACTAGCCCTTGTTGAGAACCAAAAGGCGCGAGAAGTGCACCGGGAGAAGTCGCCATAGATCTACCATCTGTCTGCAGACCTGTATCCACCTGTTATTTGGCAAACATCTCCAGCTTCGAGGTGACACTTTTTAGGTCCAGCAACCGACATTGGTTGTTTTATGGACGGGATAGAATACATCCATTGCTTTATGGGGCCATACAGGCTTGTAGGCCACAATACAGATCAAGAGATCAGGATAGATCAGGACAGATTGATAGATCAGGTATGAGAGATTATGACATCGAGGGGGCTTTCAAGAGCCGAGTTGCGGTTACCATGTCAGAGGCACCCTCGAGTCGCCGCTTGCTGGCAGTGCCCTTTGTTGCCAAGGCACGTGGGGATCGATGGTGTGAGTATAAAGATGTATGAAGGTTTATAAAGGTTTATGAACATGTATGAAACTTTATTACTGTAAGATACTGTAAGCCTAAATTAAGCAGTATTAAGCCATGCATTAAGCATTATTCAGCAGTCAAGTCATACTTCCCCAAGAGCCCAGGACAAGCCCAGCCCTGCGGCCGAGTTTGCCCAACCAGATGTTCTGATTGGCTTCACAGTGTCAGAGCCTGAGATATTTCGACACACTTCAAATCTTCAATCGGTGCTTTCACTTTTCCCGACCTAACTACCGTTGCCTACCGAAGAAACAATAAACAACAATAAGCAACATATGAACGCATCTTGCAATCTGACAGATTCTGAGAGTATCTGCGTATCTTGAAGTGATCAATCGCCTGACGCCATCCGAGGTTGGCTTATCGGTACGAAACTGAGAGTTCTTCTGACAATTGGAGCAACTAATGGAAAGACGCATTCAGAATCACTTTGACAGCCATTCACTGGAACTCTTGATGGTTGTTTGATGTTGTTTGGATTTGCGTCTCCATTTGTTGTTTGCAATGTTGTTTGTTGTCAAATTAATCGTACAAATCTCTGGTACTGTAGTGGCTCAAAGCAAATTCTCAATGTCTTGAAGTTCCCGTTCATGCCAGTCGTAGATTATTGATTAGAAACAACATTATTGTTTAAATAGAATGGTACTACGTGCACCTAGCCCAAGCCACGAACCAAGCGGCTCAAATACCTCAAGCGTTTGGGGCCGCCTAGGTATGAGGGCATGCGCTTGTCTGACACTGTGTCAATGCTGCACCACCTCCAGATGAAATCTGGGCGAGTTTCTTGACTCTGTGACTATCCTGGACAAACGCACAAATCATTGCCCAAGACAACATGATTTGAATTGCTTTGATCATCTTTGATTGTTTTGCTTCATGAAGTGAATTGAAGTGATGCCAACCAGCAATCTGGACCTTGGAGTTCTCGGCCAACCTGCGTGCTCTTCGAGAGATGGAAGGTGTTGGACTGTGCGTGTTCCGAGCATCGCTGACATAGACGGTAGCAAGATGTGGCAAGTGTGAATATCACAGAAGGAAATCTTGGAGTCCACAAGCCACCAGTAGACTGCCAGTAGATACCAGTTGCTTTATGTTGCTTTAATTTAATACATTTCACATCATGTCACGAGAATCATTTCCTGGAAGGCGATTGGCACCAAGCGCTACAAAGAGAAGGGTGGGAAGTCCTCGGTCGAAGGTTGGTGAGCTGTATGATCTGTCTGGAACGTTTGCAAAGCTGCGGATTCTTTGGTGACTTTAGTGGATGGCTTCTTGATGTTTTTTTGTACATGTGGCCTGCGCAGGTCTTGGTCCCTTGAACTGGGAAGTCAGTCTGAATGACGGTTGGCAGAAGCTGCCAAGTGACATCACAGCTTTTTGGCCAAACTCCGCCGTCACCGTGGAGAATATTTGGATGTATTAGTGACTATTATTAGTGACTATTATTAGTAGACTATTATCCAGAATAATGTATACCGTATGACTATTATTAGTGCAGATGTTGAAGATAAAAGATGATCAAAGATGATCAAAGCATCTCAGTCTTTCTCATGTTTCGTCAAATTCCTGAAAGCATCTCGCCTCGTTTTCCACTGAGGAATTGCTCCGTGAAGCTGTTGCAAAAAAGGAAACAAAGGTCAAATTTTCAGGCCCTTGAAGAATGGCTGGACACATTTGGACACTGACATTTTGAATCCGTTTGCAGGTGGATTCTTAGTCAGACTCGTGGCCACGGGCATCACCTTGTCAATGTCTTCTTTGATTGATTGTTCAAGCTGTGAACATTAAATACGGTGAAGTATGCAGGGACTGGCCGCATCGTTTTTCAGGCTTTGGCGCTCAACCTTACGAAATTGACTTGGAATCTCGACTGAAATTAAAACAGTTCAAACATGTCCAATGACCCAATGATTAAAGTCTGATGCTGGAGGAGTGGTTGAAACAGAGGAGCTCCTCTGGATATTACTCACCCCAGCTGAAATCTTTCGCATTCTCGGCTCTGATTTTGTGTGGGCCGCTTTTGCATGAGAGGAAGGACTAGGAAGAAAGAGCTTGGACTACATAAAATCATTATATATATATAATCAGCATTTGCAAATCTACAGACGAACCGATAATTGCTGTCATTTCTCCTTGATTCTGGTTTTGCGGCTTAGTGCTTCTGGTTTTGCGGCTTAGTGCTTCTGATTTGCCAAGGAGAAAATGGTTCAAGTGAATTTAAGATCCAAGAAGGCAAGAAATATTCGGCAAGTTCAAGAATCTTCCAAGAGGCCCACAAGCTCACCGAGCTTAGTCGGTTACCGAGTTTCCTGGCCATGTGTCACCCATCCAGACACAGACAGACACACAGAGCATGCAAACTCTTGTATTTCTCGGAGTTATTCTTGAGAATCTGTTCTGTATTTCCGTATCGTACTCCGCATCAGCAGTGCTGTCCGCAACCGTCCGCAACCGTCCGCAACCGTCCGCAACCGTTCGCAACCGTCCGCGGGCGACCGTGTAAGGCCCATATGGACGTGCCTGTGGTAAGTTCTGCAAAAGGGTCACTTTTGGAGGTTGCACATGTCCCGTTGCTTCGTTTCGCGTGGCAGGCGTGGCACATTCAGACTTGTTTTGTAACGTGTCGAAAGTCGTTTTGTGTGGCAGGCGCAATACTTTTGCGTCGTTTTCAGAACATGCGTTGCAGTTTTCCTGGCAGGCGCAGCACTTTGGAGACCTCTATCATCATTTTGCGTGGCAGGCGCAGCACTTCAGACGTGCTCTACACTCCACACTGCGCACTCTACACTCCACACTCCACACTCTACCCTTTACACTTCACACTCCACACTTTACATTCCACACTTTACATTCCACACTTTACACTCAACACTTTGCACTCTACACTTTACACTCCACACTCTACACTCCACACTCCACACTTCACACTCCACACTCCACACTCTAAATTTACACTCGACTCCACACTAAACACTTTACACTCCACACTCCACACTTTACACTTCACACTCCACACTTTACACTTTACACTCCACACTCTACACTCTACACTCCACACTTTACACTCTACACTTTACACTCTACACTTTACACTCCACACTCCACACTCTACACTCCACACTCTACACTTCACACTCCACACTTTACACTCCACACTCTACACTTTACACTCCACACTCAATACTCTACACTTCACACTCCACACTTTACACTCCACACTCTACACTTTACACTCCACACTCAACCCTTTACACTTTTTCACTCCACACTTCACACTCCACACTTTACACTTCAGACTCCACACTCTACACTCTACACTTTACACACTACACTTTACACTCTACACTCTTCACTCTCCACTCCACACTTTACACTCCACACTTTGCACTCCACACTTTACACTTTACACTTTACACTCCACACTTTACACTTTACACTCTACACTCTACACTTTGCACTGCACACTCCGCACTCTACACTCCACACTCTACACTCCACACTCCACACTTTACACTTTACACTCCGCACTTCACACTCCACACTTTACACTCCACACTCTACACTCTAGACTGTACACTCCACACTCGACACTTTACACTCTACCCTTTGCACTCCACACTCCACACTCTACACATTACACTCCACACTTTACACTCCACACTTTACACTTTACACTCCACACGTACACTACACTTTACACTCTACACTTTACACTCCACACTCCACACACTACACTCCACACTCCACACTCCACACTTTACACGTCAGACTCCACACTCTACACTTTACACTCCACACTTAACACTTAACACTTTACACTTCGCACTTCACACTCCACACTTTACACTTCAGACTCCCCACACTGCACTCTACACTTTACACTCCGCACTCCACACTCCACACTTTACACTTCACACTTCACACTCCACACTTTACACTTTACACTTTACACTCCACACTCTACACTCTACACTCCACACTTTACACTCTACACTTTACACTCTACACTTTACACTCCACACTCCACACTCTACACTCCACACTCTACACTTCACACTCCACACTTTACACTCCACACTCTACACTTTACACTCCACACTCAATACTCTACACTTCACACTCCGCACTTTACACTTTACACTCCACACTTCACACTCTATATATCATACTTGTCACTCCACACTCTACATTCTTTCACGTGTATCACGTTTCCCTATCTGCGCGTTTCGGAATCCGTACCTTTATCATACGTGTGAGCATTCGGGTTCGTGGGCTGCATTTTGTTTTGAAGAGTGCTCATTCAGTTTTTGCCAAACAAATCAAAACCAAACTGTAGACTTTTTCGGGGGCTTACATAGTGCTGATTTCCAAGAACATTTAAAACCAATTTGTAGTGATTTTGGGTGTTCGTGGGGGGTGCCAAGTGCTGATTTCCAAGAAAACTTCAAAACCAATCTGCAGTCATTTTTGGTTGTTCATGGGTGATCAGTGCTGATTTCCATGAAAAATTCATTCAAGCTACCTGGAACTTTACAAAATGGTTTTGTTTTTCTGAAAAAATATACGTTTGAACAACTTTTGGTAACTCTACAAAATGGTTTTGAACATATTTCTGGATGGGGCCACAGATGGGCTGAGGCTTTACAAAATGGTTTTGATTTTTTGCCGAAAACAGAGGAAAACCAACAAAATGGTTTTGATATGTTTTGATATTTTTTTTTGTCAAATTACATGTAAGCCCATTGTTTCACAGATGTTTTGCACTTCTACAATGGTTTTGAAATTTCCTGGAAATCTGAAGGTAGCTCTTCACAATGGTTTTAAACATACGTATTTGCCACACTATGGTTTTAAATTGTTTTTCCTCAAAATACATTTCAAAACCATTTTGTAAGGAGCTTCCAACCATTCTGTAGTGGGGGGGGTGGGTCCCTCTGCGTTTTGGCTCCCCCAACCCATCCCTCCAAATTGCAAGGGGGATATGTATGCTATGTATACTATGCACACTCATGTGAGCCACCGCAAAAACTCCCGCAATACTAAATATGTATTGGACGGACATTGGTTTATGGAAATTGATGCAAATTGTTAAAAACACACGGTAAGCGATGGGATCTTCCCAAATTAGCGATACCCCTTTTCAAGGTTATGTCATTGTATTTCTCTAATATCCACATTAGCGATACCCAAATTGGGACGTTGATTTCTGTGAATTATATCTATATGCATATATATATATATGAATATTAAAAATGTAGCAGTTTCCTGCAAGCGATACCCCCCAAGTTTACCATATATCATTATTGTACAAACGTGTTTTAAGCGATGGGACCTTCCCAAATTTGTGGATGTCCTTTCCGTGAACCTAGGGTTTTCGAGATTGCTCATGTATACACTCATGTATACTCATGAATTATGTGTACTTCAGGATGGTTGCATCCTCAGTATTTTGCTGGTAGGTGTTTGCCAGTGATGGCCAATGCCTCCTTGGAGCTTCCAGTTGTTAAGCAGTGGTTCTGCTTCCAGCTTTCAGATGCTCTCAGGGGTGAAGGTTTAAAGCTTCCGGAACTCCAAGCCCTTTCATCCTCAACAGGAGATGAGGCTGACTGCAAAACTCTGGGCCCGCAGACTTTATCACCAAATGAAAGCAATCCCATGGCAATGAGGTGAAGTTCAAGAGTTGGATAGCCCTTGTATGCCCTTGTCGTGGCCATCAGATGCTTTGTTTTTCACTCTATTGCCAGCAGTGCTGAGATCAAAGAACTGAAGTTGTTTGCATTCCTTTCCTTGCGGAGCGCTGACGGTGTTGGTTTTTGGAAGGAAGCGAAAAAGAAGAAGGAAAAGGAAAAGAAAGAGAAGGAAAGTGGTGGAGAAGAAGCTGCAAGCGATCCCTTGCTCAGAGGCAGATGCTTTGAACCGCATCACTAGTTCCAAGTCCAAAAAACAAATGAAATGCTTTCCATGCGACGAATACTGTAGCCCAGCTCACTGTACAAATTGATGATTGATTCTGATTGATGATTATTTGATGTTTCGACTTCCAATGAATTCCACATCTATTCCAAATCTGCTATGAATTTTCACAAGCTCTGCTTCAAAAGCTCTCCATCGCATATCGCGTCCAGGTCCTGAGGCTGTCGAAGAGAAACCGGAGGGACATGCCCAGGTTGCAGTGGAGCTGTTGGGGCCAGTGCCGGAGATTGTGCTGTGGTACTTGCTGACCATGGTCTTTGATGCAGTCCTGTGCCTTGGCAAACTCCAGAAAGAGCTTGAAAACATGTTCCCAAAGTATCCCAAAGTCACAAAAATGTTACAAACATGTTACAAAGAGACGTCCTGTAGAAAGAATTAAACATATATGATGTAACTAATTGGTACGTGAATTCAAATGATCCTTTCAAGATTGGGGAATTCGCCAAACATGTTTTGTTCCGAATTTGCAAGGCGTCAGCAGCCCTACAAGCTATCGGCGACCGGACAAGAGCTTGGGTCATCTATGCTGTTCAGCTCCCGCATAGGCTGCTGAAATACAGCCAATGCAGCCTTAGATGTTGTGCCACATGTGCCATGACATGGTTTGGGGCTCCATGGTTGAGAGATATGCCGTCAGCCTGTCAATCGCAGGTTTCTCTGGCACCCCGTCTTCACTCTTGCCAGAAGACTTGGGCGAATGCCTTTTTGAAGCTGAGAACGAAGGCCAACACTGTGGTTCTGAAATTCTATCAAACAGCATTTGAGGTGGCCAGGGTGCAGAACGCAAAACCTGACAGCCTGACAGACAGTTGCCAAGAGCTTCTATTGAAGCTGTCGCAATGTGTTTCCTCTTGCTTGACCAGGCGAAATCTTGTCGGTCCTGAGTGACGAGCAGCATGTGGTTCCACCACTTATCCACTTGGATTCTGACTGGTCTCCAGAAAGCATTTTGATGCTTTGCGGCAAAGCTGAGGATGTTACAGTAGGAATAGGAGGATACCCTTCAGGTGCTTTGCAGGTGCTTTCCAGGCGCTTGGTGCTTGATTTCTTGCGCTTTTCAGGCTAGCATGTCCCGAACATATCTTCGCGAGTCTAAGGAATATGGTGGCAAAGAGCACTGATCCACTTTACCATTGCCTCATTGACACGGGCGCACTGGTGATGGGCTTCACTAACGAAGAAGTGGCGAAGTTGCTTCTGAAATTGCTGCCAGAAGATCTGTTTGAGACTTGATGAGCAAAATCTATCAAAACCTGGAAATCCTTGGACAACCTCACTGTATGCCAACACAAGCGGGACAGGATCAATTTCAAATCCTTTGTCTTTGTGTGATTAGGATGGCGTTGCCTATTTTGATGATCGCGACGCTCCAATGGTGATTCTGCGGAATGCTGTGAAACCAGTCGCTTGGAATAGCCTTGCAGACAAGGGCTGATGGCACTGTGCAGCGAATGTGCGGAACATAAGTGGGCACCATTGGGCACCCATCTTTTGTGCTGTTCTGTACTGCTACACCTGAACACCGCATGGGCCAAGGCTTTGTTGAGTGAAGCAGGTGTGCCGATGAATCGGCGCTTTACTTTCTTTGATCAGGTACTTTGGCAGCATTCTGGGAGGTGTGCTGGATAGTGACCGTTTCTTTAATTCTCTATCGAATGTCCTGTTTGTCCATAGTCAATGGAGTCACTACGGACACATCGGATACATTCGGTCAAAGATTGCTTCAGAAAACGCCTGGCAAATGTATCTTGAAGCAACTACCCTAACGCACTTGTCTCTGACAAAGTCAACTAAAGACATGAAGATATTAAGATGGAAAGCAATGAATACTGGCAGTTTCTTGCTACACTTGCACCAAGATGCACTGTATTGAGAATACAAGTACATTATATATCATTATATAATACATATATATATATAATATATATATATATATTAGTAGATATATTACTGATTTGACCGTTTCCATCTGTTTGTGAACATCCGAGGTGCACACCACGGGAACAGATACGAAGCAGCCATTGCAAAGCTATGCAGCGTTGACTCTTTCCGCTTCAATGACATTCCGCGACTATGCGACGCTCGGCCGCTCCAGATGGCTCCAGATGGCTCCAGATGGCTCCGGCATGTTTCGGCGACAGGGTGTGTTATTTAGCGAAATGATTAGCATACCAGGCAAAACAGAAATTGTTTCAGAAACAGCAGGAAACAGCACAATACATAGATGAGCAGCTGAATGTAGCTGAATCAACATTGGATGACGATTGGATGAACTTTGGATGACAATTCTGACATTCTGCAAACTTCTGCCCAGGCAAGGGGCTTGGCGAATGCGTGGCCTGGGCAAAGGCCAAAAGCTGCGCAGCTTGGTGACATGCAACACCCAATGGCTCTAGCTGACTCTAGCTACAGCAGCTGCTATAGCTCATTATAGCTCATTATAGCTCATTATAGCTCATTATAGCTCATTATAGCGCATTATAGCATACGTTATATAGACAATATGTGACAGTATACTACATATAGCCTTATAATTATAGCTACGCACGGCGTCCTTATGGCTTTCGTTCACTGTCAAATCAGATTTGAAGGTGCCAGACGATGAGGATGCAGGTAATTGGATGTCTGTTTCTCAGTTCCTTTCTTTCTGCCAGCCCTGTTGTCCCTAGGCATGATTATTGCCCCAGAGCTGGCAAAGAAGGTGTCAGGAATCGTGAAGGCTGAAGGGGAACTTGGTCTCCATGACGCAGTGGCCTTCATGTCTCCTGGCAACTATACGTGTATTTCTTTCCAATTTCGAACAGACAAAAAGCAAGTTTCAGATAGTTTCAGGTTCAGTATGTTAACAATTGTGAAGATGATTTTGTTGAAATGAGAAGCAAAATTCGTCCGGTCTTGTCCGGTCGATTGACACAGGGCAGCCGAAGATGGACGGCACTGCTGCCCTGAGGTTGTCAAACCAATTCGACTCGGAAGGCTGCTTTTTCTGCAAAGAGGGTTGACAGTTGAAATATATGATTCAAAGATATTCAAAGTGTTTGATTTGTTTTTGAATATGGAATCGAATGGAATCGATGGGCCTTCACGATGGCTTCCCTTGAACCAAAGGCTTCGAGGAAGTTCAGAATGGTTCACCGGAAATCGTCTTGATCTGCTGCTTGGAGAGATGTCAACCAAGGCAAGCAATTTGCTGCTCTGCAACTACAGAACCTCGCGACAGTATGGCGTCAGCATGCTTTGAATGACCTGATGGAGAAAGAAGTAAAGGTTCGAGAATCAAAGGAGATGCGTCCGCAGGCGAGGTTCGGTGGGGCAGTTTTGCGCAGTTGCATGATATGGCTTGTGTTTTTTCTTGTCCTTTTACTACGACTTTCATGATTGAAATATGTTGACATATGTTGGACATGTATGGAAATGTGTGTCTGGAATCGACTTGGCGAGCAACTTCTTAGTGCCAGGTGGAAGCCTTCCTCGAATCCTTGCGTTTCCCAGTTGAGACCAAAGTGCATGAACCGCTGACTTTGGACCAAAAGATGCAAGCGCAGGCAGACGAGCAGGACAGGGCACTCATACTGCACAAAACGGGCCTATGGTAGCAGGGGGAATGATGCTCCGAGAAGGAAATCATGAAACTGGTCGTGCTGAGGCGGCAGGTGTGTCCTGTGCACTTGGGCCATCCTCATGTTGATTCATGTTGGATGTTGCACAATTTTCACTGCAGGCATCTTATTTCAGGAGACGATGTTTTTCATTTCACGGACTTTGGACGGATAGAGAAGTGTTTCAGCAGTGGAAAATGGCGGAATCATGCGCAGCAGCTGTGTGTTGAGTCGACGGAGTGAATCTGATTTTGAGCTCATCGAGTGCAGGAACACATCATGAACGACAAGGAAAAGGCACATTGCGCCAAGCTCATCGGAGATGCTGGTGGAAGCAAGGATGGAGGCATCTCTCGTGCGGGTGGAAACTGCCGGAAATATAGATATGTATTATCATATTGTATTATCATGCATTCTGGAGTGAAATGATGGTCTCAACATGTCTCAACTATTGAGATGTGCATAGGTGCGTTGAGTGAAGCAACAATTTTGCGCTTACATTTCCAGAACTTCCCAGGCCTCTTCGCCATTTGCCATGACACACGTGCCAGGTGACCTAGGTGCAGAGATCACCCGGCAGCAGGCAGGGCCAGTCCTACGCTTCGATGCAGGCTCAAGATCGCAAGCTAGTGGTAGAGGGTAGTTTCATGCTCTTCTCCACTGCGTTTGCAAGGAAAAGGAGCAAGAAAAGCAGCAGGAAAAGGAGAAGGAAGTTGAAGTGCATGTGGGGCGCGAGCGAGAGCGCGAGGCAAGGTTCCTGCTGTTTGGAGTGCTGAAAGATGTTGAAAGCACATGCCAAGGAGCTGAGTATAGCGTACAAGGTCAAGCCATAGAGTCGCTTGATCAACTTGCAGTGTTTGGGTCACTTTGGGTCTGAAAGTCTTTGTGATTTTTGTGAAACTGCTTTGATCTGCTTTGCATGTCAATGCACTGCAAGGCTAACCGCAAATCTTGCAAGATGACATAGCTCTTCTTGTGCTATGTGGTTTGTCCAGCTGAGCCGACCTGCAGTATCCACTGGCTCAAGAGGCGGCATCCTTGCAGACTCCATGAATCATTGGCGCCAAAAAAAAAGCATTAGATATGATGCAATGGGTTTTCATGGCACATTCTGTTTTCCTGCTTGCGACTATCGGACTTTCGGTGACTTGCTTCGCCGCAGCCATGGAAGCCGACAAGGTGGGAGCTTGATGAGCAGTTGAGATTTGAGACTTGAGGCAAGAGCGCAGAAAAGTCAGCAATCAGGATTGCATATATTGCATGATCTATCTCTGGTAACTGGTACTGCTAGGAGTTCGAAAGCCCTTTCAGCTCTGAAGCTTCCACTTGTGAAGCGAAGGCCTTGGGTCAACGAATGACTTGGAGACAGACATTGTTCAATCATGCTCAATCTATCAAAACAAACATGGCATACGTGGATATACGTGGCTGAAACCCCCACGCCACAAGGTCAAATAGGGTCTTGACATGAGCAGGAAGCCATCCCGGAAACTAGGATGCAGATGGATCTTTTCGCAACTACAGACTGTCGTATCTTTCACACATATATATATATATAATATAATATAATATAATATAATTTAATATAATATACTATACTATAATAGAATATAATATAATATAATATAATACAATATATCATAATGGAATACAATATTTTATAATATAATATAATATAATATAATTTTACATTATATACAATTACATTATATGTATATATTTATATATATTATGTGTGTATATACATATAATAATAATCATAATGTACATAAACAGTATAGTGCCTTGTTCCGATTTATTTTTCCGACAGGCTGCAGGCAGGAAAAATCAATGAGGTGAAATGGCTTGGGCTCATTCCTGTTGAACCCATAGGATGTTTTACCTATCGCACCCATAGGACCTGTTGCCTTCTACTTCCTCTACTGAGCACCAACCAGAGGACGAGCCGCGCAGTTTGAGACAGCCACATGTTGGAGGGTGCACCGTGACCCATGTGATTGCGCGGGTCTTTTCAAACCTGTCATTGCACAAAGGATGATGTAGTCTCGCAGCATCCGGGTTTGGCATGTCTCGCATTGTCTTGCAGTCTTGCATTTCTTTTCCTGTCACGCAGACAACAGGATCTTTTCGCGGAATTGCTCCAACGGCGCACACAATTCGATGATTCCTTCGAGGACTTGCGGTCGAACGTAGGGCCAGATGAATCAAGAGGACAGGTGACATCACTTGGACTTGATGTAACTTGATCCTGTCGAAGCCATAGGATATTGGGCCCGAGGGTTCAGAGGACGAGCTGCGCCGTTTGAGAGAGTGGCATTTGGGGGGAGCATTGTGACTCTGTCATTGCATATGTACCTACTATTATATATATATATACTTCTTTTCCCACTTTTTCCATTCTTTCCACAGTCTAGTACCCTTTTCAACCTTACCTTGCAGCATTGGGATCTGTGGAGTATTTGGGGCTCTTCTGCACGGCTTCGAATTGTGATGATTGCGTTGCCCCGAGATTTTCTTTCCCTCTACTTTCCTCCATTACGTGCACTGCAAAGATCAAGATGAGCTAGATAAACTATGACAAACATATATATATATACATATAATTTGGTGTGTGTATATATATATAATTATATATATATATATACATATGACTCCAATCTGATCCAGCGCACTTGTTTCTTTTTTGGCTGCCAGCGTGCTGACATTTCAGCACAAGTTGTTTGCAACACGTTGTGTTTATGTGGGTCTGTGATTCTTCTTCGCATCACTTAGGGCCACAGCAAAATCAGCCATGAACCTTCAAGTCTCACGTGTGATATCATCCGCCAGTTCACTCATGAACCTTCAAATCTCAACGTCTGATATCATCTTGTCATGAACCTTCAAATTTCAACGTCAAATATCATCCAGTCATGAACCTTCAAATCTCAACGTCTGATATCATCCCAAATCCCTGCAAGTCACGCTTGCAAGGCAATGGCCGCATTAGCCGCCACCACTTCAGCAAATAGCCAAGGATAGGGCTGAGCTTGAAGTGTCCAAAAACATCCGGAGCTGTCACGTCCTGCCAGGACGGTGTGTGGCCGTTGGGTGCGACTGCACTTGTTTTTAATGGTGCTGCATTTGCTATGCAATGGTGAAAGGTACCAAAAATTCCCAATAACATCCAATAAGAGTTGTGGGTTTCTTCCAAGGTTCACCATACTGACAAATCCAGAGTGACTGATTTCACGGTATACTTCTGAATGAATGCACGCATTGAAGGCATGTCCCATATGAAACTCGAAGCTGGATTTTCCAAGGCATACGGTACGCCCAGTTGTTCACATGCACTCAACAGCCGAAGTGATACCTGCAACAGCGCATTGCCCTCGCGGACTTTCTTCTTATCAGCAGAGTTTTATATAGGCAAGCCACAAACATGGTGCTCACTACGGATAGGGCCCGGACCCAAACCATCATGTTTACGTGCACGAGTAAACGAAGTGCAAGGAATACCAACCCACAAACATCTAATATGACCTCCTTGAATCAAATGAAGAAGTGTGTGCCCGACATGAACATGCAAAACATTCTGCCGGGGGTCAATGCAAATATCGATTGGAAACGGCAACAGGCCTTTCTTGAGAAGGCATTTGGTGACACGTGCTGTACCTGCAAACAACTCCAAGCAAAACTTCGGAGGCATCGACCTCATCGAAAAAACTTCAGGCCATCCTAAGCTGGTCACGGCATCTTTGGGGAAGTCAAACCTTTCATAACGAGCTCCATGTTGAGAAGAGACCAACGACAAAAGTCCAGATGTCCGGCTGACAACCTGCTGATCATCTGTTGGATCTTTCCAGTTTTTGTGTACCGTCGTGCTCTTTGATCTGTCATCCAGCGGCCACGCTGTTTGACATTGGCGTGGTCGCGCTCTTTGCCGTTGAGGTCTTCTGCTGCTCCCCCATGCCGTGTCTGGTAAGGGTGAAGAGCATCCAGGTTCAACATCTCCCCTGCCTCCACAAAAAACATCTTGTACTGGGCTGCATCGAATGGAAAGAGTTTGTGTCCGAGGGACTTCAACTCCTTGACCCTGTGGTGAATCAGGGGCCCCAAAAATTCTCCCCCCTTGCTGTTCAGAATCACAGTGCTGTCGAACGCTCCGACCTTGTCGGGCTTTGCATCCAAGGAATTTCGGACGATGACCGCATACCATTGGTACTGTCTTCCTGCCCCCCTTCACTGGCAACACACAACCTTTTCCCCGCGGCAACCATGATCATCGCCATCCCATGGCAAATCAACCTTGGCAGGGGAAGGCGGGAAGAGGCAGGCCTCTCCTTCCTCCACCCCTTCAAGGCCCGACGACTGTGAACCAACTTACCACGCAGGCTGGCGAACTTGTACTCTACTGCCGCCACTAGCTTCTCTCCTTCGCTTGATGCCTTTCCTTGAATGAACTCTAGATCCAAGAAATCTGCCAGAAACTCGCCGCACCTTTTGGGAGGCCAACTGGCGCCTTCCTCCCGGCAGAAATTCTCGAACCTCTTCAAATGTTGGCCATATTGGTGCTGCACTTCGCTGGAAGCACTCCTCTCTTCCAGGAGAGTCAGCTTGTTGTTCCTCGCTATTGGCCTCCTCCTTCAACGGCAATCGCTGGATAGAGCGCCTCTTCTTGGGAATCTCCGCCTTGTCCTCTTGCACCAACACTCCCTCTGCTCGTTTCTGAACTGTCTTCTCCAGCTTGGCCACTTTCAACGACTTGCTGCTCAAAGCCCGAGTCGCTCCAACGCCGTGAGCTGGAGCTTGTTTCTTCTTGGATAGGACACGAGTTGAGGGAGTTGCTTTGGGGCCCTGCGTTTGTTTTCTGATAAGGACCCGGGAGGAGATGCCCTCTAGATGGGCCATCTGCCACATTCAACTCACTAGGTATCCATCTCAAACGGACAGTAAAACCACCCGCTAAGGCCAGAGCCGCAATCTTCTGCGTGATTCGCAACATGGCCACATTGTGACAACGACCCTTGTTCACTGCCATTGCCAATGCCAGATTGTCTACCAGAAACAAATGCTGCCCGCTTTGATGGTAATATGCTCATCAACTTTTCTCCATTTTCTTGGAAAATTCTTGTTGTCGGTCAAATGCTCATCCCCAAACTCATCAATACTTGTACGTGGCAGCCTCTTGTATCGCCAGCGTTCCTGCCAACGATCACCTTCAGGTACGGCATGAATAGGATCCTCCAGCCAATTTCCCCTATAGAATTGGACACCTAGGTGCTATATAAAACGATTTTTAAATACAGGTCCCCCCCTCAATTTCAGCTGCCCTGTTTGCCTTGTTATTTTGTCTCAAACCTCCGGGTCCCAATTTTATTTTTTTTTTGGGCGCCTAAATTTAGTGACCTAGGGCTCCAATTGTATATGAGGCTGCAATTCTACAGGGACATACATCGGTTTTGTATGGTTTTGTTCAGTTGCCAAATTTATAGTGTATCAATGCATGGTTTCATGAAACAACTTGGTCACCAAAGGGTTGTAGCTACCTGCAATGTGCTGCATGCCAGGGTCCCAATTTTATAGCACCTATTTTTTTTGCTAGATCAGAGCGGTCAAGCATGCGCAATGCGCATGTGCTGGAGAAGAGAAAAACATGAACAAAAAACATGATATGATATGAAATGATATGTGCGGATTTGATGGGATTTGATGGCTTCTTGCATCGTGCTTCTACATGCATTAAGAAAAAACAAAAACATAATATGAACAAACATGTCAGGTTTTGGGTGGACCTTGAGGGCTGAAATTTGATAGTCCCTAAAAACATCTGAAAACTGCCTTCGGGTCAGGGGCTCCAGTTCTATAGGGTTCGATTGCTACAAAATTGGAGGCTTGAAATGGTTTGACTTTTGTGCCTCCACAGAATTGGGGCATTACTTAAACTGAGATAAAATTGGGTACCACATAATCGAAGGAACATAGATGCCCCCCCAAAATTCGACTTGGGACACCAAATTTAAAAAAACACCTATGATCAAATCATTTTGGATGGCCTCAATTTTCTATAGAGGTCAATTTGGAGCTAGTACCACGCACACATTTAGCCTGGGTGTCCCAACTTTGTAGTGTTGTTGGGCTTGATGATATTGATGGGTTACTAGCAGGCTGTGATTTTATAGGGCTGCTTATGTATGTGTCTGTCAGGGTTTCAATTTTATAGATGGCCACTGAAGGGCATTTTCAAAGGATCGCTTATAAAATTGGAACACCCAGGTTAAATGGGTGTATTGGCAAGGGGACTGAATAGGCAAATCGCATAGTTAACAGTAGAGGACCATTGCCTTCTCATGGAGCTGAATAACAATGAATAACATAGGCATTAAGCCAACAAAGTTTCAGCATTCACTTTTCGCTTGGAGGTTGAGGAATCGCGCGCCCCCGCCAATCTGCACAAAGTCATACAAGTGTCGAAAAATACACATGCCATATCTATTCATGGTGCAAACCACCATAGCATGACGCAACAAACCTCTGAATGACATCAGGGTGCACCTTGTGTTAGGCGATGTGCTCAATGCGAGAATCAACGCCCACAGCCGCTCCACTGTGGCACGCACCTCGCCGCAGTCATCATCGACTACTCCACCAAGGGTCTTGAAGTGAGTGTTTGCGTACTTTTCTTCATGAACTGTAAAACCTAGTTGCCTGAGATCTTGCTCAGCATTCTCACATGCGTTGTTACAGATCTGCTCATCATACGACAGGACATGTGAATTATCGCAATATGGCATAGCAACACAACCCCCTTCTTCCAAAACTGGTGCAGGAAAACCATCCAAGATCAGTTGCTGCTGCGGTATGTCAAGTGCCAGACAAACAGATGACTCTGGATACACTGCACCAAATAGAAAGACCAACCGAACCCCATGGGTAGCACGCTGATCGCTGGAGAATAAAAATCGCTTTGATACTGTGCCCCAAATTCACCCCCAGTGGCCAAATAAACTTCATGCCCGGTGATGTCTTGCATGAAGCAGAATAATCACTCAGTGCCTCTTCCACTCGGACTGCATAGAAGCAGCCCTTGATGTCAGCACCTGAGATGAAAAGCTTCTGACCATCAGGAATAGACATCTCGCTGAGGGCCGTCAAAGACCCCAGGTTGGTGTGTGGGGATGGTCTGAAAAGACCATTGACCATGCGACAATCCAGAACCAGCCTCTGACGGGGAATTAGATTACCATCAGCCACTTTAGGTTTTTTTGAAACAGCAAAAGCACCAACACGGCCACAGCATTTCTGCGAGGACCTAAGAACACCCCTCTTGCACAACTCTGCGATGAAGTCGGGGTACACACTGCGCTCTTTGAGACAGGGATCATCATAAGGCCGCAGCGACTCCAGGTCACTCGGCGGACTTGTCAGACATCGGCGTCCTGCAGCATATGATCTTCAAAGTTCATGACCACCTCTTGCAGAGGCCCAGAGAGCGCACTGACGAGATTTACCCCAGCCACCCGTTCCTCAGGAAGAGACAGCTGAGCCAAATCCATCGGCACTACGTCACCCACGCCAGCCTCAAAGTTGCCATAAGTAGAGCTGGCCGCTCGAAGCGCCTGAAAGGCTTCAGAGCAATGAGCATGCAAAGGAGGATGGCCCAACTTCTTCACGCAACGTAAAATATCGGAGATTGCCAACCTTTGGTTCAACGGCAGCTCATCCAAACGTCGCGCTGATGCCACTAGCAGTCCGGCCCGCCTCCGAAAAAAAAGTGAATTGAAGGCAGCAGTGACCCGATTAGTTCTTTTGGCTATCTCAGCTCTCAAATGAATTCTTCTGGCAACAGCCCTGCACACCTTCCTATTTTCCAGCTCCTCCACGATCAACAAAGGCAGAGGAAAAACATGTCGGGTCCGCTGGTCTGGAAAAGGAACGTGAAAAACGCGGCTGCTCCAACGGCCTCTGCCTTTTTGCACATCTCACAGCAGTCAGCCACTGCCCTGACCACTGGGGGGCCAATGCTTTTTGCTTCCTCATTTTTAGCTTTTCTTTCATGATTTTACTCTGGGCAGCCATCTGCTTCGAAACATGGTCTGTTAAAGAAGCAGTAACAATACCACCTCCTGCTCTACGCGGCTGCCCCATGCAATGGTCCTCGGCAAGATATGAAGGCATTCCTGGACTCTGGGAGTGAGCGTATGCTATCAACTGGCGATGCCGAACCACAAGTTCCATACAGCACAGATTGGTGATGTCCAGGCAATCGTATGTCACTGCGGCATCCAGCACTCGGGCCAGGCATTCATCTTCAAAGATGCTCCGGTCCCCCTCAGGGATACGGGAAGCCCCTACCCACATATGAGGCTGTGCCACTGCGCTCTCACTCACCGCCGCGATGGCCTTTGCATAGTCGAGCGTAGTGCGAGGCATCAATGGGAAATCAGCGAACTCAACTTGTTGGATCTCCTTGACGGACTCCCTGAAGGTCCTCAATCTCTCACCACTGGCACCATATCGGACTTCCAGCGTCCGCACGTCATCCGCCACGAATCTATCTTCGCCCAACAGAAGCCTCTGAGGTTCGCATCGCCCGTACTCGTTCTTCGCAGTATCTAGGAATGTCATCCTCTCTCACCCGCCTAATGGCCTAATGGTCACTGTTTTCGCATGCGCCCCTCCAACGCCCATTGTCATGAGACCGAGATCACCTAGTTGAGGGTGTCCTACTGGGGGTCAACCCTATCACCAAGCTTCATCCCATTCCAACACTCAGCCAAAACCCAAACTTCATCGCCTGCAGCCTGCGGAGGGGCTGCCGCTGGCACAGCTCATGCAGCAATCAGAGCTGACAATTCAGCCGCTGTCACGGGAGCAAAGGCGTAGCAGGGTTGATGGAGGGTGGAACCCCCCGTCCAGGCAATGCAGGGATGCAGTCGACCAAATCACTGTTGGACAAACCCAAAAACAGATCTAGGTCTGGTGTGGCCACCAAGTAGTCCATCCGCTCAATGTGCTCTACGATCAGGCGGGTGTGAAAAACCTCTGGGATCTCCCGGAAATTCAAAAACCTCAGTGAAGCAGTGTTTAGAACAGCCATGTCTAATTGCTGATAGACAAGCCTTTGGCGCTTCCGTAAATGTCTTTGGCTTTGCCTTTCACTGCCACAGACACAGTCTTGTCCAGTCCCGTACTAGTGTCCTGATACGAGAATCGAAGAGTTAGCGCTGTGTTACCAAAAGCCACCAAGATGAGACCGACAAAGATCACCACCCAAAGCGGCGGAGATGACCAGTTGGACTCCAAGTTGGTGGGGGCAGCAACAGTGCACTGACATTTGCAAACTTCTTGATCTCCCTTTTGAGGGAGAGTCCACTCACGCAGCAACCAACCAATTGAGAAAGCCACAGCCCCCAACCACGGGGTGTCCATTGCACCGCTTCCCCGATGCACCTTGAAGTCTTTGAGGACGAAAACGGCATCTAAACATCAAGTGCTGAGGCCCTTTCGTCAAAAACCATAAAACCTGTAAACGGGGAAAAATATCTAATTATATATAGTACTGTAAATAGTATATAGTATATATCTATAGTATATATCTATAGTATTTCTCTATAGTATATATCTATAGTCTATAGTATATATCTATAGTATATATCTATAGTATATATCTATAGTATATATCTATAGTATATATCTATAGTATATACCTATAGTATATACCATATTATAGTATATAGTACATACAGTATATATAGTACATAGTGCATAGCATATAGCATGTAGTATGTAGTAAGTATGTAGTATATATGTAGTATGTAGTATATAGTATGTAGTATATTATATATCGTGTATAGCATTTAATGTACGGTGTACAATGTCATGTATAATATATAGCACGTAAAATATGCAATATACACTATACACTATACAATATATACGATATGATTAAAAAAACAAGATGCAGCCCACGAACCCGAATGCTCACACGTATGTTAATGGTACAGATGTCAAAACACATGGATATGCAATCACGCAGAACACTTTTCTGCAATAGTTTATTTGAACAGTCTTGTACATATTTCCCCTGTTACCAGTCTGCAGTGTGGAGTGTGGAGTGTAGCGTGTGGAGTGTAAAGTGTGGAGTGTGGAGTGTAAAGTGTAAAGTGTGGAGTGTGGAGTGTAAAGTGTAGAGTGTGGAGTGTGGGGTGGAAAGTGTAGAGTGTGGAGTGTGGAGTGTAAAGTGAGGAGTGCGGAGTGTAAAGTGTGGAGTGTGGAGTGAGGAGTGTAAAGTGTGGAGCGTGGAGTGTGGAGTGTAGAGTGTGGAGTGTAGAGTGGAAAGTGGAAAGTGTAGAAAGTGGAGTGTGGAGTGTGAAGTGTAAAGTGAGGAGTGTAAAGTGTAAAGTGTGGAGTGCGGAGTGTGGAGTGTAAAGTGAGGAGTGCGGAGTGTAAAGTGTGGAGTGTAGAGTGTAAAGTGTAGAGTGTGGAGTTTGGAGTGTAAAGTGTAGAGTGTCGAGTGTGGAGTGTGGAGTGAGGAGTGTAAAGTGTAAAGTGTGGAGTGTGGAGTGTAAAGTGTAGAGTGTGGAGTGTGGAGTGGAAAGTGTAGAGTATGGAGTGTGGAGTGTAGAGTGTGGAGTGTAAAATGTGGAGTAAGGAGTGTGGAGTGTGTAAAGTGTAGATTGTGGAGTGTGGGGTGTAGAGTGTAAACTGTAGAGTGTAAAGTGTAGAGTGTCGAGTGTAGAGTGTAAAGTGTAGAGTGTGGAGTGTGGAGTGTGGAGTGAGGAGTGTAAAGTGTAAAGTGTGGAGTGTGGAGTGTGGAGTGTGGAGTGGGAAGTGTAGAGTGTGGAGTGTGGAGTGTGAAGTGTGGAGTGTAAAGTGAGGAGTGCGGAGTGTAAAGTGTGGAGTGAGGAGTGTAAAGTGTGGAGTGTAGAGCGTAAAGTGTGGAGTGCGGAGTGTAAAGTGTAGAGTGGGGAGTGTGTGAGGAGTGTAGAGTGAGGAGTGTAAAGTGTGGAGTGAGGAGTGTGGAGTGTGTAAAGTGTAGAGTGAGGAGTGTAGAGTGTAAAGTGCAGAGTGTAAAGTGTAGAGTGTGGAGTGTGGAGTGTAAAGTGTGGAGTGAGGAGTGTAAAGTGTAAAGTGTGGAGTGTAAAATGTAAAGTGTGGAGTGTAGAGTATAAAGTGTAGAGTGTAAAGTGTAGAGTGTGGAGCGTGGAGTGTAAAGTGTGGAGTGTGGAGTGTAAAGTGTCGAGTGAGGAGTGTAAAGTGCAAAGTGTAAAGTGTGGAGTGTAAAGTGTAGAGTGTGGAGTGTGGAGTGTGGAGTCTAAAGTGTAAATTGTGGAGTGTAAAGTGTAGAGTGTGGAGTGCGGAGCTTCCCCCATAGACATGGCGACGCCACAGGAAAACCAGAGACTCGAGACGAGACACGTGGGTGCAGAAAAACGAGCATTTCGTGCGAGACTTCCTCCAATTTTGACATTTTCAACACGTTATCAATGTCACGAAGTGCCACGCCTGCCACACAAAACGACATGACAACCTGCTTGGAAACCTTCGAAAAAGAGAGGTTTTGCAGCTTCCCCCATAGACACTGAAAACCAGCCACTCGAGACGAGACACGTGGATGCAGAAAAACTAGCATTTCGTACGAGACTTCCTCCAATTTTGACAATTTCGACACGTTATCAAACAGGTTGGAATGCCACGAAGTGCCACGCCTGCCACGCAAAACGACATGACAACCTGCTTGTAAAAACCTTCGAAAAGGAGAGGTTTTGCGGCTTCCCTCATAGACACGGCGAAGCCACAGGAAAACCAGAGACTCGAGACGAGACGCGTGGGAGCACCAAAACGAGCATTTCGTGCGAGACTTCCTCCAATTTTGACAGTTTGCAGCCTCAGAATCGGCTACCTCAAAATCGATGTTTCATGCGAGGCTTCCGTCAATTTTCAGCACATCTCACAAATTGCCACGCCTGCCACGGAATCTTCTGAAAACGTCGCAAAAGTATTGCGCCTGCCACGCAAAACGATTTTCGACACGTTGCAGAACACGTCTGAATGTCACGAAGTGCCACGCCTGCCACGCGAAACGAAACAACGACACATTGGACACCTCCAAAAATGACCACCTCTGCAGAACTTCCCATAGGCACGGCCATACGGAGTTCGTACGGACGGTTGCGGACGGTTACGGACGGTTGCGGACGGTTGCGGACGGTTGCGACCACAAACGCAACGTCGAGGCGAACACACCCTCAACCCCCAGACCCCCAGACTGAAACGGGAACCCTTGCTACGCATTCGGGAAAATATATTATAGAATATACAGTACATAATGTAGAATATTTAATATCGAATATACAATATATGATATCTCATGTAATATATATATAATGCATGTATCATATGTAGCAAACAGTGTAATATACCAGTAGTACCGCGCAAGGCGGTGGCGGAAGTTTCAAAAATAGGAAACCTATAGGAGACGTTGGTTGTTGTGAATCAGGGATGGCAGAGCGAAGCCACTGATTGACCGAAAGGTGGTTGGAGTTGTGTTTGCTGGAGGGGTTGCAATGGTTGCAGTGGTCACCTCTTCCTCACCTGCTGGATGTAGTGTGATGTACTGCAACTGTAGTTGTAGTTGTAGCGTAGTGGAGTTGTAGTTGCGGTGTAATGTAATTAGTGTAGTGTAGTTGCAGTCATATAGTTGTAGCTGTAGTTGTTTTGTAGTTGTAGTTGTAGTTGTAGTTGTAGTTGTAGTAGTAGTAGTTGTTGTTGTTGTTGTGGCTGTAGTTGTTGTGTGGTTGTAGTTGTTGCGTAGTGTAGTTGTAGTAGTAGTTGTTGTTGTAGTTGTAGTAGTAGTAGTAGTTGTTGTTGTTGTTGCTGTTGTTGTTGTTGTTGTAGTAGTTCTAGTTGTAGTTGTAGTTGTAGTTGTTGTGTAGTTGTTGTAGTTGTAGTTGTAGTTGTTGTAGTTGTTGTGGTTGGTGTTGGTGTTGGTGTTGGTGTTGTTGTTGTTGTTGCTGTTGCTGTTGCTGTTGTCGTCGAAGTTAGGGTAGTTAAGTTAGTGAAGTTAGTTAAGTTAGTCAAGTTAGTTAAGTTAATCAGTGTCTACTTTTTCGACATGATGATCGATCTAAAGGTCCTTGTAAGGAGTTTTAATTGCGAAAGCCGTGCATGTTATGTTGGAAACCCTCGCGAAAGTTTTTTTTCGAGTTCGCGAAAGTAAAATTTTATTTCGCGAAAGTTTCGCGAAAGTTGGGTATTATCATTATATGTAAAGAGCTGCCACCCGCTGCCGCCCGGGGTCCAGCAGGAGAAGGGCACCAGAGAATGCGAGTAGCAGTAGCCAAGTTTCCAAAAGTGAGGCTTTGCGAGAGCCAAACACCAAGGCCCCTGGTCTTCGCTTTTCCTTCAGTGCACCCCCTGCTGATGGCCGGGGTCTGTGAATAGGGATATTTTCGCGAAAGTTCCGCGAAAGTTCTGCGAAAGAGCGGGCGAAAGTCAAAGTGCATGTTGAAGGGGGTGGGCCAGTAAACTTTGCAAAAAAAAACTGTCCTGAGAAGGGATTCCGTGATGCTAGCTGCATGTTTAAAAGGCTACCAAGAAGTGATCCGTGATTCTCTGGCGTAATTTGGCAGGTGGTGAACGAATCTTCATAAGAGGTGTTGTTGGCCAACATGGGCCCCGCGAAAGATAAACATGGAGTTCGCGAAAGTTTCGCGAAAGTAAAATTTTTATTCGCGAAGAATGGCCGTTCCGGGATAAAGGAATTTTGATCAACAACCACATCTTCACGTCAAAAAAGGCTCAAAACCCTCAGTTTTTTACACTTTTGACTTCGAAATGTGCTTCGCGCCACAACGGCGTGCACTTTTTCGACACTTTTTCGACATCTGAACCTCCAAAAGTGGTCCGAGACCGTCAGTTTTTAACACTTTTGACTTGAAAATGGGCTTCGCGCCACACGTTGTGCACTTTTTCGACATCTCAACTTCCAAAAGTGGTCCAGACCTGGTGTGTTTTGTACATTTTGACTTGGAAATGTGCTTCGCGCCACAACGGCGTGCACTTTTTCGACATCTCAACTTCCAAAAGTGGTCCGAGAATGGTGTGTTTTGTACAATTTGACTTGGAAATTTTGACTTGGAAATGTGCTTCGCGCCACAACGGCGTGCACTTTTTCGACATCTCAACTTCCAAAAGTGGTCCGAACCCCTGGTGTTTTGTATATTTTGACTTGGAAATGTGCTTCGCGCCACAACGGCGTGCAATTTTTCATCTCTCATCTGGCCAGCTGGCTCCGCACCCGCCGCTTTAGCGAGCCTACTTTTCCACCCTCCGGAGCCCCAAATCATTGGAAAAACACAGTGTTTCGCGACTTTCCTACCTTTTCGCGCATCTGCATCTTCTTTCTTCTGACTCTTTCTCTTCTGACTCTTCTCACCTCTGCTTTTCAACTGTCCATATTGTCGGAAGTTTCACTTCTAAACTTCCTTCGATTATATAGTATATATATATAGTATATATATATATACATAGATCGTACATATGTGTAGTACTATACAGCACATGAAAATAAAACAAAACATCGACAACAATGCGCAACCCAAGTGGGATGGATAAAACATTGTAAAATGTAAAAACACCATGGGCAATGCAAGAGAGGTTCACATCTCGCTGTCCAGTTCCCGAACTGCAGGAGTGCTGCAGTGTGGAGGAGCTCACAGAGTGGGCTCAGAGGGAGAAGTTGGGCACCAAGTTCGTGTCTGCCATTGGGGAGGTTGTGAAAAATGGCGGGTTGCGGAAGGTCAACGACAAATTTTTGTTGGAAGAATTGAAAATTCGACTTCCACCGATGCGGCGGACAATCCTCAATGCGATCAAGCGACAGCTTGTCGGAAATAAGACCGTCCGCTTCGGGGAGGTGGAGAAGTTTGAGCCGATCCTTATGAACAAACCCAAGTTCAGCAAGTGTCCGTGGATCGACCTTGCAGAAATTGAAGAACGGAACGACCACGCGACTTTGCGGGCCGCCATGAGGACCTGGCGCTTCTGCGCCACTGGCCTCGATGGTCAAGAGGAGAGATCCTTAATGGACGATGCCTTTAATGCTTGGAAACCCAAGCCGAAGGCCGGGAGCTGCGTTCTGGGGTGGATTCTCTGGATTCATCTCTTGATTCATTGGATTCTTCATGATTCTTCATCTCTTGCTTCGCGGGACATCTTTGATTCAGCTCCAATAAACCGATCATGGCCGTAGATGCAGGCCATTGCAGTGCAGTTCAAAAGATTCTGGGGACACTCCATCAAGGAGTCAAACGTGCCATGACATGTTGCGAGTGCTATACCACTGTAGTCATTAATGTCCTGGGGGCTTCAACATTTCAAGCGCGTCCAGTTTCATCATGTTTCCTCCACTCAATGACACGACCAAGATGATAGTCACATGACCACAAGATATCACAACGTTTCAGTGATGAGTAGTGCATGGGTTCAATCGCCTTCCAGCTGAATCGTATTGAACCATGCTGAGCGATGAACGATGCTGAGTCAATCTGAGTCATCTTGTGCTGACAGGGAATATTTGAGATGTTCCAGGACCCGGGACCTGGGAAGTGGGGTGATCAGAGCTGTTCAGTCACCCAGGTGACAGCCTGGTGGCCTTGGCTCCACATTTTCTATCCATTTCTTCCCTGAGATTCTGTGAGATTCATTCGCCAGGATTTGTTGGAAGGTGTTGGAGCGCCTCGGTTCGGACTGTTTCCCCACCCAATGTTTATGTCAAAGATATATTTCTGGAACTTTCAGTTTTTTTTGATTTTTGTGGCTCATGGGTGCTTGTAGTTTTCGCACACCACAGTGCTCTTCCGATGACTTGCCGCAACTTTCCGTTTTCGAGGCTTTCTTTGTTTCGATGCCCTGTTGCTGCAGGCTTGATTTGGGATCGGTGTCTGCGAGCAGAACATGGACATGGACAGAAATCTGTGATGAACACAATCTAGAAATTACTCGTACATTGTTTACATATTGTATAGATAATATAGATTATAAAAAATATAAAGATTGTAAAGTACAATGTTGATAGTGTAGAGACACGTGTACTGTAAACAGATTCATTAAGCAGTTTTCTGGATGACTTTGCTTGGTGACTTCGAATCTCTATGCAGGGAGAAACCTTTGGAGTGAAGTGCTTCGAGGCACCGGCAACAGCGATGCAGTACAACCGACAGATAGGGGGCAGTTTATGAATATGGGATAATATTGCAAGTCACCGTTCATAACTGGACTTATCATTAATTCATTAATTATACACAGCAATACCACATTTGGGGACCCACCTAATTAAGAAACTGAGGGCTGACTCGTCTTGGGGTGGACAGTATTAACGTTTGAACTATTCATTAATCTCTTAAACGTCAGCAGGGCACACGTTTGAAGACGTTCGAACCTCAGGAAATGCACTACGTGGCCAATGTGAATGGGAGGAAGCGTCCAAAGCTGGCGTGACGTCTACAGTCTACTGTATGCAGTGGTTGGGTGGGATGGTGCTTAAGTCCTGAGACTTGGTTCAATGGTGAGACAAGATTCCGTCAAGACCAGTGCCTAGATTATCCTAGATTGTAGTCAGGCTTGTCCTGTAAAACTGTGACACAAGATTGAGAAGCATCATGAAGCACCAGCCACGACCCCGGTACACGCTGCCGAAAACTCCTGCAGCGTATCGATTTGCTGACTTGACGTGCAAATGCCGAGTTTGAATGTTCAATTACAACGTCATAAATTTTCATGGTCACTACTACTGTAAATGGTCATAAGTCATGAAGCATCAAAATACGTAATCGGCTGCATAATTGGACGGCCATTTTATGGACAACCTCTTAGTTGAAAAACCAGTATACTCCAATTTGTTGATTTTGTTGCGACTTTGAGCTCGGCAAAGCCAGGCGAAGTAATTTCATGCTTCTTTGTATGACTCCGACCGGTTGTCAACGAGAAGAAACAGGGTCTGATTCTGAACTGATCTGAGCTGGGAATCCATGCAGCAGAGAAAAAGTTAACGTGCAATATGTGAAGATGGAAGAGTCATGATGGATTCCGGGGTGGAATTGCAGATTCTCATGATCATGGTGTGACTTTGGGGCTCAATTCGCCATGTTTACCTCGAAACCATACGTGGACTTGATATGTCTAGTAGCGCACCATCCAATTTAAACCCATACTGTACTCATACATAGTCATACATGTGGGCAGATTGATGCAAACTTTGCCATCCCCCAACCTAGACCTAAGAATCGCCCATTTTTAAGTTGGAAAGTAACTCCCAATCCAGAGTCAGAATTGAAGGCTGTCCTTTTCATCGCCTTCCCATAGCAGGTGGAGTGGCCTCTGACTATTCTTGAGAAGGAAAATCAGCCAGAGGAGGTGGGAGATGAGAGACTTTCGCTCTATGATTTGGTGCCTGTTCTTTTTTGCGTGTCGGTGAAACATTCTTTGTACACTTCCTTGGTGCGAGATTTCAGCACATGCTTTCATAAACCATATAACCAGATCATACATAAGATGCTCACAGACAGGTTTTCCCCAGGTGATCTCACCATTTACACCTGCCATGTGCAGTCTGGTGTCTTCTTCCAGCTGGCGAAATTCCAAATGGCTGGGCTGAAGACCAAGTTGAAGTGCACCGGCAACGCCTTGATCTCTTCAAACCACACGGCCAACGTCACTTGCCTCGTGACTGGAGAATGGCAGATGCCAGATTCTGCCGTTATATTTAAAACAACACATCATGATACATCAGTGATTGGGAGGACCATTGTCCATTGAATATCATTGAATGCTAATGTTCCATCATAGTTGCATCATAATCTATATATATATAAATAGATACTTCAATTTCTCTCACCTTTGCCATATCAAAGCAGAGGCCCCATCAGTTCACCGATCAGAAAGGCATTAGTTACTTGAGACCAAGGCCCTCACGACACTGAATGTGCGGCGAATGAAGTCGGTCATCATCATGCTGGTGGTGGGCCCAAAGACCATGGCAGTGTCTATGGCGGAGGCGCCTGCGATGCGACGGGTCAATCGGTTTTGACTCCGGGATGGGTCAACACAGAACATCACAGAACCAATGATACCATTGAATTCCAAGTGAATCAAGGGATGAACATCAACAAGCAGCAGTTTCCTAGCTATTTAGATGTGAAAACCAGGGCCCCCGAGTTTTGATTCATAGCCAATTCGTGCCATTTCAGAGCCCTTGTTGCGATTGGAACGGGGCCGGGCCTCAGACGTACCAGGCTGCAGCCCTGCGACGGGCCAAGCATTTGGAGTCCGAACACCTTCCGGGCCATGCAAACCTCTGGATTTGCTCAGGCATTTTGTGACGCGGTATGAAAGCTATTGAAAACTGCAACTGTATGGCCAAACATGGTTTTGCCATTCCTGAAAAGCTTAGGTAGGGGACCCGTGTGTCGTTGCACAAGTCATCCGAAACCCTAACACCATAAAATGCTCAAGCCGTAAACCCTAAACCAGAAGCCCTAAACCTCAAAAAACCAGTGAAGCATCAAGAGAAAAATTAAAACCTCAACACATAAGCCCTAAAGCCCTAACTCTAAACCCTAACACCTTGGAAACCTAAAAGTCTTGCTGGGCGACACGGGGTGTCTGCGCGTAACTGTACCAATACTATTACGTACCATTATGTACCATTGTATGCTGCCATTCCTCTGCTGAATTCTTTCTAAATCAATGTAATCCAATTGAAGCCTGAGTTTCGCAGCTGTCAACCACGCAAGTATGCCTAGCGTGACAGGCTGCAAAAAGGTGCCAGAGTCCTCGCTCAACCTGTCTCAGCCTCAAATGACTGACGAGACGTGACACGAATGTTTGTTTTGTTGGTGGAACGCAAAACTTGGCCAGTTTCCAGTCCTAGCTTTCTGACATGTTATATATGCAGTTATTCAATGCTATTCGATGTTGTTCCTATATAGTTTCTTGGGACTTTTTGATCAGATACTTTTAGGATCTTTTAGGGATATGGTATGCCTTGGCCTGTGCCCACAGAAGTGTGGATTCGAGAGCCATATACACTTCAACCAGTTCATTTGGTCCTGAACTAAAGGGTAATGACCGCAGCGTACCGCAGCGCTTTTAGGTTTGCCAAAGATGATGTGGTGGTCGAACCAGACTCGGGCGAAAGACTGGCTGATCCAAGTCACAGAGCACGGCGGTTGGAAGCAGCACGCTGCCTGTTGCGCTTCTTCAACTGCGACCTGGATTTCAGGCCTGCTGTGAACTGCTGTGTGTTGGAAAATGTTGGAAAGTCGAGCTTGGCATGGTAATGCATGGTACAACTGGTACAGACAATCTTTCAGAGTTGGCTTCGATTCTGTGAGGCCAGATGAGGTAACCAGCAACTTGGGTGAACAGAATGACACCATAGAAACGTGCACTTGGCAGTTTTGCTGATATATATTCGGGGGTTTGGGGAATAGCGTGTGTTCTGCTCTGACCCAGTCTTCACTACAATTTACAACGGAATTTTGATAGGCATTGTTGTTGCGCTTTCAGGGGATATTCACTCTCGGACATGTTGTTTGCAAACGAACACTGAACTTCTTTCCTTTCGAGCTTCGGAGATGATCTTGTGTTCAGGAATTCATGAACTGCATGGGACATGTATGGACAGGATATCAGATGACGATACATGACGTACGTGGCCAAACAAGGTAAACCAAACGAAAAAACATGGCAGGCCACAGGCCCATCAGACATCAAGACATCCGCCTGTGGATCTTGCCAAGGCTCTGTCAAGGCGCTGGAGCCTGGTGCAGCGCCAAAACAGCGGCAACACTTTGTGGAGAAACTCGAACAGCAATGGGATGCACTAGGCAGAGGCATATCAACGCGATGTGGATGTCAGGTCGGTTGCTTTTGAAGCGCCGCCTTGGCATGCCATAGATTGCCATAGTCTAGTCCATTCGCAATAAAGAGGGGCAGATTTGATAAGACAAGAATCGGTAGAATGAAATAGACCTGTAGATAAATACATGATAAGAATTGATAAGATATCCATAGATATCCATAGATTCCACATGAATTGACCCCTGAAACAAGTGGATATGAGATAATAACAGAGATGACAAGAACATGTTCTTCTGATGAGGACAGTTTTGGGTGCTCGCCGACGAGAAGCCTGCGCGTGGCGAGATACGCCCTTGGGTTTGGGATCTCAGCCTACAGGCAGAGAGTGTATGGTTGGAACCATTTTGACGACACGTGAAATACACAGATAGCCACTACACAGTTATCGCAGTAAGATCAGCAAGCAACATGTTCATCGACTTGCTTTAGGCGCTGTGAGAACAATAGGTCCGATAGATCACATCAAGCTGCAGATGTAAATGGTATTTGCATGCATTTGCTGCTTTTCATTCTTTGAAATAATTTCCGTTTAAAGTGATGCCCTCTGGCAACCTGTCCAAGAAACATCGCTTCAACTTAATGGCCTTCAATCCTGGGCATATGGTCGTCAAAGAATCGTATTGTAGCAGAATTGTGGTCTTTTGACAAAATGATTCAACGATGAAAGATATTTAAAGTAATTCAGAACCGTTCTGGGTTCCTTTCATTTTTGTAGCTTGTATCACCAGCAATCAGCAGCGCAAAGAACAATGTCTGGTTTGCACATGTTTGCACCAAGGTGAAATTGTTCGTGGTGACAGTGCCAAATTGGAGGAGCGTCAACGACTAGTGCAAAATCTGTTGCTTGGACCAAGTGCACGATGTTTAACACGTCACTGGACGGGGGCCTTTCTTTGGCCATGAGCCATCAGATGCCATCAGACGACACTGTTTCACTTGTTCAGACTCAGATGGTTGAAGTCACACTTTGGTAAGCCAATGCATGTGTGCTGAGGTACGGACTTATGAAAGATCGATTCAAGAGCGCTGGAGACTTCTTCAAAGTTTTGGATGTCAATGGTGATGGTGTGATCCAACATGAAGAATTCCAGCGATCAATGAAAAAGGTCTTCAAAGGCGAATCCACTGACTGGAGTTTTTCTCTTGCCACCAGTTTCACGAAAGTTTCAAGACTACAGACACCTGCTCCTTTGCGACGATCGGCCGTTTTCCCTTTGGCTCCATATTGACAAGCTTGCAAGTCTTCAATTACGTTTTTGTTTGGATGTTGCTTCCATCTTTTCGTGAGAGGCACATTCTCGCCAGAGGATGTTCGAAAGATCTTTATTGCAGCAGACACCTCTGGCCGCGGAAACGTGACGAGCCAGGACTGGGTGGACTTTTTCCTCGTCTCTGCGCATGTTGCACTGCATTGCATCATAAGCACAAAGGACCTTCGGCACCTTCTCCAATCTGGTGCAGAAGCTGTTGGTGGTGTGATGTCAGATGAGGCTATCTTCAGTTGATTTGACCAAGAACGGAAAGATACTGCGATATCTATTTGTACTGCTGAGAAATTTATTTGCACATCTGCGTGTTTGCAAGACTTTGCCAGACTCGAGCTGTTTCTGAATGTGTCTAAGAGGCTGAGTTCCATTTTTTCTCCATGTGACAGAACTTGTTGTGACGAAGTGTGACCACCGCTCTTCTTGCAGTCACCCGAAGCTGATGCTGACCCCGGAAGTCCAGTGACTGACCCCGGAAGCCCGACTGCTGATGAACCTGAGGACTGTGGTGTCAGCCCGATGTTTTCAGTGAAAAGACCGTCAGTTGGCAGCCTTTCTCAGCCCAAACGGAGATATGATAAAGGGACATAAAGGGACATAAAGGGTTTGTGCACCGCAAAGAGCACCACTGAGAGTCTGAAACTAGGCCATGATTGCCAGCGTAAGGGTATGCTGGAAAGTCACTGTTTGAAGGACCCTGGCATCAACCCATCCGCCACAAGTGTGGCACTCAGAGCTTCAAGTGGCCAAGAATCGAGACTGCACAAAATGCTTGGTAGACGCCTGGTAGTGGAGGTGCTTGGTACTGGTGGTGGGACGATGTGGGATATAGTTTTTCAATGTTTTTCAAGGTTTTTCAGACTTGGCCAAAATCAAAGGTGGAGATCCTACTCCAGCCGTCGTCACTCCAAGCGCTGACACCGGGTCGGTTCTGTGGACTGTGCCACCAGATGCAGCTCAACGCACCTTGGTGAGATCTCAGGGTGATTCTGGGTGACCCAAAAAATCGCCATTGACGGACTGGGTAAAGTGCTGGCCTTGGACATCCTTGGACATCCTTGGACATCCTTGGACCATTCTAGATCTTGTATGATCTTGTCAGTGCTGGAGCAAGTCGACTAGAAACGGTGGTGCAAAAATATGTAGTAAACACATGTAAACACTCAGGCACAGTGAAGAGATGATATGAGATGAAATGAGATCGAAGACCACCCTTCTTTTCCTGTGCTGCCTAGGTGCAATAGATAAAGTGCTCCAAACAGTGGCAACCGCCGGAAGATTCCGGGAGAAGATCATCAATGACATGTCCAGCCTGCGCGACAAGGATAAGGACTGCCAGCTTCACAGTGTGTTTGTTTGGGTGCATATCGCGGTCGCGTGAAGCATCTTTGCGAAATTTGAGCTGATGACACAGTGCTTTGGAGGTTGGATTCCTCTCCAAATTGAGGTTGCTGGCAGGACAGGCAAAGCTTTTGCTGGGGTGGCATGAGTTAAGGTGTGTCACACACACACACACACACCCACACGCACACGCACACGCACACGCACGCACAAGCACACGCACACGCACACGCACAAGCACACTCACACACACACACACACACACACACACACCCACCCACACCCACACACCCACACACCACGCGCACACGCACACACGCACACACGCACACACGCACACACGCACACACGCACACACGCACACACGCACACACGCACACATGCCCGCGCGCACGCACACTGTATGTGTTGTGAGCGCGCTTCTTTGGCCAATTCAGAGCAACCTTCATGCTTCTCTCAGAAGCAGCGAACAACAAACCCAGACAGCTCGTAGCATGGGAAAGCATGTGACAGCATGGGACCGACAGCAATTGTCGTGACTGCTCCTTTGGAGATATGTTCCACAAGGGTAGTCTCGACATTAATTCAGGGAATTGTATGTGAGAAGGACACACCCACACACACACACACAGAAAGTACAAGTGCTTGTTGAAGCCGCGATCCGCAGGATGGGACATGCAGGACTTGCCCGAGGTAAAGAGTCTAGTCAGAGACGTTGAGGATGCTGGTAGAGATCTCGAGAGCGACCACGCTTCTTGGCAATGTTATTCTATTCTATCTATCACAAATGATTTGGATGTTTGTCATTGTTTATCCACGCTGAAGGTTTGACGTCTCACAGTCATTGGTTTTGGAAGTTTGTTTGCACATGTTTGCATGTTGCTTGTCCGCACGACATCAAAACGTCTGACGCCAACTAGTGTCACCGGACAAGGATGTTTCTGCCTTCCAATTGATGGTCATGGCAAACTTGCTGGATGACAAAGTTCTCCAGTCAGAGCTTGAGGACAGCCACAGTGCAGCGGCAACTCCAGTATGTTGACCTCCTGTCCTTAGACCATGTGACTGGTGTCAAATCATAATCTACCATTCTCTGTGGATCAAAGTGATTAAAGAATCATAAAGAATCTGAGTACAATCTTTGAACATAAACTCCCTTGCAGTGCAAGATGGATGTCGGAAAGTTGGAGTAAACTCAAAGTCTTGTTACATGTCGGCAGGATATGTATGTGGCTGCAGAGGGTGGCAATGCCCCCATGCCACCTTGCCTGGTGACAGTTGACAAGAGCCTTAGTTGCAAGATGTTGCAAGAATGACAACAGTGACTGATCAGTTCTTTGCATTTCTTTGCTTCATCTCCTTCCCAACTTTGGATGCCGCATTGTCACTGAGGCATCTCGCAAAGGCTTTGGATCTCTGGAACAACTACCCAGAGAAGTGGTCGAGTCTTTCGAAGTTGGAATGCTCTGAGGACATGGTGAGGGTATGGTTAGAGTTGACATGTGTTGACCATGCAATGTCAGCACTTTACCATTCAATTGCATCCAAGAAGTTGTTTGATAGTTTCTGAAGTACTTTGCCGCAAACGGCAGGAGAATTTGGCAAAGATTGTCAGCAACGTAACTCTGCTGCACATTTACCAATATATTTGTATGAAACACAATCTGTAAGATTGGGTAGTTCTAATCATTCTAATCTCTCTGGGTGGGAACTACGTATGTTTAACTATCAGTTGGTTGTCCTAAAAAGACCCGTGCCAATGAAGAGACTATTCCGACATTCCGTCATCTGGCTAACCACAGAAGAGAAACAACAGTTGGATCAGAATACTCCACTACACGTTGTGAGCTGAGTTGAGAGGCCACTGGGGAGTGGTGAAAATGCAAAAGTTCTGTGTCTCCGAATCTTTGATGCTTGACTCAGTCCAACAATTTTCCCACTTATAGATCACTTGAAAACTTGAAAGCTAAGTTGACGAACTTCTTGAACAATGAAGAACACTAATAAACCAACAGGTTTTCCTGAGATCTCCCCATATCAGGCCATCGTATCTCACCCATTTTGAGCATTCCAAGCTGTCACAAGCGTAGAGACCCTTGGAGGCCGCGTGTTTTGTGAGGCCAGAACCTTGGACAGCAGCAGCAACGCCCAGTTGTTGGCCCTGGCGAAATGCCACATGGCGGAGCTCAGCGTCGTGGCCAAGAGCGATGCAGCTGAGATGTGCCTGGAGCAACTCACTGGTTTGGTGCCAAAGCACTTGAAGGCCTGACCGTTTGGCCAAACTGGCCGCCTGGCCGCGTGGCCGCATGGCCTTGTAGAATGGTGTAAGTCATAATTAGTGAAGAATGGTACTCTCTTGCAAGTTTTTTGCTGTGGCCAAAGAAACTCAGAAAAGCTATGAAAAGCTTTGTGATCATCAAGGTATTGCCTCATGCATAGCCGCCTGCTGCAGGGAAAATCTGGCAAAGAGGAAGACGGTGCAGAGTACCACACTATGTTGGAGTTCGGAGCCTCGCACTTTTGACTTGCCATGGTGTGGAAGGGGCCCAGTATGGCCTAGTTGAACATCACCCTTTTGGAAGACGCCAAACGAAAAGAGGGACATTGTCTTCTGGAATACATCCTCATATGGCACTTGTGTTGTTGCAAATTGGCAAACAAACAAGCTCCAGCAGGATTCCTGCTGACATGGACATGGCCTCAATTGAGAGTACTCGGTTGATTCATAAAGCCTTGCCATCTCTGTCACACATCGTCCAACATGCCAAGGAGTTTTCCTACTTGCAAATCTGGCTGCTTTGCTGAATGAGCTAGGGCACATTCAATTGGGTTTGATGATGGGTTGTGGTTTTTGAATTCAGCGAGCCGGGCTCCAGTCAAAACAAACCGTATAAAGTGTGTTGTTTCTTTGGCGTCTTTGGCGGCTTTTTCTCGCCTTGATTTGAGGTGCAAAAAGAGCGAGCAGCAACGATCCCAAAGCTCAAAGGTCCACGCTTCCAGGTGGACCTCAACGTCATCAAACATGACAAAACAAAAATTGAGCAGTTTCGTATCGTTTCGTATCGTTTCGTTGTATCGAAGTCGCTCGGAAGCGGGGGCTGGCATTGATATAGAACCAGACAGCCACCACGTCAGGAAGCAGCTGGCTTTGTATGGGAGAAAAAACAAGAGGATGTCAAAATCCTAGCGGCCTTGTCCTATGTGCTACTCGGCATTGTAGTCCTGTCAGAATCACCTTGATGATCCTTGATGCAGTTCAAATGGCTAGATGGCTTCCAAGCACCTTGCAGATCCGCTGCAGGTTGCAGGCACTGTCTATGAACATCACGAAGTGGCAGGTTGAGATGGGCGAGGGTCACTTGGCGGAACATACGGAAACCTTGTGTTGTACTCTGGGTTGTCGGGACGTTCAAGGTTGAGATACCTAAACCGATAAGGACAAAGTGCAGACCAGATAAGCACTTGCCACTGCCAGGTGAAGGTCCCTGTCAATGTCAATGTGCTGTTGACTCCATCCATTTGCAGGTTTATGCTGTCTGTGAAAAGTCTGAGGTGAATGGTCAGACATGGCAGCGGAGCAACAGCTGGCTATCCGGACGGCTGTTTCAAAAGGCCGCTGTGATATGCTTTTGCTTGTGGCTGGGGGATTTGAACCATTCTTGGCAAATCACATGCTGCGAATCGTTGGAACATGTTGGAACATGTTGGAACATGTTGGAACATGTTGGAACATGTTGGAACATGTTGGAACATGTTGGAACGCCATTCTTGTTCATATTCGCACTATTTCGCAATCCGTAAGAGAAATGCTTTCAGGCGAAACGGTGCTTCATTTCCGTGCCCGTGGCTTCCCTTACGAGATTGACCTCAAGGTGCACATGCAGGTTTCAAATTAGAAACAGCAAGTATCAGCAAGCTGGAACTCTAATATCATCCAATATAATCTAATATCATGTTCTTGATTTTGTCACGCAGTCATGCAGTATTGCCTCTGCACAAAAGGCAATGACCCAAACCAACCTCAAGAGTGAAAAATCGCGCAAGATCCAGGAGGCCCCTCGGCTGCATCCAACTTGTCACACAATTCTGAAGCCAATTATACCCATGGCATCCCATGGCCCATTTCGTTGCTCAGTGAGTTTTCCCATTTTCGTATCCCATAACGACGATGATAATTGTATATAATATTATATAATTGTTCAGCCCGGGGTCGCAAAGCTGATTCTGTATCCAATTGCAGCAGGTGGATGTAACCTCCTTTGCTGCTGATGGGGAAGAAGCTGAAGAAGAAAAGCCGTACAAGTGGCAGGTCTCAAATGGAAAAGGCCAGGGTGAAATCACGGTCAAAATTGTTCAAGCCATTCAAGCCTATTTTCAGTTCGTACAGTAATCCTTTAAGATCATTGGATGCCACGCTGTGAGTTTGGCAGTCTGTCTTCAATGTGAACACCAAAATTGAGACGATTCAACGGGAGTATATCCGTGGGCTATGTCAAGTGGAATTTTGGGCTGGGACAGAAAAATGTGGTAGATGTCGTCGCTGGAAATGGACATTCTATGATTCTACTATTAAGACCTATTAAATCTATTAAGAGATATTAAGAGTTTGCAGCATTTCCTCCATGGATTGCACAGTGGCAGGTGGCTGGTGGGACTTCCCTCCAGAAGTAGATTCGAAGGTGAAAGAAGCTAAAGGCGCTGGGCTGACAGTCGTGACCTGCAGCATCAGGCGGGCATGGGGGGCATGTCGAATCAGTGCCACACTTGCAGTATCTTGCAGTGTACACTTGAAATCACTTGAATTACTTCAGTGATCTTTAGTGAAGAACGCCAGGGGACAGCCGTATGAAGTCTCTTGGCGAAAGCATGATCATGCGTTTAGAGTCTTTTAGATGTTTTTTTAATGCTTTTTTGATGTTTAAATGCTTTTGAGGCGCATGTTCAATTGGTGAGAATTGTCATGAATTGTCCATTCCCACCAATTGTATCCAATTGTGGCCTTTCCGCTAAAGTGTCACCAGGGTGCAGGCGATGCTCAGGTGGACTTGAACAAGATGCATCAGAAAAACACCAAGACGGGCACCAAACGTGAGATTCGGATGTGCCCTATTTGAGCTGCGTCAATGCCCGTTGCTTTCTGAGCGGACATAGCCAGTTGTACACGATGCTGACCAGCTACTTCGGCTGCAGAACATTCAGAATCCTTGGCAAATGAATGCAGAAGGTACATTCAGCTCATAATCAGCAGAAAATTCGCAACATGTCTGGCAAAACAGCTGCCGCTGAACAAAGTTGACCCAAAGTGATCCAAAGTGTACCAGCTAGCTGAGCTTTGGCCAGCTTTGGCTGATCAAAGAAGAGGCCTCCTCCTTTTTAGCATAATCCTTAGGGTGGCAACTTATCAAACGTACTTAAACGATCTTAAACACCTTTAAGATCCTTTAAGCATGTTTCTCTTGCCAGTGATGTATCTCAACAAAAATGTCAAGATACCCGGTATGGTTTCGACCTTGCCCACTCTGAGAGAAGCTCGAACCCCAAACGGCGGCGAGATTTCGATTACTTTCAATTCAGACAAGGTACAGCAACACGCTGTGCCAGGCTAAAAAGCCTCGTTGGAAAGAAAAGGAGGTCATGAAAGAGACATCATGAAAGGAAACTGCAAAGTAGGGAATCCAGTTTGGATTCGAATCCCTCTGAGCTGGACAGATTTTGACTCTACCAATAAGATCAGAAGGATATGATATGGTTTTAACATGTTTTAACATGTTCGCCCCAACCCGGACGTTGCTCCACACTTACCATCGTCATGATCATGATCATGATCATCATCATCATCGTCATCATCACCATCACATCATCACATCATGATCATCGTCACATTGAAATTCGTCACGCCCCCCGAACAATAGGTTGACTGGGGTAATAACATCAACTTTATCTTCATGAGGGGTCAAAATTCGCCGCCCCATCTGAACAATATTTTGATTGAGGTAATAACATCAACGATATCTCCATGAGGGATCAACATTCGCCACCCCCTGTGAACAATATGCTGGTCGGGGTAATAACATCGGGGTAATAACATCAACTTGTTCTTCATAAGGGATCAAAATTCGCCACCCCCTATTAACAACATGTTGATTGGGGTAAGAACATCAATTTTATCTTCATAAGGGATCAAAATTCGCCACCCCCTATGAACAGTACTTGTATGTTGATTGGGGTAATAACATCAACTTTATCTTCATAAGGGATCAAAATTCGCCACCTCCTATGAACAATATGTTGATTGGGGTAATAACATCAACTTTATCTTCATAGCCACCTGAAGTCAGACGCGGCGCAACGTCAGGGTTGCAGCGAACATGTTTTAACATGTTTTAAGTATTGTTCCTGTCGCCTGCGGGCCAAGCACCAAGAGGACAAATGTGCCAAAATTCTACTGGGTGATTACTGGTGATCACTCAATGTGGGTCCGCCAGGTGCATTCTGCAGCTTCTTTCCCCAAAGGTCACAGAATAGCGAAGCTGCCTGTGGCTGAGGGGATGAAAATGAAGTACACAGTACCATTGTCTAAAGATCATTGATGACTGTGACGTACTGTAGACTGTAGCTGTGGCCCAGCTTCATAGCTGTCATACTTCACACCTCGATCATTCCGAGGTGTTTCTTTGGTTGGCGCAAGGAGGTCACTGGGACACACACACACGCACCCGGAGGGAAGAATTTCGGATGTGAGTGGGAGAATCAATAGAGATGTGTGTTTCATTTGGTTGGGATATAGCACGGCCACTGTACTCCCATAGATAGAATTATAATGAATTATATACATCCACGGAACCGCATTCGCGAAGGGCCCATGAACGGAGCAACTGGGGATGCAAAGGGCTGCAAAATGCTGCAAATATCATTCAGTGAAAGAGTGGAATATCATTCAACCCAGCTGCACAACACACTTGTTACCAGTGGGGCTGCAAATATGTGCTATTGTTCGTTTGCCAGATGGGTAGTTACGGTAGGGTCCATTCTGTATCATTCTGCAATCCGCCATTGGGCCATGCGCCATAGATATGCAGCACCGAAGGCCCGCAACTGTCAACACATCTTCAAGCTATTGCATCCCAGCCGGAGGGTGCTGCTTGCCATGTGTTGGGCTACTGTTCCATGCCGAGCCAATCGAGCAGTGGCTGCTAACCCCCGGTTGGTCGATGAGTATAAGGTGTTATTGTGTTATACAGTATATATTAATATATATTAAATTATATTGGGGATTATGACATTCCATTCTGGAGCTTGAGGAGTTCTTACAATTGATAATTGTTACCCAAGATGGAACGTCACTGAAAGTCACAGGTGAATCTAGGTCAGTCTGTATGTAGAGGACAAAGTGCAAAAGAATCCTTCAGATATTGGAATCATCACAGAGTTCATCGCAGCTACTTGAGTGTTATTAACCACAAAAGCTTCTTTGAGACCTCCTGGCAAGCATGGTTGGATTTCCAGCGGTTCCAACGAGTGCATATTGTCCTCACACCGCACAGCTCGTTTTAGCCTCTATGATGAATTAAAAGCTGGTGTGCAGTCTTGACTACACCATCTCAGAAAGGAAATGACTGAAATATATTTAAAGTTCAGACCCCCCGATATAAAGTATTGATGCCAGAATATCTTTCACAGGCAGAAGAGAGAGGCTTGCTACACTGCTGCTGGGCTGTTTGGCAGCCTTTGGTTCGACAGCGACGCTGTCAGGTAGGGAGGTTCCATATGCAGCAATGGAGGATTGATAGGATTGAAGCACAGACAGGTTGCAAGTCTTGGATTTTGAAGATTCGAAGAAATTCCACGGTTGAGACTCGCTGAAATGGCGGATGTCACCGCAGGCCGCTTTACTCAAGCTGGCAACCAGAAGCGCTGACAGGGAGGCAGGATACCTTGCGTAGAAATGTGGAGCTCGCCTGAATCACCCCCAATCATTCTTTGAAAAGAGTTTAAAGAGCAATATGTTTGTTTGCGTGAATTTATATGAATTTGCGGAAGTGTATGAATTGTGGTCCTGTAAATGTCCTGTATGTATGAGGTCGTCCATGCAAACAGAAAACAAGTGGTTCACTTGCGGAGAGAGGTGTAAACGCGCACAGCGAACCAGCGCAAGCCATGCGTAAGTAGTTCTTTCAATTGAACAGGTACGCGAGTAAGTTTTACTGTTGCTTGAGTAAAGCAATGTAAAGCACAAGGCAAAGCAATGCTCAACCCATCTAGGCCTTCGCAATTGATGAGGATCCAACAAGGCAATTGCGAGTGTGTGAGACTTCACGCTTGACAAGACTTCACGTTACATACTAACCGCTTTGTCTTGCTGCAGAAACTGGCTCACAGCAACTAATTCAAACAGACAGATCACTTTTGAGTGGAATGGCACAGAATCAGAAGATAGAGCTTGAAGAAGGTGCCATGGGTGCTGGGATTATCTGGGACTTCCGGTGCTTTTCAAGTTATATCAAGTTATATAAGACATTGTGGTCACACATCGTCTCTTCTGAACTTCCCACTAATTTCTGCTCCAAGCAAATGCAGAGATTGCAGAGCATGACCGCCAAGAATAGTCTCCTGAAGTTTCCTCGGCACATATTGTTTGGGTTGGTTTTGAACGCACAGAACGCGTATCCCCAATTATAGGCCGTATCCTGGAAATTGCGGAATATTTCTACAAGTCTTGCAAGCTTTCTGAAGGAACGTGACATGCACCAAACAGGTATCTTCATTCCATCCCATGGTAAAAACCGGATTTTCCATTTATCTTCCCATACATTTTGTCATATATGTTATATGTCTCCATATTTTCATATCTTTTCCCCATGAAAGGGCCATCAATGGGCCTCGTCAGGTTGCTGAGGGGAACCCGAGGAATCGGGGCCCGCTGAGACTCCCACAGAAGTGGCGGAGAAGAGAGGAATCTGCGCGGCAGTGTTCTCGTTCCTGCGCTTGCAATGATTGGATACAGTATATAATATGATATAACATAACATAACATAACATAACATCATCATCAACAACAACAACAACAATAACAATAATATATATATATAATAAATTATAATAATAACAATATATATATAACATACTGTGAATTTAGCTACCTATTGCACCCATTGACTGAACAGTGCTTACCATTTTGCTGTGTACATTGAGCTGCAGGTTTCTTTCTGAAGCCTTTTAGGCGCAGATGTGCCCCCTGACGGGCCCCGTCGTTTCCTGTAAAAGGATCAGCTGCCGCCACTGCGTGTTTCTCAGTGGTAGGCGGAGCCTGCAATGGCGACCAGCGAGACCGTTGGCTTTGGTGGCAAAGAGCCACCTCCGCCGTCATGGGACGGTACGGATCCTGCAGTTCAGTTGCTGCTCTACGAGAAGAATGTGAAGCTTTGGATGTACGAGTCAGAGCTAGAAATGAAGAAGAGAGGTGTGAGGTTGCTACGCAATCTTACAGGGGTTGCAAGGTCAGTAGCTGACAACCTGGAGTTTGAAGAGATTGCCTGCGAGAAAGGGGTAGAGAACCTGTTATCTACCCTCAAAGCCCATTTTGCCCCGCACTTGGAGCTTAGCTTGCCAAGAGCTTTTGAACGTGCCGTATACGGTGCACCGAGGGGAAGCAAAGAAACAATTCAAGAGTACCTCATCCGAGTGGAACGTGCCTTTTACCTTTTGACAAAAGAAGGGCTTCAACTGGATGAGACTGCGCGGGGATATGTGGCATATCGTCAGGCGTCACTCACTGAGGCGCAAGATCTGAAATTCACGACATGGAGCAAAGGCCAGTTTGATTGGAAGACCGTAGTGGCAAGCTTGAGAAGGTTGGACACTGTGATCCCAGTCAAGTCGGCTGGTGTTTTCCTGCAAGATGTTCCTGAGGATGATGAATCAGCGGACGTCACTCACCGAGACCTTCGCCCAGGACTCCGAGAATCTTGATGACGAGGAGATGTACATCCTGGTGGAAGAGGGCGACCTTGACAAGATTTACGAGGAAAGCGAGGCGCAGATGGCGCTGGCGACATATCAAGAGGTGAGAAAGGCCATCACCATGCAACAGAAAAACAGGCAATACTTTGGTGGCGGCAAAGGACGGGGTCCGCAGGGGAAATCCAGCGGAAAGCTTGCTGGGAAGTTCGCTGGGCGTCGCAAGATTCACATAGAAGAGCTCAAGCTGAGAACAAAGTGTGGAAGGTGCGGGCTCATAGGCCATTGGGCTCGTGAGTGCACCAATCCGCCAGATCGAGTTGGTCTTCAGCGTGGATCCAATTCGACGTCTATGGCAAGTTCGAAAGCTGGCAGCAGTTCGCAGAGCCAGCAGAGTTGGTATGTGGCCATGGGCGAATCTTCCGGCAGCTTGCAGTGTGTTAGTAGTTGTTTTGGGTTTTCGTGTAGGGGTATGACACGAAAAGAAGATTTGGTTTCTTCTGATAGCAGTTTTGCAAATGATCAGGAGATTGATGTGGGACATGAAGTTAAACTGAGTAGTCCCTTAGAGATGACGGGTGAGCCAATAGGGCTTAGTCAATGTTTTGAGCCACAAGACATTTTGTCGAGCGGTGCAACTTTCTTCATCGGGCTGATGACAAACCCAGCCTATGCCGTTGTTGACACGGCGGCGCAAGACGGCCTGATCGGCCATCAAGCTTTGGAGCGGCTAAAAGTTCAGCTTGCAGATTTGGGCTTGCAGGTTTCATGGACAGGTAGAAAGGCAAAGGCGCATGGAGTTGGAGGTGCTGCAAAGGTGATTGGTATAGTAGCAATTCCACTGGGCATTGGAGGGAACACAGGCATATTAGAAGCCACGGTGGTTGAAGGTGAAGTACCACTTCTTTTACCTATTCGCATGTTGAGACAGCTTGGAGCGGTGATTGATCTGCCTGCACTTTGCATTCATTTTTCGCATTTTCAGCGAACACTGCCTTTGAACGTTTTGCCAAGTGGGCATGTGGCCATAGAGATAGTCGATTTTGGTGAGAAGGGTTTTCATTTGGAGTCATGCGGAGAGATGCCATACCAGGAGAGCGACTTCCGAAATGCTCTTGGTTCAATTTCCCAGTCAAATGAGGTGATGCTTTCGCATTTTCAACCCTCTTCAAGTCTTGCCCATGGCGTTGAATACGCTTGCTGCGCTGCGTCAGCGCCTTCAGCGGCCTTTAGCCGTGCCTGCAGCGGCGGAAGACCATGGGCGAGCACCAAATTCGAAACGAGCAGTCAAGCACTGGAGGCAAATGCTGGACAAAGTCATTTCAGTCCAGCGTCTTCTTGGATTGGAGGAATCGGTGCACTCATGGCTGCCAGTGACCAGCGAGGTGACAGCTTCCTCCACATGGTCCTCGGAGCAACTCGCCGCGCACATCGCACATGCAGAGAGGCTGCCACCGCTCAAGACCAAGGTGGCAGCGGTGAAGTCTGCGGACGAGTGCGAGCACAAAGCAGAGAGGCTTATGAGGGGCTCGAACCAGTGGGCGGCATGGGTGACATGCATGGATTGTCACTCCCGCTGGGCACTCCCAATGTCCTCAAAGAAGCCGGCAAAGAAGAAGAAGGAGGCAGCGAGTTCAGCCGAGAAGGAGAAGGGTGTTCAGAGCGAGGAGGCCACAACAATAGCAGCAGCGCTGAAGAGGGAATGTCTGGTGCTTCGCAAGAGCGAGGCTTCACAGGCAATTCAGTTGTCCGAGCAGAGAACCTTGATGGGTCAGTGGACCGAGGAGCTGCAGCAGAAGGTGGCAGTGGATCAAGAGATGATGTTAGCAGAACAGAGAAAGCATCGAGTGGAGATGGATCAACTGAGGGAGGCATTGGAGGTCAGAGACATCATGATGTCAGAGTTTGCATGCATGGCGATGGGCCAGGAGTATCAAGAGCACAAAGGATACCACGATGCGGAGATGCATGCATACGCCCATCGGCGTTGGGAAGAGCAGAAGGAAATGGCGCAGCTGGAAGCCCTGCAGAGAGAGATTGCGAGGGCAAACAGCAGTTCAGCCTCGAGAGCGGATCCCAGCGACGAGGAGTGGGATGCAGTCATGCACCAGAGGTCAGGCAGGAGCGAGTCACAGAGAACCCGCGTGAAGAATGCTGCCACCAGCAAGAACAGGACCCATTCCAAGTCGAAGAGACATGGGTTCGATTGAGGCAGCATGGAGGAGTTGCAGAGCGTTTGAGAGCCTTGCAGAACACGGGTTTCTTTGAAGCGAAGGAGGTGTTTGTAGAGTTTGAAGATGGCATGTGCAGCACTTCCATAGAAGAGTTGACAGAAGAGGATGCTGAATGCTTGGTGAAGATTAACATGAACAACAAATTGAGGTTTGAGGATGAGCTGGAAGAGGTGGAAGAAACAGCTTTACCGAAGAAGGTGAAGACGCAATTGCGAGCGGCAGAAAAGTCTCGCCAGGAAAGTTTGGAGGAGAAGAGCTTTCAAGTTGATGTGAGTGAGGTGTTCAGCAAGCCTAGGTTGACAGCAGAGGCAGAAAGACAGCACTTGAGAGCTGGAGGTGCCTATGACATACTGACCGGGTACGACCTCCGAAAGAAGAAGGATCTTCAAAGAATGAGAAAAGCGCTGGCTGCAGAGGAGCCAGAACTTGTGGCTTGCAGTCCGCCGTGCGGTCCTTTTAGTCCACTTCAGAGGTTGAATTTTCCCAAGATGAGTTTTGCAAAGGTGATGAGCGTTGTTGGAGAAGGCCTACAACATGTACGTACGTCAGCTCAGGTTTGCCGACGTCAGTACGAACAAGGTCGTCTCTTCTTGTTCGAGCATCCTCGGCCTTCTAAGGCTTGGGAAGAAAAGGAGTTGGAGGCTCTGAAGAGACTTCCTGGTGTTCATGTTTGCAATTTCAACATGTGCAGGTACGGCATGAGGGTTCACAAGGAATTGAACAAGAAGGCCACCACTATGATCACAAACTCGCCAGAGATAGCAGCACAACTTCAGCTTGTTTGTGAGGGAGGCCATGTTCATGAGACCCTCATGGGAGGTCGCGCGGCAAAAGCGGCCGAGTATCCTCCGGCACTGTGTCAGGCCATCATTTGTGGCCTGCGCAAGCATTTGAGGAGAAAGAGTCTTCAAGCAAAACCCTCTGAGGAGTTCATTTCTGTTTTGGCAGCAGAAGGTGCAGAAGAAGAGCAAGAGAGTTTGGGCGGTGCATCTGAGGAGGATCAGGATGAGGAGGAGGAAGAAGTTGCGAGAGTAGAAGAAGCAAGCTCAAGGCAGGTTGAGGTTTCAGTTTCAGCAGAAGATCGAGTGAAAATCAGAAAGATGCATGTGAATCTAGGCCATCCAAACAAAGCAAGTTTCTTGAGGTTTTTGAGAGCCGGAAGAGTTCGGCAGGAGATTTTGCAGTGGGTGGCAAAGGAATTCACTTGCGGAACCTGCCAGAGCCAGGCAATGCCAAAAGCACCACGTCCAGCGGTGGTTCCTCGTTGCTATGCGCCGGGAGTGGCGCTTGGGCTTGATGTCTTCTATGTGCCCGATGAACGAAACCATCGGACCCTTCCTGTGCTGAATTTGGTGGATTTGGGTACCAACTATCAGATGGTAGAGGTGTTGGATTCCAAAGAGCCTATGCATATTTGGCACACAGTGTGGAAAACCTGGGCTCGCACTTTTGGTCTTCCTCAGTTCATCACTGTGGATGAAGGGAGAGAATTCAGAGGAGGTCTGGCTCGTATCTGTGCTGATGCGGGTGTCATCATTTTCCGAGCAGCGGCTAGGGCTCCTTGGCAACAAGGAAAGGTTGAGAGACATGGAGGTCTGATGAAGGCCATGTTGGAAAAGGGCAGAGAGGAGCTGCCCCCAACTTCGAGAGAGGAGTTGGTCAATTTGCTGCACGCATGTGAAGCAGCGAAGAACCGGTATTCAAACAGATCCGGTTTCAGCCCAACTCAGAGACAGATTGGGCATTGGCCAAGGATGCCTAGCAGTTTGCTTAGTGATGAAGCTCTTGATCCTGCGTTGCAGTCACAGGGCCAGACTGATGAGTTTGAACGTATGATGGAAATGAGGAGAGTGGCACAGGAGGCATTTATGAAGTTGTCTTCGAGGGAGGCAGCTGCCAAAGCCTTAAAAGCAAGGCCCAGAGTGCAACAGACATACAAAGCAGGAGATTTGGTGTACGTTTTTCGTGCACTGCGGCGTCAAAAGGCTTTGCGACATGGAGCAGCAGCAGCCCAACCAAGAGCACAAAGAGCGAAATGGGTTGGGCCAGGTCATGTGCTGGCTACTGAAGGCTCAGTGGTTTGGATCAACATGTTGGGTGAACTGTGGCGTGCGGCAACAGAACAGGTACGCCATGCAACTTCAGACGAGCGTCTTGGAGTTGAAATCATTTCTGAGGAATGTGAGGAGATGCAAGAGAGGCTTAAAAGAAGTTCACACAGAGCTGGCTATCGGGACATCACAAGTGAGCCGTGGCCAGAGGTAGCGGAGGCCATTGAGGATCAGGCAGATGAGGTGCAAGCGGAAGGTGAGGTTCGAGGCAGGCCAAGACCTCGATTGGAGGATGGAGACTCACCAGAGGCAGAAGATGGAGAAGGGGCTGAAGCACAGCATAGGTTGAATGAGGAAGAAGCAGCTTCTGAAGGAACCGCAGTTCCACGGCAAGGTTCACATCAGACTGTCTTGGAGCCTGAAGGAGAAGTTCCCGCTGCGTCAACACCAGCAGTGGGAGGAGACATAGTAGCAGCACCAGAGTTCCCGAGTGAGATGCCAGTGCTTACAGATGAGATGGCACGTCAGATGGTAGAATCAGAGGCAGCAGTGAGGAGATTAGACGGTCTTCCAGAAGAGTCCTTTGATGCCATTCGAGACAAGGTTTTGCCAAGATGGAGGAGAAATTTGCAACAGCCATATTTTTGCGAGTTTGAAGTTTTCTTTCAGGGTGAAGAAGGGTCAGAGGAGAAAGAAGAGGAGCGTCCGAAGAAAGATTACTGGGTTTTCGATGTGCATCGAGAGGTGGTGCAACGTCATCATGTAGCATGGAGAAAGCAGCTCTTCAATCCAGCTCATGCTTCTGGATGTCCAGTGCCATTGCGAGCGTTGAAGAAGGCAAGGAGAACAAAGTGGATGGACAGTGCAGGGAAGCCAAAGCAGATGGATGATGAGTGGTCTTTGTTTACGGAAAAGGAAGAGAGAATTTCTTGGTGGCGAGGAATTACCGAGTTTTCGGTGGATGCTCATTTTCTAGCTGACTCGACTCAGAAGGCAGCACCAAAGAAAAAGCGAGGTGAAGGCGAGGTGTTTCCACATGAAATACCAGCTGAAGAGTGGCCAGAATGGAAGGTTCAAGATGCAGAAGAGTTCAAAAAGATTGTTGACAGTGGAGCGCTCAGGATTTTGAGCGTGGAGGAGTCAAAGCAGGTTTGGGCACGTTTGGAGGCAGAAGGAAAGACAGATCGAGTGATCCCAAGCAGAATGGTTAGAAGATACAAGCCTGGTGAGGGCCCAGGCGCACCTCGAGTGAAGAAGAGCCGTTTTTGCATTCGAGGAGACAAGGATCCAGACATTTTGTCGCTTTCTCGTTTTGCCCCGACAGTGACGACCTCCAACTTGCAGGTCATCTTCCAGGTTGCGGCCAACAGGAGATTCAGAGGATTGGTAGGAGATCTCAAATCGGCTTTTACCCAAAGCCGCCCTCTGCAGCGAAGTGGAGGCCCATTGTATTGCAGGTCATTTCATGGGAGCATGCCGGGCCTACAGGAAGGCCAACTTGCTGAAATCATTTTGGGATGCTATGGATTGGTCGACGCACCACTCAATTGGCGTCTGACATTGACTGACTTCATCCAAGCAGAGCTTGGATACAAACAGTCGAGCCTGGACCCATGCACCTATCTCCTTTTTGACAAGGACGGAGAGGATGGAGAAGAGGAGCTACAAGGGGTAATCTCAGTGGAGGTAGATGATTTACTCATGTTTGGTGGTGAAAAGCATGAAAAGAAGATTCAACAACTTCAGGAGAGATTTACCTTTGGCAAAATGAGGGAGATTGATGCACAGGGCGTTGATTTCAACGGAAGGAGGCTGAGAAAGGTCGGCAGTGACTTTTTGATTGACATGCAAGCGTTTGTCGAAGAACGTTTACACATGGTGGAGCTGACACCAGAGCGAAAGAAGCAAAAGAAAGATGAAGTGACAGAAGAGGAAAGGAGTCAAGTGCGCAGTGTTTGTGGTGCTTTGAACTGGATTGGTAGAGAAGGGAGGCCAGACGCAGCTGCAGCTGCATCTATGTTCAGTTCTCTGATGAGCACGATGAAAATCGAGGATGTGCTCGACCTGAACAAAGCGGTGGAGCAGCTGAAAGCCGACGCTGGATTGTCACTGCGTATCCAACCAATTGAAGAGAGCCGTTTGCGTTGGGGGGTTATCTCTGACGCTTCATGGGCAAATGCGAAGAATGGAAAGACGCAGGCTGGACATATGTTGATAGCCTTCGACTGCGCCCTTCTTGATGGACAGCGTGCCACCACAAATGTGTTACACTGGCGCAGTGGAAAGTTGCAGCGTACTGTTTCAAGTACACTTGCTGCAGAAACACAAGCCTTGGCTCGTGGAGTAGGAGATTTGCTGTGGATGATGGTCGTTTATGAAGAGTTGACCACGGCAAGTTTTCAGATTAGAGATTGGAGGAAGTACATTGGGCGCAAAGGCTACAGTGCCTTTACCAAGTTTGAGGAGACGGAGGAGGTGAAAACGGCATTGGCGTTGGTAGACGCCAAGTCACTTTATGATCTTTTGATTCATGAAACCACTGGTGGATCAGATCGCAGAAATGCTTTAGACGTTCAGGCATTGCGTGAGGAGCTTGCAGAATTGAAAGGGCAGATACGTTGGGTGGAACATCTAGAGATGCCAGCCGATTGCCTCACCAAGAAATTGGGAAAAGTGACCACTCTGAAGCGATTGCTCAATGAAGGTGTCTTTGGCATCACCGAAGAGTCTGCAGCGCTTGGTGCACGTTTGAATAACCGTAAAGAGTACGGTTACAACAAGAGGTAAGCCAGTACAGGTTTCAGTCAAAAACATTTTCTTGGGAGCTGTGAATTTAGCTACCTATTGCACCCATTGACTGAACAGTGCTTACCATTTTGCTGTGTACATTGAGCTGCAGGTTTCTTTCTGAAGCCTTTTAGGCGCAGATGTGCCCCCTGACGGGCCCCGTCGTTTCCTGTAAAAGGATCAGCTGCCGCCACTGCGTGTTTCTCACATACATATATATATAATATATATATATATTATAAAATTTCTATATAGTTGATTATAAGCAATTATATACATACGTATAGCATTGGATATTGGTGAAATATATTATTGTAGCCAACCTATGCTTTTAATTAAGGGATAACATTGATATTCAGGGGATAGTCAACAGGATATTGTTAGGGCAAGGATCTGGCTAATTTATAACAACGACGTCACTACAGATGTCGATTATAATTATATACAATGTAATATAATGTAATATCATAATACACACATATATATATATACACCGTATATACATGTATACTGTATAGATCATAAAGACGAATATATGTGGTATCAAGGAACCATCAAGGCACTGACCTGAATTAGCAAGACAATACTTGGTCAAATAATTTCGAAATTTGTTTGCCCCTGATCTTCAGAGAGCAACAGTCAGGTTCGGAAACAGGAAAACTCCAACTGAGGCTGGTCCTCTCTATCCCCTCCCTCGTGGGTACCTTGGCGCTGGCGAAATGCTGCGTCATGCCTGTTGTGGTACCGCTGGTCTGTCAGTACATGGCAGTACATGTCAGTACGGACAAGTCACAATTTGTGGTTTGCTTCTGTATTCTGTACATATGTGAGAATCCAAGGCACCTGATGTTGGCCTTTGATTGTTGGCTGGTTTATGCAAATTGCTTGGTACCAAATTGGAACCTTGGCAGAATGGTGGCGCCAAAGCCCTGCTTCGCCCGCAGAAAGCAACGGTTTCTGTTTTGTATTTTTGACCACACTCATTTATCCTCTTTTTTAGGTATGTGTAGATCAAATGGATTTCGTTGCAGAGCTATATCTCGTGTCGCACATTCATGTCCACATGCTGGAGGGTTGTACATGCCCAGATCCAGTTAAATTCACAGTCAACACTGTCATTTGTTTCACAACGTGGTCATCGATCGTCATTGATATGATTGGGGTGGCTGGGTGGGTTGGCGTCTACGTTTTGGTCTACACGCATCACATTGCTGTAGCAAATGTGTATGCGCCCACAAGGGTCTGCAAAGGATCCACAATTTCGCAAGCAACCTTTGGTGAATCACTGAAGTGTTTTGTTTGTCCATTTTGGTGTTTGATGTTCAAGCTCGATGTTGCTCTCAGGCTTTTTGCGGCCCCAAAAATTAGGCTTTTGATTTTGAACCAAATCACAAGACCTGGATGGACCTGGTATATAAATGTATATAATATATAATGATATATACTGGTTGGTGGTTTGCAACATTTTTTATTTTCCCCAATAGTTGGGATGATGATCCAATCTGACTAATATTTTTCAGAGGTAATTCATGCTTGCATGAATTACCACAGCAATACCGACTGATGCTGTCGGTTGTTCAGGTCATTAAGGTAGGCGTGTGCTTTCGTGCCCTCTGAGGCCTGACCAACATGCGGCTCGAGTGGATGTGGTTGTGAACTTAGCTGTCACGGTTTTAGATTTATGTGTTTTGCTTGCTTATGTTGTTTTGGGTTTCAGGATCTCGCTTAGTATGTGCACTTTGATGAGATATGGGTTCAAAGGTTTTGCGGTAGATTCTCAATTTCTGTGGAGATGGACCGTCAAGCAATGGAGTATGCCACTGTGACTTCTTTGCTCGTCCAGCTGATCCCGCTGTTGATGGCTGCGATTGTGTCATTGATTCCGGTCATGACGGATGGGCAGCTGAGCTCGTTGGCGGTGAGTTTGGAAGAGGCTCTGTGCAATCGTGGTTTGTCCACGAGATCTCAGAGCTCCACCACTGCTGGGCCCCCTGGCATATCGCCGACGGCATTACCTACAATGCCCCCTGCAGCCAATCAGCCGAACAGCGAAGTACATGAGAGTGGTCAGCTAATTTGTCGCCAATGCGGTGTCCGCTGGTGTGCCAAGAAGACATTGCCGCACCATGTGAACCGTTGCTACTGCACCATTTGCCATCAGGCTAGACGTGGCTGATCGTAATTGCCATCTTGAGTCGGCAAATCGACATCTTGGTGCAGTCTGTCACAGAAATGGATTTTGAAGACTACAGGTGTGCGCAGAAAAATGTCGCTGCGATCAGCTGCTTTGTTGATTTGTGGCGTTGTTTGCACTCCCAGTGTGTCATGTTATCCAAGCTTGTTGAATGTATTGTGTCATTTTGTTGAGGTCGAACGTCATCGGGAAAATTGGTTGGCGGCTGACCGTCGACGTTGTGTTGTGTTTTGGTTTGATTTGCCGAATTGGCGTCAGCAAGATCTGTCTTGGCAGCATGATGAAACCTGTACAAAGTGAATTTTGGCTGTAGTCTATGACACGTTGTTAATGTGCAACATGGGGCAATTTCAGACGTGTGACTTCATGTTTGTTTGACGCATTCAATGTGTGACACAGAATTTATGTGGCATTGACTAACTGTCCAATTTTAGCCACCCTTGCGCAATGAGCGATGTGCAATGGGATCAAAGTTTCAATGAATTGCCAATATTGGCAGAGGAGTACGATGGCAATGGGGCCACAGGATTCCTGGAATGGTTGATATCCCGCCAGGTGTTCGACCAATGCCAGAGTTGCAACGTTGACGCCAGATATGCAATCTGTAAGGGCAATCAGATCGAGCTGCATGTGCCAATCAGTGCTAGTGTGAAGTACTCTGCCAGTCAAAATGTGGAAAACACTGTTGTGTGTGTGAGAAACACCACGTACGTGGTCGAGCAGAGTTTGGCTGGTATCCGGGTTACTTATCACAATGTGATTCGTCACCTGGCAAGCTACCGAGTCATCTACCAGATGCCGTTGGCTACGGACAGCTTGGCAAGGTCACTGGGAGGATATGTGAATCATTTCGCTGTCGATCCAGCAACGGCATACCCCCCTCGAACAACGGCGCGGTCCGACACCAATTCAATGGCGTCTGCACTAGTACAGCAGTTCGACTTAGGCTCTTCTCATCTCCAATACCATTTTGGCCTCTGGTCGAGAATATGGCTCAACTTTCAGGTTCTCGCACACTGTGTGTCGTTGCCTGACAACATCAGGGGCCTACACTATCCTGCCCGGTCCAAATATGGTGGGATTGTGGGGTCTTCAGTTGCAGCTTTTTTGAGTGAGGCTGATGGATTGAGACGGGGCACGACCATACCAGTGACCCTTCACAACAGCAGACTTGAAGAATTGGGAGCCGTCATTCGGCTGCTGCTGGCTCAGGAACCGGTCATTGAGCCTTACCTCGAGAAAGAGGGGCCTGGCCAGATGCTATCTCCTCCCGACGGCCGTGCTGAATTCTCGGATGAGGGCAGATTCGGAACCTATCCTGACGGTGAGGATTTTGTGATCTGTGCGTCAGCATTCAAGTTTGAAGAACCGGTGACAGTTTTGTTTGGAGGGCTAATTATTTTAGGATTTTTTTTTGATCAGGTTTAGGAATTATTTTTGGATTCCTGCTTCTCTGCTTTTCCTGCTTTTCCTGCTTTTCCTGCTTTTCCTGCTTCTCTGCTTTTCTGCTTTTTTGCTTTTCTGCTTCTCCTGCTTCTCGCCTTTTCTGTTTTTTTGCTTTTCTGCTTCTCCTGCTTCTCTGCTTTTTTGTTTTTCTGTTTTTCCTGTTTCTTTGCTTCTCTGCTTTTCCTGCTTCTCCTGCTTCTCTGCTTTTCCTGCTTCTTTGCCTTTCTGCTGTTTTGCTTTTGTGCGTTTCCTGTTTCTTTGCTTCTCTGCTTTTTTGCTTCTCTGCTTTTTTTTTTTGGCTTTGCCTGCTTTAAATACTTGATTTTCATGTAAGATGCATTTTGCACAGTATTTGCATCCCTGAGTATCACATGACCAACCTTCTCTTGAAAACTAGCAACGTAACATGTGAGAAGAGGTGCTTGCATTCTGCTTTGGGGGGAGGCGCCGCGCCCTCCCCCCAATCCCCCCCTCCCGCTTTTTTTAATTTAAACTTAAACCCAAGTTACATTAGTTGGTTTTTGCGAACTAACCTTCTCTGGAAAGCTGACAGGATTACATGTGATAGATAGATAGATAGATAGATAGATAGCTTGGTAGATAGATAGCTAGATCGATAGATAGCCAGCTAGATAGATAGATAGATAGCTGGAGAGATAGATAGCTAGATACCTCGATAGATAGATGGCTAGATAGATAGCTAGATAGATAGATGGCTAGATAGATAGCTAGATAGATAGCTAGCTAGATAGATAAAGAGGTAGCTAGATAGATAGCTAGATAGATAGATCGATAGATAGAAAGCTAGATAGCTAGATAGCTAGATAGATAGTTAGCTAGATAGGTAGATAGATAGCTAGCAAGATAGCTAGCTAGATAGGTAGATAGCTAGATAGATAGATAGATAGCTTGCTAGATAGCTAGCTTGCTAGATAGATAGCTAGCTCGATAGCTAGATAGCTGGATAGACAGCTGGATGGCTAGATAGATAGATAGCTAGATAGATAGAAAACTAGATAGCTAGATAGCTAGATAGATAGTTAGCTAGATAGCTAGATAGGTAGATAGATAGCTAGCAAGATAGCTAGCTAGATAGGTAGATAGATAGCTAGATAGATAGATAGCTTGCTAGATAGATAGCTTGCTAGATAGATAGCTAGCTAGATAGCTAGATAGCTAGCTAGCTGGATAGATAGCTAGCGCCCTCCCTCAATCCCCCCCACCCGCTTTTTATCTAATCCCAAGCTTCCGCATCTGTAAATATTTGGGTGAACATGCTCACATGTAGAACATCCCATGCAAAATGGAAGGTGAACATGCCAAAATGTGGCAAATACCATACAAAATGGAAGGTGAACATGCCCACATGTAGGAAATCCCATGCAAAATGGAAGGTGAACATGCCAAAATGTGGCAAATACCATACAAAATGGAAGGTTAACATGCCCACATGTAGTAAATCCCATGCAAAATGGATGGTGAACATGCCCAAATGTGGCAAATACCATGCAAAATGACAAATTCAAGTTCCAAACCGTTGCAAACACTAGGCAAATGGTACCAGCCAAGAAATCCAAAAAAAAATCCCAAACCTGTTCAAAAAAAAAATCCTAAAACTATTTCACACCCGTTTTGTTTTTCACAGAGACCGGTTTCCTTCCAAATGCTGGAGTGGTGCCTGGAGACGTTGCAATCCTTGCAAGCGGATTGAGTCCGAACAGCCTACTTGGTAATCACTACCAAGTGCCGATGGACCCTCTGGACATGGAGCGCCTCATTCCTATGAGTGGGTTACGTGAGGCACTTAGCATCTTGGCAAAAATCTTGCCAGATGCAGCAGGCTGCACTGCTGGCGCAATGGTGGCCTGGAGTCTGTCTGCGGGACAGCCGGCAGAAGGGCAACACGAAGAGACTTCTCTGGTTGCACCGGCGTACAGTGCTTGGATTGCGAGAGGAAGAAAAGCTTTTGCGCAGAGTTCAGTGGTCGGTTCGATGTTTCCAGACTTGGTGAACTTGGAAAGTGAGGTTAGAAGTACTGATTCATCAGTCAGAAACATCCTCAGAGCTTGGAAGACTTCAGGTCGCAGAAGTGATTACTACTCGGCGCCACAATCAATTTACAAGTTGATGCGATTGTACTTGGTGCAGGCATTGCGCTATGTCGGGATGAGGCCGGCATGCCTAGCTTTGGACGCAAATCCAGTCACTGATGCATACAACGATGAAAGAGCAGAGGCTGAACAGATCTGTACTTCCTCACAAGGGACAACGACTGGTCTCAGTGAGGTACTGGACAGAGCGGCAGTGCGACTGTCAAATGTCACACTGCCCAAGGTGCTTCTCGAGGGCCTGCGGCCAGGAGTTGCAACTCTGAACCCTTCACGGAGTCTTAGCCGTACGGAGTACGGTCCATACTCCCCTCTCACATGGCCAGTGTTCAGGGCTATGACGGGTCCGACAGCTTTGGAGCTCCCACCCAGCCTCCTCACTTTGGTCAGCGAAGCTGGGTTTTGTCCAGCGGAAAGTCATGCAATCGAAATCGTGATGGAACGTTTCCAAAACATTGCAGCTGATCGAGTACTCTTCGCTGGCAATGAGCAGGCCAGTATCACAAGCGAAGGAATACAGCTGCTCGCTGACGCAGGGTTGGGGTTTGGCTCAGATCTCACAGTGAGAGTCTTCCCAAATCTGGCGGTTGACACGGGCCTTGAGATGCACGCATGTGCTGTCAGAGAAGTGAGCAGTCAGTCCACCACGTTTGTTGGACGGGGTGCGCAAGTGAACTTGGACTGGGTTGGCGTCCCCGTGGTGGTCCAAGGAGCTCCTAGAACTGAAATGACTACGTACAGGTGCATGCCTTTCAGAGCGACTGGGATCTTGCGATGGTGTATGATTCGACCGCCCAGGTTGTTGAGATACTCTTTGCCTAAAACATCTCGGTCATTGAAGCCAGTGTTGAACAGCATCGGTTCAAGCTTCAAGCTGCTCAACGTGGCAGTGTTGTTTCTCAACAGCAGAGTGCCACCTACGTTGAGCACAACAATGTTGGAAAAGCCGGCAACTCTGCGTATCTCAAAGCGCAAACCGGATTTGCAAAAACCCTCCATTGATGCCAATGAAGATTTGAGGAAAAGGGAGGAGGACGCAAATGCGGGGGCAAAGAAGAGAGTGTCCCTTCCACCTCCTCCGAAGGTGGATGGGAATTTGGATCCGGCCAACGCCCTCGCCGAAGCTGTGCCAAATCCACTGGATGGCGAGGAGCTCACACCAAAAGGTGCTGATGAGAACGCCGATGATCATCGCTAGAGCGAGGCTGAAAAAGAATGAGTCTTATCCGACTGAATCGTCTCACTGAGCCGTTGAGCTGAAATTTTGATCAAGTGTACAATGGGACTTTGGTGGGGACAAACTGGACTTCAACCCACTCTCCCTGGTGGACTTCCTTACTTTGTGCCTGGACTTGATTTTGCCCAGCGGTTGTTTGATGGATTTCGCACTTTCATGAAGAAGTATGAAGCGGACTTGGCACAACAACGGTACCGTTTTGGGAAAACACGGCGTCAGATGGATTTGAACTTGGTTTTCCGTGACTGTAAAGACTGTGGGCCCCCCGTTGTCGATACGTTGCTTGATCGTCTTGAAGTGGAGGTTGAAGAGGTGCGGTCTGAGGAAGTGTCCCTCGTTTTGGTCCGGCCGGTCTAGCTCATGCCTGATAGACCGGTGGTGGTGCAGGGTCAGGTGGTTGAAGTGCTTGCGCATGAGGCAGATCAGGTGTGGCTGTCCAATGTCGATGGAATCCAAGTTGGGGCCTCATTGACTCAGGAGAGGGTTGTCATGACTGACGGTGACATACTGCAGCGTTTCCGAGACATTTGGGAGCCTCGATGGAACAAAATGGCCCATGTTCTGCCTGGTCAGTGGGACCAAATTTGCGGATTCCTTGAGCGTTCCTTGCCAGTGTTGGATTGGTCTTTCCGTGAATGGACTCCTGCATGGTTTAGTGAGGTAGTTGGGCAGAAACGTCCTCAATCAGCCAAGGGTCCTGATGGGGTCTCACAACCGGACCTTGCTTCTCTCCCTGGTGGTGCTTGCTCTGCAATGGTTGCTCTGTACAACAGTGTTGAGGCTGGATGCCAATGGCCAGATCAGGTTGCCAGTGGTTTTGTGGCCAGTTTGGCCAAACATGGTGCCGCTCAGGCAGTTGATGAATACCGTCCTGTGACGGTGTACAGCCTGGTTTACAGAACCTGGTCCTCAGCCCGGGCTAGGGAAGCGTTGCGAGTGCTGGCTCAAGTTGTCCCTGAGAGTGTTCAAGGAGGTTTGCCAGCCAGACAGGCCAAACAAATTTGGTACACCATGGCTCAACAGCTTGAAGATGCCTTTCTTTCCGGTGTTCCGTTGCATGGACTGCTCATGGATGTGCGCCGTGCCTTCAATGCAATTCCTCGGTATCCATTGTGGTGTGCCTTGGTTAAGCTTGGATTTCCTGAGGGGGTTTTGCGGGCATGGGTGTCCTTTGTTTCTGCCCAGTCTCGAAGGTTCAAGGTTCGGTCCTCGGTTGGTGACCCTGTGACTTCCAATTGTGGACTTCCGGAAGGTTGTGCTTTGTCCGTGTTTGGTATGGTCATTATAGACTGGGTCCTTGACCTGTGGCTTCATGCTACAATGCCTTCCTTGTGCCTGCAGGCTTTTGTGGATGACTGGGGGGTTTTGTTCCAGGATCAGCACCTTTTCCAGCGTGTGTGGCAGTCGGTCTTGGATTTCACAAGTGTTTTGGATCTGGAACTTGACCTGAAGAAGACCAAGGTCTGGAGTACCCATACTGCAGCTAGGCGTGACTTCCGCCAGCAGCCTCTGACGGTGGCCCTGGCAACCCGCAATTTGGGGGCTCACCAAAACTTCAGTCGGCATGCATGGAATTCCGTTTTGTTGGCTAGGATTAGAGCTATGCCTGAGGTTTTTAGACGTTTGAAAACCAGTCTGGCTCCTTACAGTGCCAAGTTGCGTGCAGTTCGAGTCATGGCATGGCCCAGGGCGTTGCATGGCGTTTCGGTTGTGCATGTTGGGTCCTCTCACATGAAAGTTTTGCGTTCTGCTGTTATGCAAGGAATTGGTGCCTCTCGGAAAGGGGCAAATCCTGTGTTGCACTTGGCCAGTAATCACCTTGAAGCTGATCCAGAGGCATGGTGCATCTTGCAGACTTTTCGGGATGCCAGGGAGCTGGGGCCTTTGGACCGAATGGAATCCATGCTTGGTCTTTTTGCCACTCAGGACATGCAATTGCCTGGCAATGGTCCCACAGGGGTTCTTTTGGCTCGCCTTCAGAGACTTGGTTGGGTTGTTGGTGGCAACGGGTTGGTGCAGGATCGGCTTGGAACCTTCAGTGTGCTGAATGTTGGTTGGGATGAACTTTGGGTCCGAGTTGCTCTTTCCTGGGGCCATGTCATGCATTCAGCAGTCCACCACCGTTCTACTTTCACTGGTATTGACACTGCTGATATCTTGGAATCTCAATCAGCATTGTCTCATTTTGGTGATGCGGACCGGGTGTATTTACGTTGCCATATGGATGGAACATTGTATACACAGAGTGGACGTGCGCACTTCCAGGAAGGTGTCAGTGGTCAGTGTCCATGGTGCGATGCAAAAGATGGCTTTTATCACCGTGCTTGGGAGTGCCCCTTTTTCCAGGATTGTCGTGTCCACATGTCCGATGTCCAACTTGCCAGGGTCCCCAGTTTGCCTCTGTGTCTCTCTTGTCATGGGTGGGCCATCTTGATGCCAGAATGGGAAGTCTATGTCGCTTGGTTACTTGAAGATTGGGGTTTTGCTAAGCTGTCACCAGTAGGCCTTACACCGGTGCAATCCTCTCAGGTGGTTGAACTCTTTGTAGATGGTACAGCAGCGAATCCTACAGAACCGAAGCTGCGTTTTGCAGCTTGGGCCGTGACCAGAGCTTCGTTAGGCAGTTTGAACAACGACGTTTTGATGGGTGGCCATGTGTGTGGGCTTGCCCAGACGCCATTCAGAGCTGAACTCACGGCTATGGTGGAGGCTTTGAAGTGGGCGAAGCAAAGTGGCGTCAGGGTGCGGATCTGGACAGACTGCTTAGCTGTACTCAAAGGTGTCAGACGTCTTCAACGGGGGCTGCCAGTCAAACGCAACAAGCCGCATTCAGATTTGTGGGGCCAAATTGCAGCCTTGTGGGATGAATGGCCGGCAGATCAAGTTCAGCTGATCAAGGTCGTATCACATGGTTGCATTTCTGCAGCGGTGAGCCCATTGGAGGAGTGGGCTTATTGGCACAATGGTCTAACTGATCGGGCGGCAGGAATTATCAACACAACAAGACCGCAAGGTTTTTGGGATGCTTGGCGAGGGGTGGCGCATGCACTCACTCAAAACCGGAAGTTGCATCGCGCCATTTTGATGGTTTTGCTTCAGTCAGGGCGGAAAGCTCACAGGGAAGAACAGAGATGGGCTACTATGCCAACGCCTCAGGTCCGACAGCCACGAGGGGTGTTCCCGGAGATGCCTCGGGCACCAGAAGCGTGGACTTTCCCAGAAAAGATGATCAAGCGCTATGGTGAGAGAAATGTGCGGCAGATTCATGAGTGGTGGAGCAGTGTAGGTACAAGTTTTCTGGAAGGGGATGCACAATTGGTGATGGTCAGTGGGGTGCAGCTTTTTCTTGATTTTGCGGTAACTACAAATTATGAAGGGCCCTGGGTATACAAGAAATGCTGGTATGACACAATTGCGAAAGTCCCGATGGCTGCACGCCATCCTTGGGGGCAACGAGTGAAAGCTTTCTTGTTACTCTGGAAAACTTACATGAAATACCAAAAACTTGCAGTGCCGCAGAAGATGACGAAACCCAGCTGTGCGTCCATCAGCCATTGGGTCGTATGCTACAGGCTCAAATTTCCGGGCCATCTCATTCAGCGGTATGATGACCATATTTTTGGGCTGCTGGGGAGACAAGCATCCTCGGCAGCTGATCTCCAGGTGATTACACCGGCTAAGACCCGGTAGCGCTCGCAAACAGCAGGGCAAGGGGGTCGCTTCGCTGCCCACTTGTCCCACAACAAGGTGGAATAAGGTGTAATATTTTTCAGAGGGGCTAAAACCATCAACCAGTATATATATATATATGTACATTCTATATATGTATTCTATATTGCAGGTGTTTCCTGTGTTTCCTTTGGCCTCCATATCTTTCCATCAACCAAAGCCTCCCAAAAAAGGCACCAACGTGGAGCACCTCTTCTACGCGCTAGAGTTGACGTTGACCAGTGTGTTGGCCATTGCCTCGGTATCACATCAAGGGTGGTTGGACATTTTGGAGCACAGCAATTTTTATCTATCGAAATCTGACAAGTTTCTCAATTGATCATGGTTTGTCATGGCTTGTCATGATTTACTGGATTATAATATGATATATATATATATATGCGTATATATATATACACACAATGTTGAGTCATACATGTTGTAAATATGCGTATAGCTCCTGTACTTTTTAAACTTAGCCATCCCAGGTTACCAACATTTTCCAGTTCGGTTGGTGGAGATGCAAAGCTCGAACTGGGGACCTGACCCACTGGCAAAGGCACCGAGGGGGCCCCCGCATGGGAACTGGATGGAACTGGCATGGCTGTGGATGATGTGATAAAATTACTTTACTTCGTGTGATCCCCACCGTGACATTTTTACATTTTCTTACTGGCAAATCTTCTGGCATTCTATCTGACATATCTTCTGGCATTCTATCTGGCAAATCTTCTGGCATTCTATCTGGCATATCTTCTGGCATTCTATCTGATATATCTTCTGGCATTCTATCTGGCATATCTTCTGGCATATATTCTGACATATCTTCTGGCATTCTATCTGGCATATCTTCTGGTATATCTTCTGGCATATCTTCTGGCATTCTATCTGGCATATCTTCTGGCATATCTTCTGGCATATTATCTGGCAAATCTTCTGGGATTCTATCTGGCATATCTTGTGGGATATGTTCTGGCATATCTTCTGGCATTCTATCTGGCATATCTTCTGGCATATTATCTGGCAAATCTTCTGGGATTCTATCTGGCATATCTTGTGTCATTCTATCTGACATTTTATCTGGCATACCTTCTGGCATTCTATCTGGCATATCTCATGGCATTTTATCTGGCATATCTTCTGGCAATCTATCTGACATTCCATCTGGCATATCTTCTGGCATTCTATCTGGCATATCTCATGAGGTCCGGCAGGGAACACTTGGCGTGGATACTCGCGGTTGAGGTCCGGCAGGGAACACTTGGCCTGGATCCTCGCGGTTGAGGTCCGGCAGGGAACACTGGGCGTGGATGCTCGTGGTTCAGGTCCGGCAGGGAACACTTGGCATGGATACTCGCGGTTGAGGTCCGGCAGGGAACACTGGGCGTGGATGGTCGCGGTTGAGGTCCGGCAGGGAACACTGGGCGTGGATGGTCGTGGTTGAGGTCCGGCAGGGAACAGTGGGCGTGGATGGTCGTGGTTGAGGTCCGGCAGGGAACACTGGGCGTGGATGGTCGTGGTGGAGGTCCGACAGAGAACACTGTGGATCGCGAGTCGCAGTTGAGCAGGAGGACGAGGAGGACAACGAGAGGAGGAGGAGGAGAAGGAGGAGGACGAGGAGGACCAGGCAACTGACATAAAATCTAACAACCCTCACCTGGCAGGTGGGGAAAAAATGAAAATGGGATAGTAATGGTTAAGAGTTGATATTATTTTTTGATAGTTGATAATAATGGGGACCATGGCTAATAGTAATGGGGATGATCATGGTTGATAGTTGATACTATGCTTAACTGTTGCTGAGCTGGAGGCTTGAAGAATCTGCAACTGGATGAAACAGAAACATCTTTTCTCGAGGTGGGATGCTGCTTACTATCTCGGCGCAGCTGTTCCTATGAATCTCGGTATGCCCTTGGCCGTTGTGCTGATCTACATTGGCGAAGCAGGCCGCTCCATCGGTCCACGAACACTCCAATGTTGTAACATCGCAGTATTTTCAATACGTATTTTCTTCAGAATCTTCTTCAGTGCTTGTTGGACCTTTTACAATGTTGCAACACCCGTTCTCCTATCTCCAAACAAAGTCAGTAGTACATCAATATAATATACATTAATATACATTAATTTAATGACACTGCATGGTCTCCTGAATCGATATTTGTGAGGCTATCCAGCCTCAAAGATGTGGCATTCGGGCAGCTGGATGCCGAATACTCCTCATGGAATCATCCTCTACATCTTCAAATGGCTTCCAAGTAGCACTGTGGGTAAAACAGGAAGCTGGTGATTTGGTTGCCCTTTTTCCAGCAGACGACGACAAGAAACTTCAGACCTCATGGTTATGAAGTTTGGTGGAAGGCATCAGGAAAAGGAGGCTTTGATGTTTGTTGTAGCAAGAGAACACGTCACAGTTTCTGGCTGTGACTTTTTCCGTTTCGGGTGCTCCCCTGAGGCTTGGAGTGGTCTTTCTGACTGTGGGCGTTTTGAAAGCTACACAGCTTCACGTGAAGATCATGAGCAAGCACCTTGAACTGGCTATTCCACTGGGAAGAAACATGCTCATTTTGGTCTTTATGTTGGCTAACTACACCATATACTTTGACATTATACTTTGAGTACAGGCTCTATATGAGACACAGCAAAAGCACTCCACAGGGCCACACTGCCTCCGCTTGCAGACTGAAAGCTCAGGTGGAGGAGGCTGCGCGGACAGGCGCATTCCACTTGCGCCAAACCATGATCAACACTGCCAATGTCACTGTCAAGTGCTGGTATCTTTGGATTGTCTCATATTGATGCAATATGGTGATGCAAAAAAGTGATGCACACATTATGTGTTTATGTGCATTTGCTTTTTGTGAAGATCTGTCGGTCAAGATTGCTTGTTCCCTATGTTTACGCTGGAACCGGTGAATTTGCTGCTGCTACTGTTTCCACAGCTTGTTATGTTTATGGTGAAACGATGTGTATGCTGTATGCCACTGTATGCCACAGGCATCTTCCCTGTAATCCTCCCTGGAAAATTGTCACGCCCGGCCGCCCCTTGTTCACATTATTATCACATTATTCACAGACTTAAATCCAAGTGTTTCGCCTTGCAGTTTGATGGAGCTTCTCTTGCAATGCTGCTTGCAGTCACCTGGTGCAGGCAGATAAAGCGGCCCCGAAAGGGACTCCTTGAGTCCGCAGCTGCATTCAAGACTTTGAGTACCGCAGCTTTTGCTATAGTTGTTTTTGCCTCAAGCCTACTCAGGGAACTGGACAAAGAACCTGTGCCATCTGGAATGTAAACTATTTTAAACAGAGGTTCCTCCATATTTTGAGATGTTGCAGTATCTTGACTTCTTCCTTTTTCTGACAGATACCTGTGCAGTATCTCGACTTCATGTTGCAGCTAAGGCATTAGCTACAGTGACAGGCTTTGTCGGATGGACAAACTTCAACGCTGATGGCTTCAGTCTTCCCAAAGGGATGATTTGCATTGACATTTCCTTGGTGCAGTAGCGGTCTGTATAGCTGTACAGCCCACTTCCCCTCAGAGCTGTGGTTTTGTTGGCTCGTACAAGTCACTTTGCCTGGGGAAGTAGTGAAGTTCAAAAGCACCAGTGTTTGAAGGCACAAGCAGTGTAGAGCAGATCAGGGTGTCGTCTTTGACGCTGGCGTACTCAGGGTCAGCAGAATGAACTTGAGATCCAAAGCTGGGGAGGTTGCGAAAATGATCATGCTTAGTCAAGCAACTGTTGTGACCCCCAGCGTTGAAATTATGTGTGAGTCGTTCACCTCAAGTCCTGGCTTGCCAAAGGATTTCTCGCGAGATTGTTGCACCCTACGTTGAGCAGTCATCCAGACACCCCTAGACAGAGAAGCTTGTGACCTGTCAGATTCTGTGCTGAGAGCTGCATCTCGAGACTTTAGCTCTGCACAAGGAAGAGCAAAACAGTAAAGCGGAGCTGCTGGGCGCAGGTTGAACAAATCTGAAACCTATTGCCCTTACTGTACCAGTTTTTGTTGAGCAGAGCTGCTAAGAATGAGCTATTTGGCTGGTCGCCGTTGTTCTGGACGGTTCAGGGGATTCCATACAGTTCCTGCAGATGTTGTGGTGGGTTACAGACAGTTCTAAAGTTCTGAGGTACTGGACAGAGTTCCGAAGTTACAAAGCTCAGAGGTTCCTAGCTTCCAAGCTCAAATAGATATTATATCATATACATCATATACATTCATATACGAGGTTTTGTGAGGGTACAGGATTTCACAAAGCTGCGTTGAGCTGACTGGAATTTCGCATGGGCTTTAGTCATCAGTCATCAGGCCCGATCTTGCGTCTTTTATTTTACTCAATCATTAGCCCTGAAAGCTTCTGGGTGGGTGCATGCTCCCTGCCTCCAGCCAGTTTGAGACACCTTAACGTGACTGCCTTGTGTCCAACAGGCTACTCACGGTCTGGAACATGCTGGAAACTTGACCAACCTTCCGTGTAGTCTTTTGCTTGCTCGGTCCACATCAAAACATGGCCAACCCTGTCGTGTGCCCGTGCTGAGTGGATAGCGCTTCATTTTTACCTCAGAAACCAAGCAATCCCCGGGCTGCTTGTGGTTGCTTTATTTCGCGAAAAAAATGGAACACATATGTGCATCTACTCATGCAAGAATATGTCGATTGCTTTTGATTTCCAGACGGTGCTGGCTTAAGTTGGCCCAAAACACACTGTGTAGGCTAGGTATACAAACCAATAATATAAGATATACTAGTATATATACATACATACGGTGTGTAAGCTATGTAAAGTGTGATGTGTTGTCGATGGAAACAGGCGATATTGGATACCCAAAGAGTATCAAAGAGTCCGATATATCTCCTGACCTCTGGCATCTCTTGACGCGACGCAAGGCCAAAGCGTGGTTGCAGCATAGCTTTTTTGCATGGCACGGGCAGGCGACCCCCACTGGTGGAAGTTGAGAAATCACACGGAAATCATGACAAACAGCACAACAGCACAGCAAATGGTACTCGTATGGAAATTCTGGCCGTCTCGGAAGTTGCTTCACAGAGATGCTCTGTGCTTCTGTTGTGCACCAGGCGTTGAAGAAAACAACTGCAAAAGGCCTGGACGCAGCAAACCCTCAGCGTGGACCCAGTGAATTTTGTACTGTGCTGCCTCATGTCATGTTGTCTTGCTCTCCGCCCTGTTTTTGTTTTTGTTTGGTGTAAGTTTGATGTTCTGGTTCCTGATTCGACATATTCTTGAAATTCATTGACCTTTGGCGAATCGTAAAGGTTTTTATATGTCTCAGTTCAATCATCTTATTGATTTTTTCAAAAGTCAATGCTTTTCTGCTGTCTCTATATTTTCGGAAATGACCCAACTTTGTGTTGCTAAGCCCGAGAATAACACTCCTATGTCAGGTGGAGACATTTTCACCATGAGGACGGCACCACTTTCTGCCTGCTTCTCAGTTTTTTTTGCTGCTTGATAGTTCAACATCCAGCAGCTCGGGTGTGAATTTTTGAACCACACATGCAAATGTGCATCAACAACGACATTTACGCGGACTGCTGAGGCGGCATTGACTTACCAATCAGCAGCTGGGTTCTTAAAGGGCTGCTCGGGCAGCTGGCAGCTGTTGATAGGTTCTTCAAGCCATTTCCCACATTGAGGTCATTCGCGATCGTCCTGAGCAGGGAAGCCAGGTTTGATGGGACATGACATGGATATCATTCGGATATCACAAAAGGCCCTTGACGCGTGTTGGTCAGACTCGACTGCCTAACATGCAGAGCTTTGCGAGGCTTTGTATCACTGATGGTTCTGTGCTCGGGATGTCCAAGGACCACTTCTCCTGCATCCACGCGGCCATTGGATGTGTTGCCCAAAGCGGCCACGAATGGTATGCGTGAAGGCGATGTTCACAAATTGACCAGGAAGTAGAAGTGAGCTATGTGTCCCATGATCCTATGTAATTATGAGCGACTTGGTCAATTTGCCTTGAGGTGACCCCCAACCTTTCAAGTTTAAAAGAGAGCATAGAGAGCCACGAAATGTGTAGCTTTATCATTTACACACACTTACGCGGTGGAAATGAATTTTTGAGCCATTTGTAAAGCCATACACTGCCGTGTAGGCGATGCGACGCCTCCTCCACCTCCACCACCACGTAGGAACTCGGTGCCAGGTGCGGAAAGGAATGGAAAGGCTGGTAGGGTATGAATTGAATAATTTGAATATAATGATACAGTAAAAATCAGCAAAATATGAGTAAAATACAGTGAACATTGATAGACTGTAGGATGCTATGGGATGCTATGGGTAATTGTAGGCCTACAATGCTATACAATGCTATACATGCAATGCAGGTCCTGTTTGAGACGTCAGAGTTCTGAATCCGTAGATGGCAGGTGCTGAGACGAAGCCTGATGCGTTTTCAATGGCAGCGGAGAGGTGGACGAACCGCTTCCTCCTTGCCTTGCGGCTTTTTGGTCATTCTGAGTCATTCTGTTGAATTTGATTGTTTGTATTCTTGCAGACCTATGAACATGTGCCACGTGTTTCATATCTCGACATTTTCACCCAAACAATCCCAATTGGCTACAGATGGCCGCAGATGGCCACAGATGGCCGCAGGCTTCAGGAAGCAAAGATGGTCGAGATACCAAGTCCTGTATTGCCAGCTGCGAGGTCGGGACGTTTTGAATCACATGATGCCTGCAATTCGCGACAAACCAGACGTTGGCCACCCAAAATCCATGGCTTTCCTTTAGTTTCCCAACTAAAATCGATGATTGGGGCGTTTGAATATGTTTGAATATTTTGGATTCACTTGACAAGTCTTTTTTGGGCGGAAACATCCAGATATGCCGAAGCAGTTTTGTGGCGAGGCCAGGCGGAGTTCAATGGCGAGCGGCAGTGTGGTTGGCCACCTAGGGCCTAGGGCCAGCTTATTCTGGAAATGTTGCGAAGAAACAAGATGAGGTAGTTTGTTATAGTTTGTTGACCTTTACTATAGTGTTGGTAGCTGTCTTGCCGGATGCTTGTAGAGCGTAGAGAAATTAGATGATTTTTCTGATCATCTTAGAGTATGTTACAGGAGTATCTTAGAGTACATATTCAAGCTCTTTTGGAAGGAAGATTTTGAGTCATGGCTTGTCTGCTTTCCTGTGTAGGGGGTGCTTCACAAGCTGAAGCTTTCAAGGCCCATGCCTGCGGATTCCAGTCGCCAAGCGGCACCCTTCGCAGCCCAAAGACCTGGAGGCTGGAGACTGTGAAATAGCTGCTGCAAATCCCTTTCTGAGTATGAGTACAGATTGAAACTGCCTGAAAAAACATGAAGAAACAATCTAGACTCTAGCTCTGCAGCTTCAGAATCTGGAAGATGTGTTTGTTTGAGCATTTGGCATTTACCAACTGCAGTGCTGCAAAGTTGCGGTGCCCGATGCTGCTCATAGATATCTAGTGTGATGTTTTGCATCCTGCTCAGCAAACCAGGTGAGAAGGTGATGCTGCGCTTGGGGCAAGCGAAATACTGTCTGCACACTGAGACCCGAGACATTTCCAGCATGCAGTCTTGCCATGTCTTGCATTGATTTCTGAAAAATTAAGACTTTTCATGAGAAGAACCCGAGTGAGAGACTTCGAGTGGAAACTCTGATATGACTTGTCAGGCTTCGAGTCACCCCATGCAGTAGTCACCTGGAACGAGAGAAAGTAGTAGGTACTGTAGCAGGGGGAGCAGAAACACATCCACAATACTGTAGAACTATCATGAAGCAAAATGTACCAGGGAAACATCTGCCCTGCTAGAGCAGAAACACACGCCATCCTGGAACCTGGAAGATCCTAGTCCTAGAAGCCTAGCAACAGTGTTGCAAACATAGAGCAACTGCAACAGAACCGCACAGGTAGCAGACAATGGCCAATGGCCAAGAAGTCGACGACACAGCAACGCAAGCCATATCAAGCCATTGTAATTAATTATAATTAATTCATATTAATTCATATTATATAATTCATTATAATTCAAAATTTATGGCATTTTATGGCATACCGGGAATGAACTCCGTGAAACCAGGGCAATTTCCGGTGCCACCTAAAGTGTTCTTGATTCTGCCAAGGCGAGGCGAGCTGACCCGGATTTGCCACGATACGTGGCGATTCAAAGGGGATCGGCCGCCCTTTTCAAGGTATGT